TCGTTTATTATATAAGACGTTAGATGTTGCAATATGAGTAAGTAGCGCTCATAGTGGGTGTTGAGCTGGAATTCAGTGTGAGTTGTTCTTATTATATAAGTGCTGTTATGCAGGACTTGAGGAATAGCGCACTTGAATGTCCTACAAAGGATAACGTTACTTAGATTGATTGAGTTTCAAAATGTTTACTCTTTAGTCAAACACGAAAGCGCAGTTGTTTTTCACTATTAGCTACCCGAATAAGCACTACACAGCAGATTCTTATCAAATTCTCGAAAATGTGTATTAAATATTCCAATCAGTCTCTTCTTCAAATATTTTTTTTAATATAAGAAAATAGCTGCAGATCTGTATCTTGCTGGTCTGAAAAAACAAAAACCGGGGTGCATATGGACGACCAGAGAGCAATGGTGACACCATAACAAAAACTGTACATTTATTGCGAACAAAAGTTGCGCTCGGCCCTGGTTTAATTTCTTACTTCAATTGTCAAATAAAAATTACTTTTAAAATAATGCTCAATTTGAAGCCTTTTTCCGGAGGAAATATTGTCTCATTGTCTACACAGAAATTAAATTATAAGGAATGAAGCTAATTTCAACTTATGTTATCCGATATAACAAAACTTGGGGCAGTTTACGCTTTCTTATTAACCGCTTCGCGGTTTATAAAGCGTAAACCAAGTTATGTTATATCGGATAACAGAGTTGAAATAAGCTTCATTCCTTAATTAAGTACTTAAACAGGGGAGTATATACTGACTTCAAAGCACTGAATATTTTCATGAGTAATGACGCCATATGTACGTAATGACGTCACAAACATGACGTAAATTTCAGTTTTTAATGAACTTTACAGAAAAATGCACACATTACGTCGATATTTTGAGTAAAAACCGAGCGCAAGGATCAATATATATATGATAATATCAATGAAATATGTCAGTATTGTTCCTGAACAAACTTGCGCTCGATAAATTTTAAAGCTAAAATTGTTGAAATTTTATCCATTTTGTCATCTTTCTTAAAAAGGATAAAAAATCGGACTAGTTTGTGACGTCATAAAAATAAAAATTGTGAATACACTGCTTTGACACTATAATTTTTTCTATTAATTTATATTTTTTCATACAATTTATTGAATTCAGAACATTTTAGGAACTTTTCAAAATTTGACTTTTGTGGGGGCAAATATATGCAATATACCGCATATAGTTCTTTCGATGAACTTAATTTCAGGGCTAGGAGGGCTATTAATAACAGTTTTAAAAGGAATGTTTTGTTGTGGAAACAGTGAAAATATGCTAAGGATACGCGGTTAGTATCATTTTGAAATGGCATTTTAAAAACACGGAGAAACGAATCTTTGAAAACAGTGCTTTTTTGTGCTCAATAAATATAACTTTTTTCAATGTGTGGCACTGTAGCTCTTCGGTTTGTCAGTATATTTTTTTTAGCTACAGTTCTGCGGCTAAAATTACGAAAGATTGTCACTTTCAACCTTATTTTAAATAAAATTCAAAGAACAGGGCGCTTTTGATTGGCTAGGAGGGCGTAAATGAAAAGTGAAAATTTTATAGTCATGTCACATGATATTTTAACATTTTCTTTATTTATCGGGTTCCTGTGCAGCAGGAAAGGAAAATATTTTCCCGAAATTGAGCTTTGATTTGCTAAAAAATAACTTGAAAATTGGCCAGAAACATTTGGTTAAAAATAGTATATTTTTAAATAAAATATCTCTGGGTCTTCTCTCCATGATTTTGAAACGTTATTTGTGTGTATTTGAATTCAAAGAAACGAATACACATTTTTAAAAAATGAAATGAAAAATGAACTTTTAAAAATCCAAATGTGTGAATGTGGTGCTTCTTTGTCCTTTTTAAATCCTCTAATATCGGTGATAGCTTAAGAAGGCTACCTATTCAGTGCGCTCGAAGCGAGAATTTTTTGGTTCGAGCCTGGCATGGGGCGTTAATTTTTTTTTTTTTCATGCAAACAACGATTTGTTTTTTTCAGTTTCGTTTTATGTACTGACGTATTAAAATTTTGAATTAGATAAATTTTGGTTCAGTTTGGTTCTCGAGCGAAATCAATTCCAATCTTCTATTCTATAATGTACATGTATCATGCATCTATGCATTGAATATTTTAGGTGCTTGTTTTTTGTGAAACATCACTATGAGTACCCCCTAGGAAAAACGGACATAAATGTTACAATCTCACAAGGTCTTTCAAACTAAATGAAAAAAAAAACCTGGACGAGTTTGTAAAATTGTCAACTTTCAACCAAATCATGGACATTTAAACCATAAATAAAATCAACCAAATTTTGATAAATTTCATTTGACTGACACTTTGTTGTAGTCCAGTGTCATAAAGTACATATGTAGCATAGTTTTTAACTTAATTTCTTATTCCCTGTATGTTTAATTCAAAAGTTTCAATTATTAGAAGATTTGTTTACTTGCAATTTTATAATGCTTGATTATGCTGTAAACCTCCTCTAAATAAAAATTTAGGGATTGCCAGCTAAGACTATTTTTATACCCCCTCTTGAAAAGTGGAAGGTTTCAGTGACTGGGATCTTCGTGTGTCTGTCTGATATTATATAAGGCCATTGTACACCTCCTATTTTACTTTTTGATATGACATTATTTCCGAATAGGGTATCCCACAGCAAATGGACTTTGCCAATAAAATCATGTAAATATACGCCTCTGGCGTTGTAAAAAAAACAATCCTAGTGACTTATTCCATCCAGTCCTTTCTTTGGAAGAACACACTTGAATAAACAGTACGTGAAGCATATTACAATACAATGCATCGGAGTGTAGTTATATCTTTATGTAAAAGCAGAATTAATGAGCTTGCAATTGAAAAAAAAACTTCTCACAATACTAAGTTTCTTTAAAAGATGTTTGCATAATTATGCCCAAATAAGCTTTCCACATAAGTTTCAGCTTTTCTGGTCCAGTGGTTCTTGAGAAGATTTTTTATGACCCCACCCTATTTTGATGAGCCTTCTAATATTTATTTAAATTCCCCTTCCCCAAGGATGCTTTGTACTAAAATTGGTTAAAATTGGCCCAGTGGTTCTTCACAATAACTAAGTTTCTTGGTGAAAAGATGTTTGCACCTATTCAATTTGAATTGGTGATATCACCAATTCGAATAGGTGATAGCTAAAAATTCTAACAACAATAAATAATGAATAGGTAGTTTCAAGAAAATTTGGACTACAGTTTCCGTGCGTTTATTAATAATTTTTTCTGGTCCAGAAATTTTTTGTCCACCCAGTCAAAAAAAAAATTCCAATCCCAGAAAGACAAGCAAAAAAAAAAAAAAAACCTTATCTCGCTCAAACGTGAAAAACCTATTTCGTAGGGGGGGGGGGTAGTCTATGACTTCTATTGCCTCAAATCTTTCACTTTTCATACCCATTTTACACATATTCATGTTCACCAGGGGGTCAGCGTTTTCCAGGGTGACTTTTTTCTTGCTTTAGTGTATACATATTTTATCCGTGCGTATAATACATGATAGATAACCGTGAAAAAAAAAAATTACAAATACGACATATAGATGTATGTGGAGGGGAATTATTTTTTTATAGTTTTGAGATATTATACACTCTTAAATTTTTTTTTCAATAAAGGGGGGGGGGGGGAGAAATGTAACTTTTAACCTTATTTTAAATAAGATAAATTCAACCTATGTTTGTATTGTAAGAAAAAAAAAAACGGGATTATGAAATTCAAATTTAATTTTTTTCATCGACTATTGGTAGGAATTTGAACGCGACGTTTCGGGACCCCGACGTTTCGGGACCTAACAACACGTTTCGGGACTTGGGTTAACATCGGGACTTGGGCTAACATGTTTCGTTTCTATATATTTTGTTAAGGAAATGAAATAAAACTTGTTAACTTTTGTTTTTATGTTTATATATGTATAACAGTTTTATAACAATTTATCTTGTATTTGGAAAATTGCATGCGGCATGGAGCACGCCTGCCGAGAAAATCAACCGCCCGCAATAAATTTCTTATTACAGCATTTGATATACATGATATAATAATCATGTTGTTTATACCATTTAATATTCTTTTTTTTAAAAGTATGGTATTTTTTAAAAATCTACATGTAGGGATCTCGCAACATTTGTAAAATATGTTTATTTACAATGTTTTGGAAACGTAACATTTCCAGGGAGGAATATATGCTAAAACTTTTTGAAAAAGAAAATATTTGAAACTGTTTGGGGAAAAATAGAGAAAATCAATCAAAACATTTTGAAAACCTTTATATTTTATTGAATGAGATGGGAAAATTATTACTATTATATAAAATTATGATTTGTAATTATTTCATTTACCAATAAACAAACGATACCTTTTAGATTTTTATTTTCCTATCTTTTCAATTACCGGCGGCGTCTTTATAATGTATAACAAGATAAACCTGGTCCTAGTTGTTGTTTTAACAATTCACTCACGGTAGCTGGAGATCACTTGAATATTTTAAAATATATATCATCAACCTGAGAAGATTAAATTTTGGCCTACACACACAAGAAAAAAAAACTAATTTAAAAAAAAATTGTTAAGAAATAAAAAGAAATCAATACAAATATTGTAAAGATTTATTCTTATTCGTCTGTTATGAAAAAAAAACCATCAAAGTATATCTTTATGAAAATTTTTAATTTATATATACATAAAAATTAAATATTACGTACTCTGTGTACTTAGAATAATATGCTATATCACCATAATAAAATAATTTGTTGAGATCCCGAAAAAAATTCTTTTTATTAAAGAGAAAACGTATCTATGGCGATTAAATTATAAAAAAAATTATTTTATAAAGTTTAATGTCTGTCCATATATTTATCTAATGATACATTAATAAAATAAATAAATAATTTTAGCTAAATATGCAGTATTTATTGAAATAATTTCTTACTTTCAGTTTTTCTTTGACCATTAGAATCTCCGATACTGAAGAGCTGTTCTGAATAAATTGGAGGAAAAAAAGATTTTCAGTGAAAGAAAACATCTACCAGTTATTCTTTTTCACAACCCCGTGGCACAATGAATTAGTCTAGTTTTTCTTACAAGAAGATCGGAAATCATTTGAAATGGCAGGTAATTTCAGGCATTTATAATTATTGATTATTTTGTGAACAGTGTAACTAATAATAATTTTAAAGTACTGAAACCCCTCTGTTTATATTATGTTTTCATTGAAACACCTTTATTTTAGAATCCTTTACTAATCAAACTATGGGCTGAAGTAATTCACGGAGGTGTGGTTTAGTGTTGACCATGAATCGAAGGAAGAAGACGCTAGCCTACTTGATAGGCTTAGCCGTGATTGTATACTGCAGTGTCCAGGTGATGTACATGAAAGATGTTTACAGCCCTCTTCAGGTCCTGGCAGATGCACACAGTGAAGCCAAGAGGCTAATGCGCTTCATTACGGCATACCATTTCATGTGTAACAATACGTTGACGTTGTCTAACACCACTAGTTGGCCTATCTGTATTGAACAAGATGGAGGAATCAACATGGATACATCATTGCCAAAAGTTATATATTCCATAGGGTACAGGAACACTCCTTACTTTTTTTTTTTTAAATATTGCTAGTTTAATTGAAAAGCCCCCTCCTTTTCCTGTACTTTTCCTAAAGTATGTACTTGTGTATTTTTCTTTGATAAAAATGTAAGTTTCGGAATGTTTTACATGCTTTGAGTTTGAGATCTGTCATGGAAAAAAATTGAGGCTCAGTTGTGTAAAATGCTTGTTCATTATTTCAGCTATAATTTATGTCACTCAATTATTGCAATGTTTTTCAGGCCTTCAAATTATGACTTTGAAGAGGCAATTGCTAGAAACATTTCCTGCAATGTGTACATTTTCTCCCATGAAAAACCTCCACTAGATTTCTTCATGACCAAATCCAACTACACTCACTTCATTCGATCTGCTGTTGTGCCAAATGATCCATCTGATTTTTCACGCAACTCATATGAAACGCAGACATTAAATAATGCTTTGGCCATCCTGAAGCATAAATCAGTTGACATTCTAAAAATAGAGCATGTCCTTGACCCAAGTCGTTCCTATGACTTGCTGTATTATCTCATAAAAGATGGCATTATGAAGAGGGTCAATCAGGTCTACTTCTCTGTTTTAATTGGTAAGCGACTGGTTGGACATTTAATATATAATATATATTCGCCTTGCTATAGACCGGTCGAATTTTCTATAGATTTGGTCTATCGGTCTACCGTTAATTTCGCTCACTGTATTTTAAAGTAAAAAAAAAGACTTTTACAGAAAAACAACTTTTTTTAAAGCTAAAGGAAAGATCCTTTCAATGTAATTATTATATAACTGTAGGATGTAACACATTTGATTGATTTTTTTTCAGATAAGATAGATGACGACTACTTGTATGCTTGGTATCGAACTCTCTACAATCTGTTTCACAAGGCCAACTTCAGGCTGTACCACACCGCTACATCAAATCAACTCTGTCTCCAAGTCACCCTCATGGAATCTTGCCTGTACTACATGTCCTGGATCAAATCTCCAAGTCCAAGGGCATTCATCATGTATCCCCCCGCTGTTGATGGTAAGATTGTCAGATATTTATATTTTCAGTTTTGTGAGCTTAAAGCAATATGATGCTCACTCCTCCATGGCACCTGATCCCACCTCTGATGTTTTGGAGGTCTGTGTTTGCTCTGCTTCATTTTTGTATTGTTTTATGGAGAACTTGAAAACTGACCATATATTTCACTTGCAAATTATCTATTTAAAGTTATTGAATATTGTTTCCTTCTTTTCAAGTCTAAACACAATTGTAAATATTGCAGATTTTTTTCTTAGTGACAGAAATCACACTTATTTCTGATGATCAGAAATGATAATGGCTTTAAAGGTGCATGCTTGAATTTATTAATTACCAGGTACTTATGAAAATGAGATGAAAAGGTTGGAAGGTTATCTGGACACTAAAAATTCACAATGCAAGGAAGTCAATCATGTCAGCATATCAGACAAAACCATTCTAGATCTCTGTATGGATGTCTTGAAGCTCCGGAAACCCTGTAAACTTGTCATCATCAAGTAAGGAATAACTCAAATATTATTGTGGGTGTTAATTGAGAACTACATGTATGAGAATTAAAAATAATGTATTAAAAAAAGAATTAACATTAAATTTTGTCTATTTAAGAGGTAAAATATTATAAGCTTAACCAAGGTGTAAAGGATGGTAATGCTTTTCTGTACATTGTATTACATTTTAATACTTGCTGTATATTTTAAATTTATAATTCAAGGGCAATGATTGCAAAATGCTTCATTTCACTAGAAAACCATCATTTATAAAGTGCATGTCTGAATGCAAAGCTTAACCATTCCTTTTCAGGGAGTCCAGATCCCCCATTACTGTGCAGTTTAAGGACCAGGTCTCGTGTGATGTGTTTGTGATACAGGGATCAGAGCTGGGTATGGAAGGGGACGTTACTGTCTTCAGGACCAATAATGGAGGGTATGTGACAAAAACTGCTGAGAGGGGGGACTGTTTTGGGGTCTTTTCAAAGATGATTTCATCTGGGAAATTCATGAACTATTGTTGAATGAACAGTATGATGGTATAAATTTGTGTCATTGCAGAAGTAGGGATTTTATTTAGTATAGAATATTGTTATTTTAAATCGTACCAGTTATAACAAGATTTTCTTGTATTTCAGAAACTTTGTTACTAATGTACAGACTCTATCACTAAATGAGGCCATGTTCAGATATCTGAAAGCTGATTCATACAACTTCCTGTATACCGACGTTGACAAGGAATTCTGGGAGTTGCTGTCAATCATTCTAGATACTGCAGTCCTTCAGGTAAATTGAATTATAAACTTTATACCATATATTTTTAGATAATTTTGAACACTTTTAAATATAAAAGGAAGGGGAGGGGGTGTTATTCTATATTTACAAATTTACAATATTAAATGAGGAATAATTCTGCAAGCAGGTTTAGCTTATTATTAAAAGAATAGATGAAAAGTATACAGTCAAACTTCAGTATCTCGAATTGATATCTTGTACAAATGAAATAGATATTGAAGTCCTGACAACTTTTTCTTTGTGTATTTTTAACCTCAATCTTTTTGAATCCTTATAGATACATGTATCCCAAAGCTTTTCTCTGTCCCATCAAATTTGAGATAAGAATGTTTGACTGTATATGAATATATTACACTTTACTTTTGCATCATGTTATAATAAAAATGCAAATGATTATTACATGTAATAATTGAAAGTACATGTACTAGGTTTTTTTGGCAACTTTATGATTATCTAAGGGACATACAATGTATGGCCAATGGTTGATTTAATCCTTTGATTTTTAATATCTATTTTAATATTTCCTATAGGGTGTGGACCAGATGATCTCTGACTTGTCACTGTGGGAAGAAATCAGCCATATGAACATTCGGCAACGCTTCAGTGAACTCAAACGGCTGAATGCATATGGCCTTGAGTTACATCAGTACTTTGATCTTCAAGAGAGCGAGAGATTGTATTTTACCAGCCTGAAGCATAAGAAAAAGAGACTAAGCTATATCAGGACAACTCAGAGTTTGAAATTGAAGTGATCTGTACCTTTTGTTTATGACTGAGATTTACCATGGGAAATATTTAGAAATTTCAGATGGAATACAACCATGTTACATAGTAGCAAGAAAATCATTTTGTCATTTGAATGTATAAATGAAAAAAAGGCTTTTTAAAAGTATATCTGCCTACATATCAGAGTTCATATTGAAATGAATTGGCATTGAAGAAGAACATTAACACCTTAATGAAAGATGTTTCCAGGGAAGAAAAACAGAAACATGTAATTTAATTCCATTTTATTGATTTTAATATGAATTAAATTTTTTCATGCTTACTCACATGTGAAAGTTTAGATATTTTGCTATTTCTTTATGCTATAACATTTGCCAAAATCTCTTTTATCTATTTATTATCTATTTATTTTTATGAATGCATTTCTTAGTGCAGTCGGAAGGTTATGCTTATATACACATGATAGTACATGTCTTTTGTAATTTCTTTAGTTCAAATGCTTACAGGTGATTTGGATACTGTTATCCAACACAGGTGATACAATATTTGATGAGATGCACAAATGTCAGATACATGTAGATATGTATACTTACCAGTATCTAAATAGATCCATAGATAAACTGTTTAGTGTAGGGTTTTTGTGTGCAATGTATGTGTATATACCTGAGTTTTATTGTCTGTACCATCTACATGGATTTATACAAATTTTTGAATTATTGTCATTTGTTATGAAGAATGTTATTCCATTCATGATTAATATTGGAATAAGGACTGCTTGAAGAATGATGATAAATACATTGTGCATTATTTGTCATAGATTTTCATGTTATGTTTCCATGGTCGTAAATATTGACAAAATCATTGAGTTACCAGATTGAAGAGTATTCTTGTTTTATGTCTTAGCATTCTTCCATTCATTACCTTTAGAGTTCATTTATACATGTACATAAATTTATAAATATTTGCTTTTTTTATTTTTACCTTCTAGAAAAATATGTTCTTTTTTTAACAAAAATAAATGCATGTAATATTTTTTTAATTTTTTATATGCAAAAATCTTTCCACTAGTTTGCCATATATATGGACATTTATCATGTATTTTCTTCAGCTAAACTAAGGTGAAGATCATATAATAATAAACAGAACACTCACTTACATTGAGATGGACTGAAAATATATTTCAGTTGTGTTTTACACATATGTTTCAAAGGTTGAAAGATAAACTATCCAAGAACACAACAACTTAATTTTTGGATGGATGAACCTGCACACTCCAATTTCAACAAAACTATACAAATAAAATTAAATTTCCCATACTGGGGAAATTCTGTTCTATTTCCACTTTATTTTTCGTATTTTAAGTCTGCTTACTTTTACAAGTCAGAAAAAAGTTGAAAAGAAATTGTTTGCTAAATTTTTTTGTGTTCTGTCTAAAAATTTCGCTTAAAAAGTGATACAAGTGTAATAGCCCGCTAGTATATAAATGGTGCCTGTTTTGGAGGGTAACAGTTGAAATTGACACCCCAAGGAAAACCATTGTCAACCGACGCGTCAGCGGAGGGGGTTGACAATGGTTTTCCTTGGGGTGTCAATTTCAACTGTTACCCTCCAAATAGGCACCATTTATCTTATTATACATGTACTGAATGTCTTCTTGATTTATGATGTCAGGAAAAAAATCGTCGATCGTCTTTACATTCACGTTTAGAAAGCTTTCAAACTCCACGCTACTTCGAAAAAGATTTACTGACCTCTTTATTGTTTATTTGATACTCTAAGAGTCCTTTATCATCTAAATTTATCGTTATTTCTGCACTCGCAAGCATGTTTCGTCTGTCGTATGTTGTTTTCGAGTAAGCTACATCGGACGCAAGCTTTTATTGACGTCAAGTTTATTCCAGTTCTTTCAAACGCACAACTGACGTTTTGAGAATTCTACGGTGAACCGTACGTGCATAATTTCCACGCAAGTGACATTACCGTTGTGTTACCCATTGTCACGTGTGTTGCTAAGGCTGAGGATAATAGAACGGATTGTTAACTGCGTCTAAACCAATCAGATTTTAGTATTTAACATGAAAGTATAATAATATTTTTTGTCATCTGATGTCCGACAAACAAGAAATTAAATTGCTGTGGCCCAAGCATGTTTTCCCAGAGAGAACTTCTGCACAGTATGATATGACTAGCCCTATCATACACCATTGATGCAGCTATTTCCATTTTAATCCTTAATTGTGACACCTAAAAAATTTCATAAGACTAACTGTGCCTTGTCAAGTCATAAACATGTACAGGTACATTTGTACATCAAATATAAGAAAAGAAAATATTAAACACAAATCTGGAGCATCCACAGACTACACTCCTACTCGACAGATAAAAAATTGTCAACTGTATAGGCTACCATCACAAGCCAGAGGTTTTTTTTGTCAATTTTTTCTTTTACAGATAGAATGACAACAAATCCCATGGCTTGCGATAATGCGTGTGGCCATTTATCCATTTTTTTTTTTTTGACATATAAGATTACCAAAGTATTAAGCTGAAGCGTTACCCAATTGAATAGTATACTGCAGTAATCCAAACAGATTTTTGGAATGTCTTATGATTTCATCTAAGTTGAGGCGATTTTTTTTTTCATTTGTTTTATAATATTTTGGTTTGAAATGCTTGTATATCTGTACATTGCTAAATTATTTAATAAAGCGAATGAGGTACAAATGTCTTAGTGTTTTATAAGAGATTAATAATACTAGAAAGAGTTTGAGTGCTGTAATGTAGAGTCTGCTATATATATACAAATGTAAATTTAAAAAAAAGGAATAAAAATTAAAATTTTAGAATTCCAATTTATTTTTACACCACATATATAAATACATGCATGTACATCTTATGCTTGTAATTTAATACAAAAGTTTGACATAAATTTCATATACCGGTAGTTACCATTTGACACACTATATAAAACAAATTTTCCTCATGGTTTCTTTCATGCAGTGGCATATAAAATAATTAAATTTCTGATTCATTCTTTTGTTGCAGTTCCAAATTATACATCTTTTTCAAGCTGAAGAAAACAGTTGAATTTTTTAATCTCAACAATGGATCATATCTCAAGTACATGGAAAAGCCAATGATATGTGTTTTTGTTTTTTTTATTTCTTAAAATCTGTTATCATTAAATTCTTCTGACATCTCTCTTTTTTTTTCTTGATACCAATGTGTTTAAGATGATGAAGTTTGATTGATTGTTTTAGCTTAATGTCCTTGCCAACATTGTAAAGCATGAGAGGAAAAATTGGATTAATTACCATTTATAATTGAATAAATTAACAGCCTGGCAATATTTGACTACAATAACTTAATTCAGTACAATTGTGGTATAATACTTGTGGAGAACAGTATATATATGTCTGTATTTCTTTCTTAAGTTGCAGACTGTCATTCCTTTTTTATCACTGCATTTCATTTCCGGAAATCTGCATAGCATTTCTAACATTTTTTAAAATTTCATTTCCAACAATTTTTCTTTTCATTTCCAACATTTTCTTTTCATTTCCTGAATGTTTGCAAGGTATCTCTCGTGCAATTTAATATGTTAACCAAGACGGTGGAAATGGAATTTTCAAAAAATTAATTAATTTCAAACCACATTTTCAAAATATTGATTTAAACATAAAGATTTTGTCTATAAACGACCTGTACATGTAGAACTAAAGAGAAAGAATTCAATGAGCATGAATTTTTTTCATTACCATTCATGTTGATTACATTAAATGTCAACGACTGAATCGAACTTATGTCCAAGACATTTGATACACTATAATTATTCTTATTAGATTAAATTTTTCATAAGTGAATTCTTCAATCCTGCTTCCATTATCAAAAAACACTACCTGAAAATGTTGGAGATGAAAACTTTGAAATGTCTGAAATGAAAAGTGAAAAATTTCTAAAAATTCTGGAAATGAAATGCAGCCTTTATTATAACTCTTATAGATCTGCATCATACACACATGGGAATAAATTTAATGAGTAAATACTTGAAAAATTTAATCAGTTATAATCAGGAGTAAAAATATATGTACCCTGTACAGCCATAAGTGAAACTACATGAAATTCAATAAGCAGTTTAAATATTAAAAGCACAACAAGCATTGAAACACAAGTACATGTACAGTGAAAACTGTCTTATCTAACACTAGTGTAATCTGTTTCCCTGTGAATTCCAACTTGAATAATCATTCTAATTTTACTGTTGTCAATGTTCTATACACTGTATGATCTGACATGTTTATTCCCACACAAAAAAATGCTGCCTTTCATAAAATAAAACACCACTAAAATATCAAGGACATAATTAGCTTATCAAAATTATGATGTTATGAACGAGAGAACCATGAATCAAATTGCTCCTCCAAGTTGTCTTGGCAATTTTAGAATCCTTGGTCCTTCAATAGATGATGCTCGCTGACAACACTTATTTACTGAAGATGGGGGTTTGGGATGTAATTTACTTTTGTTCTCACCTTGGACATGAATCTATAGAATGTATGCCCCAAGAAAGATTAATGAACTCTTTATTAAAGGCTTATTTTCAAAGAAGTATAATACCCCCTCCCCTTGGGCATTTTTATAAACATTGGTGGGTGGGGTGTAAATGGGAATTACATTGACTGTCTGTCTGATTTGTTGTCCATGCATTTGAATCCAGTCCATATTTTTGTAAAGGAGAAACATTCAAAGTTCATACTGGACACAAAATTTCTTACGACTCGTTTCTTTTGACCTTGGGACTTAAGGTCATTTGGGAAAGTTTGAGGTCCATGGCAGAAATTTTCTAGAATTTTTGTTTGGCCAATAACTCTTGGAAGCTGACACTTGACAGAACAAGAGGCACTCGGGCCTTATAGGTCACCTGAGTATCATCTCACAACTTTCCAACAATTAAATTTGGACTGTGTTTTAAACCAGACCAGGCCATGAAATTCAAATTCACATACAATTTTGAATGAGGCACCATTGCTTATCATAACTATACACTTAGCATGCTTACTTTGGTTACTTAATACTCAGAGTAACAAAGAGAAAATGCATATCCACTTTATAACCAGTTGTGCACCCCACCCCAAAAGAAACCACTGACCCTTATTTCAAAATTCTAGGAATTTTATCATAAATTTTATTTCACCATAAATGGTTGATTAAAGCAGATTTCAAAGCATTAATTTATTTTCAGACTTTGTATTCCCCAACCCCCACCCCAGGACCCTTGACCCAGGGGCCCTGAAATTTACAATTTTGAAAGAGGCACCTTTCTTTAACGTAAATATGTACTTTGATCATTGGCATAATACCCAGGAACAAAGTAAACGATTTTTAAGAATTCATGCATTTTCACTGTATAATCATTAGAGCCTCGTCCCACAGCCTTAGTCCCATAGAAGAATATTTGCAAAGAAATAATGCATTTTTACTAAATAATCTATTTAGCCCAGTCCTATAACCCCTGGATCCATGAATTTCAAAATTTTGGTAGAGGACTCAATGCTGATTACAATCATCCCAACAGTTTGACTGTTTGATGTGCAGGAGTAAAGAAGATTTTTTAAAAAATTGCATCAATTTTAGTGGTTTAGGCCCCACCCCTTAGGTCCCAAGGGGGACCATGAAATTCAAAATTTTTGTTCCCCTTGACCCATAGATGCTTTATTCCAAAATTGGTTGAAAAAGGTTGTGTGGTTGCAGAGAAGAAGCTGAAAATGTTCAAATGTTAACACACGACGCACAATGCACAACGATGAAAGAATACGGATAGCAATAGGTCACGGTGACCTAAAAATTGCTTATGGTCTAAAGGTGTGTCATTAAGACAGTTTTGCAAGTTTAAGGTTACTGGCAGATGTGCTTGGCCTGTAACTTTTAATGATGAAACATTAGAAGTTTTAATGTTGCACAATTAAGCTATCATTATGAATCAAGGCCAAATAGGAAAGTTCAAGGTTACTTTGTCAGTGTGTACAAGAAAACTTTAAAATCATGACAGCATGGGGTATAATTTATAATTTTCTGAGCTTACTCACAGAACCTCTCAGTTTATCTCTACAGCTTTATCCCTCATCTTTTTTTGAAACCTTTAGGTGATGCTTATTTGAATTAAACTTCAAACTTAACTGATAAAAAAAAATCTGCAAGAACATGAAATTTATGTTAATATCTAATATCTGAGTATTTTTGCAGGAAAATTGGTTTACTCTTTCTCTATTCATGACAATCGTTTTAGTGTGGTGCATGTTGCTTTGAATGCCTGTCAGTACAAACCAAATGAAAACACATGCACTATCTTCAGCTACTTCATTGAGTAAAATGAAAAAATAAATAAATTAAGAACATATAACAGTTTATTCTAAATGCTTCAAAATCATAACAAAATGAAACAAGTAATTTAAATGTTCCTGTCAATAAAACAATTAATGACAGAATACCATTATCAGCAGTCATGCATTTCACAAAACATCATCATACATGCAATTCTTGAATGGAGGTTTTACAAATTGAAATAAAATGACAACACCAAGGAACTAGATGTTAAGTAGCTGTTTGGCAGTAGCCTACTTTCATATTGTACACTGATAATAGTGATATATATACATGTATGTTCAGAATTCTGAAAAATTAGGAAGTGTATATAAGAGATAAATTCATAAAAACCAAAATACATGTTAAACTGAATTTGACACACTATACATATTCTAAAGAATTTTATATATTCACAATTATTGCTAAAAAATTGAATTCAAAAATTCTGCAAAATACTTAAAATAACAATTTTTATTTAAATTTTTCAGACCATCTTAAAAAAAAAGTTTCATTGTCCTCTCCTGACAGACTGACAAAATATACCAGGTAGTTCAACTCAAAACTTTTTTTTCCATTCCAAGACACAATATTCTTTTTTTTATTCCTCTTATCCAGTCAACAAATATGTTGAAATTTTCTGGAAAAAAAAATTCCCCACCTATATACATGTACCATTACCAACCCAATAAATTCACCTTCAGTCGGGAGAGGGCAAGTAAATATTATTTTAAAGATGGCCTTATGATCTACTTTTTATTAAGCCACACTTGTAAGTGTGAGATCATATTTCAAAAAACTCTTGACAAACTTGTTATCTCTAGTCCATGGTTTCTGCATTGTTACTAGGTTTGAAAGCAATTTATTTTCATTCTCATTCAAGTTTGTAAAGGATTATAAAATAAACACAATTAGTAAAATTCTTGTAACCATATTCTTACTTAAGTGTACACCGATATGAATGCATGTAGTGTTACTGAACCAAATGGTTTTTTTATACATGTACTTATCAAATGAGGTCTCGGTAAATTTGTTATTACGGTTAATGCCCTTGTAAGACAATCTTATTTTACAATTGTAAGTTCTCAAAAAGGATGTCATTAACATGATTTACAAAAATTAAAGCACTTCATAATACATAATATACAAATGCATAGAAAGGTACTGATGTACCTTAAAAAGTCTTGAATTCTGATTTTCAAGTACAGACAGCTCATGAGTTATGACTTAAATGATACAAATGGAAATGGAAAAAATTGCAAGTCTGGAATGTAAATTATAAAAAAAATTAAATTCCTACACCCTTTATACACCAACAGCTCCATATTCTAAATTCCAAGTCTCATACTGATGTAAACTTTCTGGTGCGACACTTCGTCGAATTCTTTTGAGGGCCTCCAAAAAATCCTTTTGTGTAATATTCCGTACCTATTTGAAGACATACAAAATATGTGTACCTTAGTTGTTAACATACTGGTACATGTATATTCAGAAATTAGATGTTACATAAATAAGAACTTTAAATTTACTGGAAATGAAAGAAAAAGTGACAAGCTATTTTTGCTCCCCCAAAACTCAAATTTTATATATCCGGAAACAATGTAAAACGGAATTTTAAAAACATCTAAATTGTGTCTAAATATCTGCAAAGTTTGATGAAATTTGTGCAGCGGTTTATGAGGAGTTGCGTTGACAAACTGTTCATCGCTATATTCAAATAAAAAATTTCTAATTGCAAAGTGCCCAAATCACACACATGAAAAATAAAGGAATTGGAATTTCCTGGTAAAATGCACATCTTACATTGTGTCCTAAATATCTGCAAAGTTTGACAAAATTATGTGCAGCGGTTTATGAGGGGTCGCACTGACAAAATGTTCATCTGTATATTCAAGGTATGGCCAAAAATCTAATTTGAAAAGTGCCAAAATTCCCAGAAAAATAAAGGAATCAGAATTTCCTGGCAATATGCACATCTACTTTCTGTGTCCTATATATCTCCAAAGTTTGACGAAATTCTGTGCAGCGGTTTATGAGGAGTCGCACTGACAAAATGTTCATCTGTATATTCAAGGTATGGCCAAAAATCTAATTTGAAAAGTGCCAAAATTCCCAGAAAAATAAAGGAATCGGAATTTCCTGGTAATATGCACATCTACACATTGTGTCCTAAATACCTGCAAAGTTTGATGAAATTCTGTGCAGCGGTTTATGAGGAGTTGCACTGACAAACTGTTCATCTCTATATTACAGGTATGGCCAAATGCCTAAGTTAAAAAGTGCAGAAATTTCCAAAAAAAATATTGGAATCAGAATTTCCTGGTAATATGCACATTTACATATTGTGTCTTATATAACTGCAAAGTTTGACGAAATTCTGTGCAGCGGTTTATGAGGAGTTGCGCTGACAAACTGTTGATCTATATTCAAGGTATAGCCAAATGCCTAAGTTTTTAGTGCGGAAATTCCCGGAAAAAATAATGGAATCGGAATTTCCTGGTAATATGCAAATCTACACATTGTGTCCTAAATACCTGCAAAGTTTGACGAAATTCTGTGCAGCGGTTTATGAGGAGTTGCGCTGACAAACTGTTGATCTATATTCAAGGTATGGCCAAATGAAAATGGTCAAAGTTTTTAGTGCAAAAATTCCCGGAAAAAATAATGGAATCGGAATTTCCTGGTAATATGCACATCTACACATTGTGTCCTAAATACCTGCAAAGTTTGACGAAATTCTGTGCAGCTGTTTATGAGGAGTTGCGCTGACAAACTGTTCATCTCTATATTCAAGGTATGGCCAAATGCCTAAGTTAAAAAGTGCAAAAATTCCCGGAAAAAATAATGAATCGGAATTTCCTGGTAATATGCACATCTACACATTGTGTCCTAAATATCTGCAAAGTTTGACGAAATTCTGTGCAGCGGTTTATGACAGTTGCGCTGACAAACTGATCATCTCTATATTTCAGGTATGGCCAAATGCCAAGTTAAAAAGTGTGGAAATTCCCGGAAAAAATAATGGAATCGGAATTTCCTTGTAATATGCACATCTACACATTGTGTCCTAAATACCTGCAAAGTTTGACGAAATTCTGTGCAGCGGTTTATGAGGAGTTGTGCTGACAAAAAAAAAGGACTGACTGACTGACTGACACTCTGACCCTCTGACACTCTGACGGACGGGTCAAAAACATTATACCTCACGCAACTAGTTGCGTGGGGTATAAAAATGCATATGTCTCTATTTATTTTTGTCTTTAATGAACACATTTTTGAGATCATAGAACAGGTAAAACTTGAAAAGTACAAAACATCTTTGTTCTCTCTGAATCTGTTTCTTTAAGTCTTACTTGATTTGCATCCACAGTCTTCACCTCTTTTGTTGATAAATCTGGAAGATAAAGATAATAATTAAGCTATTTACATTAATAACAAATACATAAACATCACAAACATGAAGATGTGTATACTTAGTTTTAGGTGATTCTATAAACTCTCATCATTATACATGTACCTCTTATAGGACCAAGAGCTGCATCCTTTGCCAAAGCATTAAGATCACTACCTGAATAGCCCTCCGTCAATCTGAAGAAAATCAACATCATTTAAAATCATACTGTCATGATCAAAACTTAATGAAACGGAATTTTTACATAAAATTCTGATTAGGACAATACATGAGAGATGAACTGACTGTGCAATGTGGTCTAACTCCTGACTAGAAAGGGGATTGCCATGTTTGGACAGAAGATGACTCAGCATATCTTTTCTCGTCTCTTTTCCAGGCATCTTTACATAAACTCTTTTAGCAAACCTCCTGTCAATATAGGAATAGAAACTTGAAATTTTTGCACAACAGTGTAACTTGAATGTATTTACAAAAGTTCAACATGAAAATGCACTACATAATAGATTATATAAGGATTCTTTATCACCAAAAAAAAAACACCTTAAAACAGCATTATCAAGTTCCTGAGGTCTATTAGTTGCACCCATAATAAGTACTTTGTCATCAGCACTCCCAGATACCTGTGAAATAAAAGTATAAAAGCAGCTGAATTTGTAAATTTCTTTTAAAATTATATGTAAACATCAACATTTGGCTTTGAGACTTTGAATACTTACCCCATCAAACTGCACTAGAAATTCTGTCTTCAATCTACGACTAGCATCATTTTCACCTTCTCTTCTTTCACACAATAATGAATCAATCTCATCTGTCAAGAAACAAATTACAGTACACATGTACATCGCACCATTCTAAAATTCTGGATTTTCCTGATTATAACTTATTTCAGATGAGAATATTAGTATGAACTGGACTCTTATTTAAGACCACTTACCCATGAACACAACTGATGGCTGAAGCTCTTTTGCAATAATAAACATTGCTCTAACAAGTTTTTCTCCTTCACCAACCTACAAGGATCAGAACAATAAGTCAGGAAAACATGCATCTCAAAATTACAGCCCCTACTTTGTTAAAAGAAAATGAAAACCCCATGTCTGCCAATTGTGAAGAATGAGGAGAGATCAGAATATGGTGAAACAGCCTTAATTGTCATAAGAAAAAATTTGTGAGAAGTTACTGTAAATGTATTATATTAAGGGTGTACAATATTTGACAAATTCATTTTTTAACAAGTTAGCGTTGTTTTGATTTAGCGCATTTCTTTTTGTTCTTATGTATGCTATTAAGTGCAGGACATTTACCGTTATACTTTATTAAATTAGTGGAAGTTCCTTCCAGCCAAAAGCGCCAAAAAGAATAGACAGCCAAATGTAGTACGTTTGCAGTATGACCTACCCATTTTGAAGTAAGGCTTGAGGCACTAATATTGAAAAATGTTGCATTGGATTCATTGGCAACTGCTTTTGCCTGCAAAATAAACCATTATTCAATTGAAACACGACCTCTTACCACAGTATCAAAAAGTAAATTTTTAGCATCAATCTTTCATTTCATCAGTTCTTTTTCTGAAACCTTACCAAATGTTTATGTACTGCTTTGAAATAAAATGAATTTGCAAAAAGACGAGAATACTAACCAGCATAGTTTTACCATTCCCTGGCGGACCAAACAACAGGAGGCCACGGGCAGGAGCTCTGAGTCCTGTAAATAACTGTAACAAAAATATACAAACTATTAAACTTCAAACAGGAGTATATGAATTAACATTGACAGTTAAAGATTAATGATTTTAGCTTTCATATTCTTTAGTGTCAAAAGCATGTAGAAATGTGTGTTGTGTTAATACCTCTGGTCTTAGGGCTGGTAGGATGACTATTTCCTGTAAGGCTTCTTTGGCTGCCTCTTGTCCAGCTGTCAAAAAAATGAAAAACAGAGCTGAAATATGAGCTAAATAGAATTTCATTTTTTTATATTAAGGTTAAGGAAGTGTAAAATTACACACATCTAAAACTTAAAACTTCCCCTCTCCTAAGACAGCTGAATTTGGTAAACATACTGTAAACCAACTTTTATTCACATGTGAGAAATATTCATGAGTTTCCTAATTTACTTCGCAAATATTTGTCACCATGAACCATTTATTTAGGTTGTCAATTTGTGATATCTCCCTCATATAAAGGGTTACAACTGTTCTATCTCCCTATAAACAACAAAGAAATTTCGCAAGCAATATAACTTTGAAATACTTGTATATTATTTGATCCAGGTAAGTGATTGGTAAACAATCAATTCCAATGGCGATATCAAAGTTGTCTGTTTACATACATGAATTTCCAAAGCATGGCATCAGAGAAGTGGGTAGTAGTACACAAGAAGTTAGTTGGAAATTTATATATACTGGTACTCTATTCTCTTAAATTTAGATTTTGCAGGATAATCCTTTGTTGTGTTATGAACCACTTAGCAGGGAGACATCACAAACACAAATGCCCTCAGTGACAGCCCTTTTCAGACCTGTTAAGTGATGTCTGAATCCCAAATAGTTGGTAATTGTATAAAATTATGTAAAATTGTATCCAACAATCATGCAAGCTAGAATTAACACCAACAACACTTTATTCTGGGTTTCCTATTGTATATACACATTACACATCTATGCTTGTTACGAGCCTTCTCACTTACAAATATCTTTAAATGTGACAGCAGGCCCTGTATCCAGTATCTCATTTAGGATTGTCTCGGCTATGTTTTTGTCCACATTCTTTAATTTGATCTTTGACAAATCTGGTCTTTTTTTATTTCCTGGTGCCTGTAGAATATCAAAATATTGGTTATGGTTTAGAGCAATATTAGCTATGATGTGTTGCCCCTAGTTTAAAAAAGTACTCTTGGATGATCATAAATTAACAAAATAATTAATTATAGTTACTCAGTAACAAATCACAAAGTAGATCTTTATACTTGCCTGTACTTGACATTGCTAATGCACTTACATTTGTTACTATTACCAAAACAATAGTTCTTATGCACATTACCTCATCCCATACCCTCTCAAATTTGCCTCTCTTGGTCTTGGAAGAATACATTGGATTGTGCTGTCTGTTTGTAATACTCTGTGGTTATGACTAGTACTTACAATGAGTTACCTTATTTATTTATACAAAATTTTATTCACAAAAGTGAATGGGATTGCGTAGAAGGCAAAACCTATATTAACCCTCTCCCTTATCGTTTATAAAACTCTTTGGCCAGAACTATTACTTACGTTTAATCTTGGTGTCTGTTTATAATACTCTCTGGCTGCTGCTGGACTGTTGATTTTGTTCTGTCCTCCTGGGTTTGTTCTGGGAATGGAATTGCTTTTGTGAATGGCCATAGGTTTCTGTCTAATAGGCTTGTTAACTTTGCTGTTGACTAAAAAATGAAACAAGTAGTTTGGTTTATTTTTTAATGTAGTGTTTTAAAATGGTTGATTCAATCATTCTAACCAAGAATGAACATGTATGTAAATTATAGAAGGAACTCATTTTGTACATGTGAATAACTTAAAATTTTCATTTGTTAAACAATTTTATCAAAGAAATTAAAATTCTACTTTCTTCTACTAAATTCTACAAATCACCCATAGTTATGAAAGTGCATATAGTCATATATATGATGCAATAAAATAACTAGCCTTCTTTTATATTGTAAAAAATCAGTTTGCCAATTATCAGACTTATAAAGAGATTTTTCATGTATACATATTTGTTTCTGCTTTCCTTGAATTTTGAAAAAGAATTTACATAAAGAACAAAAAACAACAGTAAACTAAAAAGTCATGCAAAATAAATATAATACAAAAGCAGCACTAAATGAAAGAAAGAGAATACTGGTAATAGTCTAATAATGCTAAACATAAAGCCATCCCAATTCTACATCACAAATACAAAACAATTTTTTTTTTAAAAGCGATTTAGCCCTGCAAGGGAGGTAATATCTGGTGTGTAGGTACCTGTTGCCTCCTCTCTGCGATCAGAACCTTTTCTCTTGGTTACCTCCCCTGATAAGGAGGGGGGCTTTGCTCTATCACTTTGGACATCAGTGTCCCTGGAGACTGGACGACGCTCACGGATATTTGGGTTGGGGTCTAATCTTTCAGCAGTATTGGACACAATATTTTCTTGTACAGAAAGGAGTAATGCTTTTTCTACACAAAAACAATACAGCAAATTAACAGAATTAAGGAAAAAAAGAGAAAATGGAACAGAAAAGACTTTTTGAAAAAAGGTAATAAATACATGTACACGCTTTACGATAAAAAAATCTATACATGTACTTAGTCTAAAGAAAAACAACTAAACATATAAACTATACATTGAAAACTTATTTACTGGTACATGTACATGTACTTGGCAAAATAAAAAGCATTGAAGAAAAACATGAGTAGCTGGAATTTATTTACCAGACAGACAGATGGAAAACAGATAAAATTAGAACTGCAAAGCATAAGCTCCTATAGTCTTTGACTAATTAAATAATATGCTAAGAAGAGAGGTAAAATTTAATCCTAGTTGAGAAGAATTTCCCACCTAACACCTCGAGTCTGTCCCTAGCCATGACTAGATTAGTGATCATCTTCTCCTGTAGTCTTCTGGCCTTGTCCCAGGAGTCACCTGTCAATGAAGTCATATCAATCAATCAATCAATCAAATTTATTGACTTCAGAGCCAATTTCAGACTTATGTTTAATATCACTGACACGGGTATTAATAAGAAAAATATTGAAAAATATTTTCTAAAACAAGGGGGCTAACCATTTATTTAGCTTAAATCTTTTTGTATTGGATCTTTATTTCTTTATTAAATCTATAACTATTTGAATATTTCAACATTCAGAATTCAGAGTACATGATATTATTCAATATAATAGACAAGAGCCCTAATATAAACTATGTAAGTTTAAGACAATTAAAATGAACAGAAATTCCAAATTTGCATAAAATTTGACTTTGACTTGAACATTTCTTTTAATATTTATTGATCAGTGATATTGAATTGTCTCCTCTTGAACAAAGAAAATAAGTGTATTCACTGCATTCAAAGAAAATTGATGTACAGAAAAAAGGCTATATTAAATTCTAAGGTTCCTCAAAATAGAGGTGGGACAGGGGAAACAAGAGTAAAACTTAATTATAGGGGTTGAAGAAGGTATGAATTTTTGCCAGTGGTTTACTATACACTGATTTGATGTCTTGATAGTTGATAAATAAACTAAAACATTTACCCTGGCCATTGGCAACCTCTATAGCTATGCCTTTCTGGAGAGCGTCAATGCCTTTCTTGTACATCTCAATCGCTTGATCCTTCCTCCCTACAAAAAAACAAAAGACATGAGGAAAACTTAATACTGTTAACATCAAATTTCTTACACAAGCAATACATGGTGCCTAAGATAAACCAATTATGACATCAAAGACCAAAGACAATAAATGTAGCAGTCTATCTATCAACCATTTGTAATGGTAATTAGATTAAATAAGCCTGTGTTATATGATACATGTTATCATGCAAGAGATAAGATCTAAAGGCAGTTGGTTTCTATATCGAGTGCAGGAAGACTTATGATTATTATTTTCTCTGCCCTTTCATACGTTGAGGTTTTAAACTAAATGTTAACCTGCATCTTCTTCGTCTATTTTTAGCGCCTTTGAAATGTACTCAAACGCTTTTCTATGATAATGTTTTTGCTGACTCAGGGAAGGTCCTGCGGGGGAGGGCGACTTGGCCCTGGATGGTGAAGTCATAGCCGCTTCAGCGTCCACCGAGACGTCAGCTCTCAAACGGCGATAGCACTGTCCTCGAGTCAAATCTCGAGACTTGCATACAACCAACGTTAGCACCAACCAGAGTTGAAAGGCAAGTTGACGAATCAAACCGAAAATAAACAGCAATGGACTAGCTGCTATGCCAATATTTCGTCTGTAGAACGGTATTCGTTGTCGCTGGGGTCCTTTATTCTTGTTTTCACCTCTTTTTCGGCCAAAAAACCGACCATTTCCCTTTCTGTTCATGCTTAGCAGCCATAGTTTACATTCATAATAATTTTTCAATATTATTATGTGGAACCATGGGAAAATTTGGAAAACCCCTACAAAATTTACGTCATGCAAGGAATCCCTTTTGCTTATTGACAATTGGCTGGTGCAAAAATGGCGCTAAATGTCGCTAATTTTAGCAATCGTTACACTGCGGTATCACTTCAGTAAATACAATGAAAGGAGGAAGGAGTGTACACGCGCTCGGCGTAACAACTAAAACTGGGGTGACATCGTTACAGAATGTATGTAGGAAAAGGATTTTACAACAAATTGGAATAAACAATATTCATAAAGTGTCAACTCTTCCTTTGCCAAATGTGATCAAAGAATTTCTATGCACGTTTCACATTCCAACGGACTTTGTTCTGGATGACTTGTTTGTGGAATACAATTTCAATTTTCCGAATCATGTGCATCACAAAGTCCATCAGATTTATCCAGGAAAGTGTACTTTCTCAGGGACAAATATTTTGATGAAATCAGAAAAAACAAATGAAATCTGTTCTTTATGCAATGGATCAGGGTCAAAACAAATGACCAATGCAAAAACGCGGGAAATGTGGGCAACCTTCAGGCATCCAAATTTAATGACCTGTCACCTCAAAATGTGCGAGATCGAGAGCAATCGAGTATTCCATATTTTCGATTTTTCAGTCATAAATTTGGAAGAACTTCTTTTCAAAGTACGTCTTCAAGGACGACACATTCCAGAAGTGTTGATTTGGGAGACCATTTTGCAGCTATCAGACGTTCTGATATACTTGGGGAACCATGGGGTATACCCGTGGGAACTGTGTCAACCTCGCCACATTGTTATCAGCGAACGTGGCGAGATTTTAATAGAAAACATGCTGCTCTATTTGCCGGTGAAAAGTGGGTCAAACTTTCAATTTCAATCTCCTAATTCTTCCATTACCTATGTACCCCCTGAGGTTTTGAGCTGGGGATACGTTGGGCCAGAGAGTACAGTGTGGGGAATAGGTCTCATTCTCCATGAAATGACGTCCCAGATTACCCGAGAAAATAAATGTTGCGTCGAAGAAAACAGCTATTATTCTATGCAACTCAAAGACTTGGCTGCCGCCTGCTTGGACCCTCGACCACTTTGCCGACCAACTTTACAAGTAATTGCATCCTTGTCCTCGCTTGTCCTTTCCAAGTATTATGCAACCAAGCAAATTAAACCGACACTGTTGGAATTGTACGAAAGGAGCGAGATATAACACTGTACCGCAGTGAACTTCAAGCTGGGCTGCGACATGTATTGACATTTCAAGTGTGTAATTTACATGACAAAACCTCGTGACATTCCGGCAGAAAACCCCGCCAAATTCCCACACTCTGTAGCGCACCTGCCGATATCGATTTTCCAGTTTGAAAGGTGCAAGGTGTCAATTGATGCCAAATTACATGGATAAAATTTACCTTTTCTGTTAAATAACAAAGTGCTTAAAGACACGCAATGTTAACCGTTATATTTGCGTGAGAGAACGACAATATTATTCTAAACCAAGTTTTATTCACAGATTAATTTATTAATTCCGACAGTTTACATTTATATACAGATGTTTATATTGAGCAATAACAGATGCAATTTTTGTTTACAAATGGGATAGAAAAGGCAAACTTTTGTTATAACACAGGTGGGGGGAAGTTAGCATTTCTATTAGTAATATGGTCAGTTCTTTTTTAACTTCCTTGATATTGCCATAGCAACGCCATTTGTTTCTGTTCAACCCATCGTCGAGGAATATGTTGCAAGCGTGTAGACTGTCACAAATGCCAAAAGTGATACTGCATACAGACTATGTATTTATACACGGGATGACGGCTATACACATTTATTTGATACATGCCCGCAGGAAAATATGATGATTACATCGAAACTTTTATGAACTGATTTTTATCAAAGTTTTATTAGTAGTGCGTTGTATTTGTACTTAATGAAGGTCAATTACTTATAACATCTTTTCAATTTTTTTATTCTATTATTTTTAATCGTTATTTTATTTATATTTTTTTAATTGCACTTCAAGACTTTTTCAGGGCTTTTTGTTGTTGTTTTTTTCTGTTACCTCTTTTGTTGCATGAGATTTGTTTTGTCCTAACTTGTTTTTTGCCGTTTTTATTTTGTTTCAGTTATAGATATCCTTTATTTTTTGTTTTGTTTTTATTTTTACCTTTACCTTATGTTTTTCCATGTTTCAGATAGAAATATGTATCCTCGGTAATAAATCTGTAACAATAAACCTTATGAATTTTATGTTTGCATTTAAAATGTTTGTATTGAAGTGGAGAAACATCTAGCGCTAGAGACGGTGAATTAAATCCAAATACCCAGGATTGGAAAGTCTATATCTGTAGCGTCAACGCTAAAGTTTATAGATCTACTCCAAAGATATGATTTAATTATTTTTCTTTTTACCCAATATATTTTTTAAATTATAAATTGGGTAATTTCTTTACATGACTAGAGGATGTCCCTCCAGAGACACAAATAATGTCCCTGGTGCCTCCCCGCCCCTGAAAATTCTATTCGAGTTTCTGTGCTATCTTTCTTATAGATATATTAGAATATGACGTTTTCAATTAAATTCTTACCCATTTAAACATTACGTCCGCCCAAGTCCTTCGATGTGATGTACAAAAAAAAATTGAAGGGATTTTTGAAAAGTAATTTTTTTTAACCAATTTTTAAATCTGGTGTGTTTGTGAGTGGGGGGGGGGGGGGGTAGGTTAATGGCATATTCGAAAAAAGAAAAGCGGACAGTTATACAACTCCTAGGTACCATACGATATAGTGGGCGCTGACATGTGCGGATCATGGGGGCAGGGAGGGGTACCAGGGTCTGGACCCCTGAAATTTATGGTATTAAATTTTCGATGGAAGAATAACCTTAGACCCTTAATTTTTCTGAAAACAGGGCTATTTAAACGGAAAGTAGTATGGAAGGGAATTACCGCCAAAAGTCTATGTATCTTGCTTTTATTCTTATTCTGCCTACTTCTTTATGCTTTGTTATTAATGTAATTATATGTCACTTTATTGTTTTCATATTCGTCTTTATTACATTTCATTTTGACTTTTATCTTTCTTCATTTCGTCCTTACTTCTATGTTTCTTTATTCTTGTTAAGTCATTTTATCTTATTTTTAAATTGATACAATATCTTAAATGATTATCTCTATTACGAACGTTAACTCAATCACGCAAACAATGAAGCATATTCAATGAAGACGAATGTAAGTTGTCAAACCGTCAAAATTTAGTGCGGCATTATAACGCTAGGTGGTGTGGTGTTCGCTACGAGTGTTGGTAAAACTAGGTAACCAAACCCGGGTCGGGTTATTTGAGATTCTTTAATACGCCTTAGTACTTTAATTATCAATCGAATTTCTGAAGGTCTGATCCAATAATCCGATCCAATAATGGAAACTCCATATTTATTTTCTCTGGCCACACAGGATATACTGTAGTGGCCTCTTTTTTCAGACATAACTTTATACTATACTGAATATGTTTATTGAAAGGCCGACCCACTTTTTGTAAGAGTAAGGGTCAAATAAGTTAATGTAGTACGTATAGTAGGTAGAAAATTTAAATTTGACTCTATAGAAGAAGTTGAATCTAAGCCAAATCTCACCCGCCTTCGAAATAGGATTTCATTGGCATCGGAAGCAAATTGAAAGTGGGGGGGGGGGGGGGGGCTAAGTGTAAGAATTTTTTAAGACCATAAAAAAAAAAAACCCCGACAAAAAAAAAAAAAAAAAAAAAAAAGAAGGAAAAGAAAATAAATGTCCATTTTCCGAACTAAAATATTCAATTTCGTGGGGGTGGGTGAGGGGGGGGGGGGGGGGTTGGTTCGAACTCCAGTGCCAAAGTTTTTTTCCCATACACCACCACTTTCCCCATTTTAAACCTATACTGCATCGTGCCCATGGCAAGTGGGGGGGGGGGTATAATCTATGCAGGAACGTCTGTACTATAAGTCTATCTCTGGAAAAAAAGTGGAGACTAAGTCCACCCCCCTCCACGGTTCCGACGCCTAGTATGTATTTTCAAGTTTTTTTTGCGCTTGTCAAGATGTTTTCAGCCGGGTACTTTAATATTTATTCTCTTGTTGCCCCCTCCCCACTTACAAAAACTTACAATGCTACGTTACTGTTCTCTCGCCTGAAAAATATAACTCTATTAAAGTTATTTGTTGGATAATTGAATTCTAGTTTAATTGATATAAAAATGTTCAATATTTTGATACTAGTTAACCCTCATAAATTGGGTTGTTTTTCAGAACCTTCCACTGAACTGAAGTTTATTTCATGACAGATAGTAACTGCTCATGTGCGTGATTCTAGGGGCAGGGCTTTGCAAAGGAGTGAGGAGCGTTAATATGGGTAGGCAGATCCAAATTTTTTTTCCAGCCCCCAGCCCAAAAACAAAAATTCCAATCCCAGAAATTACTTGACGAGCATAAAAAAACCTAAACTCGCCCAAACGTCAAAATCCAATTTCGAAGGGAGCGTTTAACTTTTTTCCTTGCTTTAGTATATACATTTTTAAACCTTGTAAATTCCAGGGGGTCCTTACACCCCACCCCCCTCTAGGTCCGCGCATAGTAGGCGAAGTAAGAACTAGGCTTCATGCATCCAGACATACTAGAAACTCCCTGGTCTTATTTTCAGCGTTAATATTTCTTATCAAAATAGCACTTAATTTTGAATAAAGAAAGAAATATCTTTAGTACGCATCGTATTTGTGATCAGCCAGGAGAGCTAAAAAAAATCGTAGAACTCGAAAATTCTGTTTGGTGGTGGTGAGGGGGGGAAGGGGTCGTCAACTTTTTTACAGTGCTAAATTTTACTCATACCAATAAGTACATGACTTTTAATATATAAATTGACAATAAGTACTGCAACAAAAAGGGTAAGACAGGGACGTAGTATCAGAGGGGGGGGGGGGCAGGGGGGAGGGCTCCCCTCCCACTTTTTCCCCCGACATTACCTTTACAATAGAAAATGTTTACTTAAAGGAAGATTACCCCCCCCCCACATTTCACCACAGTGGATATAAAAAAAATTTCCCCCCAAAAAAATTGGAATTGAAAAATAGTTGTTCTTGAAAAAAGTTAGCCACTTTGCCGGTGGAGAGCTGCAAATTTGTCCTATATACTTGGCACTTATAGCCATTGAGCAATGAGGGATCTTTTCTTGTGCCAGCACCTACTGCGACACGGGACCTCGGATAACAATGTCTAGATCGATGGATTGAAATCCACATCCTATTCTTACCCACGACGTATTGATCGACTCTTTACTACTGTACTTCGTGACTCTAGAGCAGACGCCGTAACCACAGTGCCACGCATATACTTAACCCAGGGGTGAGGGGGGGGGGGGTTGTCATAATCCATATGGACTCGTGAAGATTATCTATATTTAACTATTGGTTAAAATGATTTAATTATAAAGCACTTTTAGAATGATGTCATTTAAATATTTATTCATACATGTATCAATGTATAGGACGGATAACTTTTCTTCAAAAACTGAAAACGTTCGTATATATAAACATCGTTTTACGATTAAAAAACTATTCGGGGGAGGGGTTGCTATGAAAGGGGGATTGCTATATATAGCAAGATTTCCCACGGAAGACTAGCTATACCCCGGGGGAAGTCCAAGTGTATAGTCTTCCAAAGGAAGCATCACTATGTTTCACTTCAAAGGGAAATCTTACCATCTAGGACTTTCGAATCTTACCATCTAGGACTTTCGAGGGAATGGCATGTACATATATCGGGCACATACCTGAACTAATAACAAACATCATTCATTTGAAAATTTAAGTTCGATCGATAAAGTATTAAGGCAAAAAATTTGAAAAAAAACTCGAATAACCCCGGCCCGGTTTGCTTACCTAATTTTACCAACACTCTTAGCGAACACCCCTGCCACCTAGCGTTATAATGCGGCACTAAATTAGGACAACTCGTATTCGTCTTCATTGAATATGCTTCATTGTTTGCGTGATTGAGTTAACGTTCGTAATAGAGATAATCATTTAAGATACTGTATCAATTTAAAATAAAATAAAATGACTTAACAAGAATAAAGAAACATAGAAGTAAGGACGAAATGAAGAAGGATAAAAGTCAAAGTGAAATGTAATAAAGACAAATTTGAAAACAATAAAGTGACATATAATTACAATAATAACAAAGCATAAAGAAGTAGGCAGAATAAGAATAAAAGCAAGATACATAGACTTTTGGCGGTAATTCCCTTCCATAAAGGAGAGTCATGTATGTGACTTCCCATCCACCATTTTCCTGTTTGCGAAAGTTGTTCACGTTGAGCATAAAAAAATTCCAAGACTGACAATTGTTGATTCGGATCCCCGCTCCCTCCCCTTGAAAAATTTCTGAATCATGCGCCTGTCATGATTAAAATGCATGCTGGTACATGTTTTACATTAAATAAGAGACCTGGCGATCTCTTCACTGTAAGAGATTATGCAAATTCAAGAGCATTGTGTCAAGCTGTATTTTTTTTAATTTACCGATCTGCAGTTAATACAAGTTGTCATGTTAAGTTTTGTATTTACTGCCACCCGGTAAACATGACTTTAAAAAAAATGAGCCATTTTCCTATCCTAAAGAAAATCATATTCTATTTAATCAAATAGAAATCTGATAGGTAACCAAGAGAATAAAGTCTTTCAATCTTTCGCATTATATATACATAATGCAGGATGTTTGCAAAATCTCTTGAGGGCAATGAATCATTGTATTCTTAGACAGCAGGCGCGGATCTAGAAATTTTACAAAGGGGGGAGGGGGTTGAAGGAATTTTCAAAGGGGGTTGAAGGGGAAAAGCGTTATCATAACGTACCAGAGACATATAAATAATAATGGTTTTATATGTCTCTGAACGTACGTTTTACATATACATGTCGTTAAATAACTCAATAGGATACAGGGTGGTATATCGTTTTCAAAAGTGGTAGGTTGATCAACCTGGGAAAAAGTACTTATATGAATTACTTGAAAGTTTTTGAAAAAGAAAATAAAATATATATCCGAACCCGAAAATCCTAATCTGTAAAGGGGGTGGGGTTTCATTTTGTATTCACAATCGAATTTCTTTATATATTACATTAGCCTTTCACTGAACATTTTCTATAGTAAAAATACAACAAAATTTGGGCCTTTTTTTTTTTTGTTTTTTTTTTTGCAAATCCAAAGGGGGGGGAACCCCCGTAACCCCCCTCTGGATCCGCCACTGGACAGTTAGATCTTGTTGCAAATCACCTCAAAAGAAATTAAACTGTCTTTCAATATTTACCTACTTATAAACGTAGAGGATTATAGGATTATATCAAGATAATGGTCAGTGTCCTATTGTAAGACACAGTATCACGTGATATAGAATAATCATTTTCTTCCGATTGGTTAAGCATTTTTAGCCCCAGGAAAGCCTAACGATTTAGATCGGAGCACCTAATTTGGCCACACTATACATAATATACTGTAAGTAATTTCATTTCAGTCTGGTCATTGTAATGTTAAATGGGTCTCTGAAACTACTAATTAATTGTGCCTTCAATTTATTTTTCTAATTATATCAAATATTTTTAAACGAATACCAGACAAACAGTGATCCCCCCCCCTCTTAACGCCAAAACCTATTTGAAGATCAAATTACTAATACGAGTATTTCACGAACGAGTTAATGAAAACCTGTTACCCCTAAAAACGTAAACAAACCATAATTTTTCATATTTAGAAGATAAAAGCTGCATATCATTAAATTCAAAAGGTAAAACTAAATAAAAGAAAAGTTTATACCAAAAGGACATAGCAAATTATTTACTTTGTCTTCGAATTCGTGCAAAATAAGCTGAAAATTGAGATAATTTGGTTTCAACTGCAGCTGACGTTCACCAGACGTAATTTATGTGGCAAAACAAAATTCCGTACCTTTCTGCCTTAATAATTAATTTTTGCTTACAAAACTTATTGAAATCTTAAGTCCTTTTAAATAAATTATTAGGCCTATTTATTTTCATCTTTTACAGGTGATATTGTTGAAACAGAGGGATGGATCTGGTGAGTATAGGGGACTGGCAATCAAATCTTAGTATACCTGAAAGCAACAAATACATGCTGCAGAACAAAATTGGCTGTGATATTACTTTTCTTCTGGGAAAGACTAAGGAAGAGGTTCACGCTCACAGATACATGCTGGCTAGTCGAAGTAGTGTGTTCTTTGCAATGCTGTATGGACCTTTTGATAAAAGTGACAAAGCCATTGAAATTCCAGACATTGAAAAAGACATTTTTGAACAAATTTTAAGGTATTTACAGTTTAATTTAGAATTTTTTTAAATTATCATCCAAAAATATAAATGATTTTTTTCCCACAGTTATATCAAATTTTTAATGATGCAAATATATTACAAAAAATGATTGACTGCATTTTGAATAATTTTAAATTTGTAGGTTTATGTACTGTGAAGAAATTTTGATCACAGAGGACAACGTTACACACATTCTGTATGCTGCTCGTAAATATGGAATCTCTAAGGTGACTGTGGAGTGTCGAAATTTTTTGGAGAAGAACATAAGTCCAGAAAATGTTTGTGTCATTGCAGAAAATGCACACATCTTTGATGAAGATGAACTCTTCAAAATGTGCCTTGACTATATCACAGTAAATGCCTATGAGAGTCTTCAATCTGAGTCCTTTACCCAACTATGTAGACAGTGTGTAACTAGGATCATTGGAAGAGATGATCTTCCAGTGGATGAAGATCACATCTTGGAGTGCATGTCAAACTGGGCCAAGAGGGAATGCAGTCGCCAGGGACTAGCAGACACTGAAGAGAACCAGAGGGTTGCCCTTGGTGACCTGTTTTACTTGATTCGGTTTCCCATCATGGATCTTACATTTTTTGCTGACAATGTGGCCAAAACATGCAATCTCTTGTCTGAAAAAGAAAAAATTGACCTGTACACATACATGGCAGGAAGCAAAAAAGAATTATCAGACACCAAATTTGTGACGAATCAAAGAAAACCATTCTTCATTACATGCTCACGATTAGGAGCTGTGGAGAAAGCAAACAGCGAAAACTTCAGATGGAGAACGGGGGAATTGGAGAAGCTAGACTTCCGTGTGTCCAAAAAGATAGAAATACATGGCATAGAAGTGTATGGTGGGAGACTAGAAAAGTCTAACCACAAGCTGTCTGCATGGCTGAGGAAACATGACACAGACGAAGTGATTGCTGACTTTCACACAAAGTTGTCCACAACACCTGACAAGAAGACCTACAAGGTCTTCTTCAGAAAGCCTGCAACTGTTCTTGCAAATAAGAGATATTGTATCCACTTACAAATGAAAGGGGCTAAGACCTATTGGAGTGAGGAGGGAGTCACAAATGTAACTTGCCATGACATTGTTTTCAACTTTATTGACTCGCAGGAAATGGGTAATGGCACAGGAGTGAAGCGAGGTCAGATTCCTGGCATTATTTTCACAAGATACTCAACTAGTCAGGAAAGTTAAATACCTTCTAATCACAAATTTCATTGGTTTTGAAGTTGTGATCTAATATTGCAGAACAACAGAATAGCTAGGATCAGATTTTGATCAGATGTTGGAGAACTTTTTTGAAACTGTATTATAGCCTTTTAATGTCAGTATAGGTATATGAATAACTTTTGATACATACATTCAATACAGATATTGTATCAAATTTTTACATTCTTGATGTGGTTTTCTTTTGATGCCATTTCAAAATTTTTTAAAATGAAATTTTTAGGTGAAATATGAGTCTTTTCTTTTTAATTAAATCGTTAAAAGCTGAATATCCGATGTAACAGTACTAGTCTTGTGAGAATGCAATATTGAACAGGAATGTTTACAAAGTCATTTACTTTGAATGCATTGGGTTACTTTGAATGCACTGGATTTTGGTTAAAAAAAATTAGTAGTATAATTTTTTTTAACTTTTTTGAACCCTAAGATAAAGTTTAGTTATACATATTTTAGTACATGTATATAGAGCCAGTGATTTATTTCGTAGTTCATTCCTTTGGAGTGCCTTATTTAGTTACCTGTAAACACAATAAGCAAAACTCCAGCATAACATTCATGCGAGAAAGAGATTTTACATATTATGAATATACTAGTACGTGTATCTACTATCTAGATAATCAGTTTATGCAAAACCAATAGATGAATATGAGTATGAAGACAATATTGTTTAAATCATGATTTTTTAAATGTATAGTCACCAAATAAAATGTATATAAAAGTAGTACTTTACAAACTTTTAAGGTTATGGGAATTAGTACTAGTCTAATTTTGAATAGATAAAATTTTAACTTTAACACAAAAGATGTTGGAATTTGTATTTTATCACTAGAATTTACAAGAACATTTTTATTAGTACAAAAGTGACATTAATTAAGAGTCACATACTGATATTAATTAATATATAATAATTAATCTTTATTGATTTTTAAACCAGAATTTTCTTTGTGTAATTCCTCATTTTTTTATGTGCCAAAGTCATACTTTATTATGCTACTGAATAAAGAAATTACACTTTACATGTGCTTGTCATTTTCAATCAATAAAATGTTCTGGCACCTCTGTTACTTAAATCATTAGAGATATTGCACCTTATGATATTCTGTATATACAAATATACCTTTTGAATTGGAAGAATTGGGAACTTTTGTACACATCTGTTGTCCTCATCCTGTAATCCTGAAGTTGACATTCATGACTGCATTCATTCCTGTAGCAATTTTCTGGAGATCTTCCCAGATTGGTATAATAGTAAAATATAAAGCAGTCACAGATCTTTCACAACTGGTCATTTGAAATGATGTTTGTCTTTCATTCAGTTAACAGAGATGCTATTGGCAACCTCAAATACTGTTCCTCTACTTCGTCCAAAGAAAAAATATCCCCAAAATGGGTAACAATTCAGGTAATTCGTTTACCACTTGATCTCAAAAGAATTCAAATAAATTATCACTCCATCCAAACAATTCTAATCTGGATTCTAGTTGAGAACCTGAATTTTTCCATTCCATCCACAGATTACAACCGTGGAGGGCAGAACTGGATTAAAGCTGACATCCATGACTACATCCATACCTGTAGGGATCTTCTGGATAATTTTCCCAGATTGATAGTTATAGCAGAAAAGCTTTCCATTGCTGTCTCCACTTAAAACCAGAGATCCATCTGGAGAAATATCAAATCCTAATGAGTATCCAGATAGCTGAAATAGAATTCTTATCTATTCAAAATGTTCCTTTCTTCATATTTTACATGTTTTATGGAAATATTGTCCCTGAAGTTTTTTGAGAAAAATGAAATGAACAGTCAATTCAGAGAAATTGTATTAAGTTTTTTCTATGCTCTATCACACTAAAAAGTATTTCTGGTTAAACATGTTAAAAAGTTAAGTTAACAAAGCATCAGCTTGGTTTGCAGTGCTGTGGGGTACCGGTAATCTTTTATAAAGTTATACATGAACAGACCAAACTGAAATCCTAGTACAACTGTACCCACCTTGTGACCCTCAAAGCGTTTTGCTTTGTTCATCTTATATGGCCGATTAACAGAGAACATGGCAATGTAGTTTCCATGTGACTGAGCCAGGAAATGACCAGACGTGGGGTGAAGCTTCAGACGAGTGCAGCTGTACCTCTCCTATAATGAATCAAAAGTAGAGGCTGTTATTTCAACTCTGTAACTGAAAACATACAGCAGTAAGAATTCTTTCTCATAAATTTATGGATTTTGAAAGTACCAGTAAAGTATATGAATTTAAGGTGGTTCTTGGACTGACTTTGATAGATTCAATGTAACTGTAGAGAGCTGTTTACTTGATAGATTTGGTTGGATAGGACACTGCTTGCTCTGAAATCCCAGGCCATGATATTTCTATCTGCTGAGTCTTGTGTAATTTCACTTCCTGCTGAGAAAAATGTGTTTCCATCTCTGTTGAAAAGAAGGTCCTGAACCTGCAACAATGATTTATAATTTTAAAATAAAGGCATGCATTGAAAGGACTTTACATTCTAAATAACAATCCAGCAAAAATAAGGTGTCACAAAAATGTGAGGATTTCAAGTACATGTATTGTACATATGCATACTTTTTTCTGTGTGGGATTAATTTTTATTTTATATCCCTTATCCTTTTATATCCTTTATACTCTATATCAAAAGAAGAAAAATGGTAAAAATGATTTGGAGAGGACATTCATTAAAATAACAAGGAAATGAGTTTAAGAGAAACATACCTGTCCAAAGGAATCCTTATATGTGTATGTTCTACAAGGAGACTCACTACTTCTGGAGTCCCAGCAATGAATTCCATTCTGACATCCAGTGATGCTGAGGTTAGGGTCACTGGGATGATTTTTACAACTTGTCACAAAGGAGGTGTTTTGAAATGTAGATAATACTGAACCTGAAAATAGAAGATATTAGCATTTCCATGGTAGACATTGGAAGTGATTGCCTGTATTAGAATTTATCAGAACTTTCAGTAATATATTAAAATATTATATCAATATACTAGTATTATTAATCCACAATTCCGAATATACAGACCTTTTTCCACATCTATCCACTTTGCAGTCTTGTCATAACTACAGCTGAGAGTATGTCTTCCATCCAGGCTCCAGACGGCATCTTTAACAGCTTTCTTATGGAAACTGAGAACCTTAACACAGGGGGACAGCTGAGTCCAGATATTCCAGATCCTGACAGTCCCATCCATAGAAGCTGACAGGAACAGGTGGCAGTAAGGTGGATTATTCCACATCACCCTGTTTACAGTCTGTGTATGGTCACCTAGCTCTTTCTCCACTTGACGTGGATACCTGTTGTGTATATTGTTTTTCATCAAATGAGGTGCTATCTTTGAATGTACATAGAAAAGTTGTCTTTGTGATTCAGTGTGAGAACTGAATCTCTGTTGAGACTGAGGAGTTCTGTTGAAAGTCTGACCAGCAAGATCATTGGGGGTATTACAGTGACCATGTCCTTTTGTTACATATTCAGAAACCTGACCACTTGCCTGATAAGACCTCGGATGTACCTTTGTTTGATGATAAACTTGGCTTCCCTGTGTCCTGATTTGATATGCTTCTGCATGTGGGCCTTTCTCAACTTTTGTCTTCTCTAGCAAATTGTTATCATCCTCTGGATTTTCTTGAGGAGTAAAGTTTCTCCAGAAATTGCTATCAGGAACCTCCACATAACTATCTGTGCCCTTTTGTGACTCTAGCTGGAACTTCCTGGTTTTCTTTACTGGGGGCTCTTCTGACTCCTCATCAGAATCATTCAAACCAAAGAAGTCAACAACATTGAACTGTTCACCAGCGTCTGACTTCATCTTGCTAAAGCTGCTTTTGTCAATAGAATTTCCTTCAGTGTCCTTTTCTTCTTTAGGACCCTCATCTTCTGTTTCACTTTCATCAGAGTAATTCTTTAGCAAGTCCATTGAATCATTCTGAAGATACAAAAAACGTATAAACAGTTTTACATTACTTACCGATAAACATGTTAAGTCTTAAATTACTGATGCATTACAACTTACATTTACTCAATTCATTTTCTATGTTTGAAATAACTACATGTATTATCATACAAGACCTACATACTGAACTCTCCAAATACTGTTAAATATTACAAGTGAATTACCAAAGAGGAATTTAACTTTTTCCTGTAATGCTGATAGTGCACCTAATATTAAAAATAAGTTAATGGCTTTAATTTTCACTACATGTACCAAATATTTTCCTGCAGATTACACTCCCATACATAATTATTTGGAGACATTGAGAATGTGTGCTCATCCACTCTGCAAGACCATGCCATACCACACTATGAAACCTGCAAAAATGGGTCAAATCATGGGGTATGAAAATTTTTATCATCTATGCAGGTGGTTCTTTTATATGCTGGACAATGCTATCTTTCAGTTATACATCAGAATCATATCTCTGGAACACCTCCATGTTCCTATCCAAGCACCATCTAAGACCAGTCTTAGAATATGGCTCAACTGTATGGGCCCTTATTTTGCCAAAGACATAAAAATCATTAAGCGAGTAAAACAGTGCTAATACATTTAATATCCAAAGACTACACCATCTGGAACTCAACCTGCATTACAGCCAAAAAGGAAAGAAAAAATGTTTGGCTGGACAGGGAATAGAACCTGAGACCCCTGCATCACATTCACTAGTCAGGTGCTCTACCGAATAATTAAGCTACCAAGGTTGATATCCATGGCCCAAACCATTACATTCCTCCCTCCTTAATTAAATTGTCTTTGCCCTGGATGACAAAACCCAAGTTCTTTCTCTTATAAGCTCCAGGCAGGGCTTTCACCTGCAACTCAAGGGTGGTCAACAGCACCAAATCTGCAACAGGAAAGGTGTATATTGCTGAAAGGGGAATCCAACCCAGGACCGACCCCATCGTCGCAAACCACGGCCATAATGTACGGTTCTCTCCCATTCTGGCCATGGTTGCATGAGATGAGAATATCTTGTAGCTCATTAAAGTATTGACCAATGCAAGTAAAGCATAGTCGGTAATTGACCTTACATGCGACCTTTCAATATCCAATCGCAGTGTACGAAATACTGCTGGTGTAAGTTGTTGATTTCAATTGCGATGGAAACAAAACTTGTCATTGACTGAATATGACGTCACAATAGAGAGGCATAAATATTCAAGATTACGACACTTTTTGTGATCAAGCAGCCACGGGTAGGAGAGAGCTATGTGCGGACTCCAGACCATGGCTTGAGACGATGGACCAACCCTTGCATCACTATTGAGGTGCTTGACCGACTGAGCTACCCAGGTTGATATCCATGGCCCAAACCATTACAAAGCAATTCAATGAATGCTAAATAACCCAAGAACTACCACCCACAGGGGCCAGTAACATGCTAAATTTGAATTTACGTAATGACTATATATAAACAAATAAGAATATATAGTCATTACGTAAATTCAAATTCAGCATGTTACCAGCCCCTGTGCTACCACCATTCCAAGACGGGTGTTGCTAAAACGCGGAACGGAAAACAGAACGGAAAGCGGAACGGAACGGAAAACGGAATCTATTATTTTGGATTAAATCACTTAAAAAGCACAAATTTTATCACAAACAATGTATCTTGTACATATTCAATCCCCCACTATTAAATACAAGTTGATTTTGTCATGCTCAGTTGCTTATCTACGAAAATCTACGCTAACATATAGCAGTCATCTAGAATCGAATTTGTTTCAAGGGGGGATCAGTGGTAACGAACTTAAAAAGTATTTGACAAGCAAAAACACAAAAAAGACAAACATTCGGGACATACTTAAACATGTCCAACATCTTTCAGTACTATTTTTCACACTAACTTCCTACATTAATTACACTAACTTACTACATTAATTATATCAACAAAAAGTGTGAGGATGTCAACTTGTACGAACATTTCCGTTGTAAAAATGTTATGAATGGGGGGGGGGGGCAAATATTTGATATCTAGATGAACCATGAAAAAGAGAAATAAAATGTAAAAAAAAAAATATTAAGATTACATTAAGGGCAAACCTTATACAAAATAGAGTCGCTTTCTCTATTTAAATTCTGGAAAGACAAAGTTGGAAAACATTCATGTGGTATAGATATAATGTAGCATCATTGCAATCTTGTCTGTTTGCGGTACATAGTGTGTGTGTGTGACCATAAGGCTACACCCCGTAAAAAATGAGTTTGTTTTCCTGCTCCTCAGAAAGTTCTGAGTTTTAATAGGTCTGCCCCCTGTGTCCAAAATATACATGTGGCTGTACATGTGTCCCCTACCCAGACCCGAAACTGTCACTCCCCAACATACAAAATATTTCACAATCGAAAAAAGGGGGATATGTCTTTTGCCCAAACACGAAAATCCTATTTCGTTTAGTTGAATTAGAGGGGGAAAAGTATTTAATTTCTTTCAGAACCATTTTCCCCCAAACACTACCACTTAACCTTCCTTGACCTTATCTGCATTACGGGCCTGTTAACGGGGGGTCAACGACAAATATATGACACCCGTTCTGAGTGCAAGGTGCGTTTGATTCATGAAAATATAATAGTTTAAAATAAATGTTTATTAGATATGACTCTTACATCAAGAATGTTGCTATTTTGTCTGATTTATGTCGAATCTATATTATTTGTTTGACAAAAATTTTCCGTTTTAAAACATGATAAAGCTGATCACCACCATGTGGTTCCGCTTTCCGTTCCGTTTTCCGTTCTGCGTTTTAGCAACACCCTTCCAAGACAGGTGCCACAATTAACATTCATCATGTTCATTGTGCACGATCCAGTACATTTGTAGTGCTAAAACTTTTTTTTTTATAAGGATCTCTTTTTCCTGGAACCATTTCAGTGACTCAGCTGTGCAAAAGGTGATTCAATTAAATATTTCAAGTCAGCCCTCAAATAGCAAAAGTAAAATTTAATTAAATCTGCAGTGTATCTATGCAGATATAGAATCATGATCCTAGAATATTTAAACTCGAGACAATTTAACATTTTTAATTATTCTGTGCTGAAATCAATTAATGATTATGTATATATTACTATATATCTTTTAAGATAAAAACATTGGAACACTGAAATTTTACAAAAACGGTTTAAATCTGGGATATATTCGATTCCTGCCAGATCTTAGAATGCAAGTAAACTTACATAAGCCTTTTTCTTTAAAAGAACATCAAAAAGCAACGTATAATCGTATACTTGGGGCACCGGCTTGAGAAAGTTATCAAAATATCAACAAACCATGGGCGCAGACATATTGTCAGATCGCACTGAATACTGGGGATGCTAAAATAAGTAAAACAACTGGGGTGAAGTAAAAACGGTAAATAAAAATATATTTCATCATCTACCTTTTCTGTTATATTTTTTTAAAAAATATAATAATATTAAAAATAAAGTAATCGTACTTCTGTATTTCTTGTATTTCAAATTATCGATAATTAATGTTTAATTCTCAAATTTCAGCAATGTCGTGCATTAGTCAAACCATTTTCAGTCTCGAAATTGAAAGTACGTGATGCAACACGTGTGAAAACATACGGATGATAAAAATTGCGGAAATATGACTGATATAACGCCAGAAGTGGAGAATATGTCAATTAAAGAAGAAGACAAATTAGGGGCAGGTGATGACGACTTCATCGTGAATCCCTGGGAAGTGGTCTCCACCTCAGCAACCGGGGTAGACTATGACAAGTTGATAAGTAGGTACTTTGTGGACAGATTGTGTTGTATTGTAACATGTCGATATTTACATATAAGAGAAAATCATTTTAACAAAATATTTACACATGTCCAATAAAACTTATTTGATGACAGTTGAAGCATTTGAATTATTGATTTTTTAAAAACTGTATATTGTATAAAAACTCATATAATAAATTTATTAAATTTTCAAAATATTTACACATGTCCAATACAATTTATTTTATGAAAGTTGAAGCATTTGAATGATTGATTTTTAAAAACTGTATGTCGTGTAAAAACTCATATAATAAATTTATTAAATTTTCTTTTTTCTTTTTGTTGTTGGTATATTTATCCTCCTAATTTAAAACAGGAACCTATATACTATTACATGTAGTATATAGGTTCCTGATTTGAAATGACATGTTTTAATATGATTTTACACAGAAAGGTTTGGAAGCACCAAAATAGATGATGCCCTGATTGAGAGAATGGAGCGGGTCACAGGGAAGCCTGTTCACCATCTACTGAGGAGGGGGAAGTTCTTCTCTCAGAGGTTTGTTACATTTATACAGTCAAACCTTATTATTTTATACTTCATATTTCACCCAATATAAAATTTGTGATAACTAGGATTTTGAGGCAAAAATGCATAAAGAAAAGTTGTTGAGACTTTGAAATCTCGATCACTTTGACATATATTCATGGTATTCAAGATATAGATGTTCCAGACATCAAAGTTCAACTGTAGCTACTGAAATATTTTTACTGAATGATAAGAAATGTAGTCATTTTGTTATACTTTTCTTTTTCTATCCATATAACATGATATTTTTCATAAAGCCTTGATATTGTGGTAAATATGTTTTGTAATCTTCTTGCAGTATTTGTCAGTATGTTGACCTTTATATTCAATTTCTTTTAATTTTAAGAAAAAATCAATTTTATTTATTATTTTTTTTTTTACTTTTTCAGGGATATGCACTTTATCCTAGACATGTATGAACAAAAGAAGCCATTCTATTTATACACTGGAAGAGGGCCTTCATCTGATTCAATGCATATGGGTCATCTTATTCCATTTATCTTCACCAAGTAAGAACGTGGGTATGTTAAGGAAGCATACAAGTCATTTCTCGGGAAATTTAGACTTTTTAAAGAAAATTAAGTTTGATAAATTACCTAAACCACTGGTGAAAGTTAACTGTTATTAACTATTGCATACAGATAAAAGAGTGTCTATCGCAGAGACGTGCACCACCACCACGACATCATGTGACTTCTATTAATAGCGAAATTTTCCTTAATAAAAAAAGCAAACAGAACAACAATACCCCGGAGTTTAATAATTTCTTTGAGTAAATAATATAGTTGAAAAACATCTATTTTGCCTAAAAAGTGCTGCTAAAATCCCAGTGTCCGGTTAGTAAAATAATTATCCCATACATTCGCACGAAAGTTTACCCTATGTTTTGAATTTTATACATATGAATCGAGATTTTTCGTAAAACCATGCTTAACTTGGGATTCTAGCAGCACTTTCCAAGTTTGACAGAAGGCAAACTTTCCATCTGTAAAAATCTTATGTTTTGAAATATCTGGCTTATTGTTGTTCTGTTGCATTATTTTTGCCACAAATGACAGAGGAAAGGCCGACCGGGATATGTATATAGCTGACTGTCTTCGAAAGAGAATATAATCGATGAAAATAAATTAGCATACCTGTTTAATTAACTGAACTCCATATGAATTTCACATAATATTGACGATATTTGCTTTTAAACTCCATTTTACGTATCTTTGTACATGCCGTCCTAGCCAAATTCTCTTTACAGGACATGATCAATTCCTAAGTTACTTGATGTACACATATGACGTCATCGGTGGTAGATTTTAATCAAAATGACAGATACAGCATAACAAAATAAAAACTTTTTATTAGTGTTAATGTTTACACGTTTCTACTTATTTTCTAGAGTAAAATTACATCTCTAAATACCATATTATTACGAAAACTTGTGTTCCTAAATGACGTCATCTCGTCTACTATGACGTCATAATGTAGCACTGATTTAGTCAAGGTAGAATATTTTGTATGCTTCCTTATTCCCCCTGCGAAACAATTTTTGTTGAACATTGATTGAAAAGCATGCATTAAATTATATATTATGATATCTTTAATTCACCAACATTTTCTGGTAGAAATCAACTGTTATTTTATAAATAATTGTATGGTTTGCTGAAAAGAATCGAATATATATATTGCTTTATAAAAAGAAATTATGCAAATCAAAAAGTTTAAAATTGAAGTTTAATGAAATCTCAGAGATGTTGCCAACCATGGGCCAACCCTTACTATTTCAAATTTCTCCTTTGTTAATGTATAAAACAAACAATTTTTTTCTAAAATTTATCCAATGTACCCCAATACTAATAATTACTATGTATTCCTGATAACAGGTGGTTACAGGATACCTTTGATGTACCCCTAGTTATACAGCTGACTGATGATGAGAAGTACTTGTGGAAGGATCTTACGCTGGAACAAGCCAATCATATGGCCATGGAGAATGCCAAGGATATTATAGCCTGTGGATTTGATATTGAGAAGACATTCATTTTCAGTGACCTAGACTTTATATCGTAAGCAAAGATATTGCCCACTTATTAAGCATTATTTTATATTTAGAAACTACTAGGAATATCTGTATTAGAGCTCATTTTTGCTTGATGTCATGAATAATTAAGGTAATCATAATGTACTTTAGAAAGGTAAATTATTCTTGCAGTAAAATCCTGTAATTAAGTCACTGTCATCTACACAGAATTCTTTAATTTCCAGGAATAGCCCAGCTTTCTACAGAAACATGTGCCGGGTTCAGAAGCTGGTTACCTACAATCAGGTGAAGGGGATCTTTGGTTTTGGTGACAGTGACTGCATTGGGAAGATAAGCTTCCCGGCTATCCAGGCTTCTCCTAGCTTCAGCTCCTCCTTTCCCGAGATCTTCAATGGCCGGGCTGACATTCCCTGTCTTATACCTTGTGCAATAGATCAGGTTTGTTGAAGGAAAAAAGACTTCTAATAAATTTCATTTTATGAATTGATCATTATGGTAAATAATAGCCTCTTTTTCTTACTGAGGAAAGATAGTTTTCATGAGAGTGAGATTATAACATACTATTAGCAAGATGTAAGGTTTTTTTATTTCAGTGAAAACAAACAAAAATCTAAGTTTTCTCTTGTAAAATAAAAATTTTTTTTGAGATTTTTGTGAAAATGACTTTAGATTTCTTAGTTTGAAAGTTTTATTTTTGTCTCCATACTGAGAAAACTGATTTCAAATGGTGGCATCACAGATTACATGTCTTTTTTAATGTATTTAATCCTTTTACAGGACCCCTACTTCAGAATGACCCGAGATGTGGCTCCGAGGATGAACTGCCTGAAGCCGGCCTTAATCCACTCCACCTTCTTCCCGGCTTTACAGGGGGCACAGACCAAAATGAGTGCAAGTGATGCCACCACATCAATTTTTGTGACAGACTCTGACAAGCAGATCAAAGATAAGGTATATGTACTTATGTGAAGTTAAAAAAATACATTCCTCTATGCATGTCTTAATTGAATGATGCATACAGGGTTTTCAACTGAAGCGTCCCAACTTTTACTTTCCATTCAGAATTTCTATATTGAAACTTATGTACAACACTATCATACCAAATTCAAAAAGGAGATAATAGTTACATGAGAAATTTCAAAAGATGTTTTCTAATTTCATATACTGTGGATATCATTTTTAGCTGGGCTTATTGCTCAAAGAGCAAGAGAGAGAGAGAACCCCATAGTCGCCATTTTAAAGTTACGTGTAAAAATGTAGTTCGTTTGTATTATCTCAGAAGCAGTTGAGAGTAAAAAAGTGCGCTGTTTCTTGATTTATTTTTCCATGTTTTTAAAACTGGCATCTCAAAATATTACTAACCATGTGTTCCTAACATATTCTTTCACTGTTTCCACAACAAAACATTCCTTGTAATTGTTGTAATAGCCCTCCTGGCCCTGAAATTGAGATCATCAAAAATTTCGCCTATTTATACTGCCATTTCGGTTTGCAAGATAAATCAGTCCAAGGCGCTTCATACAGATGTAAACTAAGAAAGTAATTGATAGAGGAGTAAGGACTTCATTGAAATCTAGCTTTTTTGCAACTGAGGTAAGGATTTGGAAGAATTAATCCAGAACAGAGCGCACTTTTTTATGCGAAATAAATATATGTTTTTTTCAATTGGTGGCACTGTAGCTCTCTGATCTATCAATATATATTTTTTCAGAGAGCTACAGTTCTGCAGCTATAACAAGTAAATCTTGATCAGAGATGTGACAACCATGACTTTAATGTTACAGATCAACAAGTATGCCTTTTCTGGGGGTGGAGCCACTGTTGAGGAACACAAGGAGAAGGGAGGTAACTGCGAGGTTGACGTGGCATTTCAGTACATGACATTCTTCATGGAGAGTGATGAAAGACTGGAGGAAATTAAAAAGGTAAGAATAATTATTACAAATTACTGGTCTTCTCCTGAGGTAAGAAAACTTCTGTTAGATTTTAGCTCAGCCTCACCATAGCAGAGTTGATATAGATTGCATGGCTTTGATTGTCTAAATCTGAAAAGCTCATTTCTATTGCAAATTTATAGGGAACTTTAATGAGGATGTAAATTTAAAAAATACACTGTAATAAAAAATATACCAGTGTCTCAGTCATCTCTTGTGATTCACTATAACCATGTTTTCCTGTACTTACTTTCATTTCTGTTTGCTTAATTCTGAAGTACATGTAAAAGCAAATGCCTCTCAGAAAAGCAGTTTAATACTCACACATGGTAAAATTTATTTAGACTTACACAAGTGGAGAGCTGTTAACAGGGTTCCTGAAGAAGGAGTTGATAGAAATTCTACAGAAGTTGGTCGGAGAACATCGAGAGAGGAGAGCCATGATCACCGATGAAGTAGTCAGGCAGTACATGAAACCCAGGAAGCTTAAATTTGACTACCCCCCACCCACACCTCCATCAGAGAAAAAGAAGAAAAAGAAACATAAGAATACTAAAGCAGTTTGATTGTATCTGTGCTTTAGTGACATTTTAAATGACTTCTTTTTTTTCAATTCATTTTTTTTCAAAAGACTTTAGGATGTAATGTACCAAGTACCAGTACTTGTGATTGTTTTATTCTCAGGTCTTCAGTTCAAACCAAAAATTCTGTGTTTAATGTATGTATATGCACTGCTTTTAAGTTGGGTATTTAGTGACTAGGAATCAATAGTTATAACTTGTATGAGTTCACCTTTTGAATTGATTCAACAATAAACAGATACTGAGGGTAAGTACAATGGTCAAAATTTTCTCATTTGGAAAAACAAAAGTAGGCACATCTTTAAGATCCTGCAATGCATATAGGTTTTAGGACCACTGTTTCAAATATAATTCTTTTTAATCTATATACATGTACCTGTGCATTATTGATAAACTAAATTTGAAAGTATTTCTAGGTAAATGATTAAATACTGTGTATTTTGCACACAAATGTATGATTTACAGAAATTGTAACTGTTATTAACTGAAAGGCTTTTCATGTATTAATGCATGTTCTGATATTTGTATTTATGGTATAATTTATTCAGAAAATGGTAAAATTTATGCATCAAAGAAAATAAAATGTTCTGTGAATGTGAATTTGGGTGATAAATACATATTAAAAGCACAAAGGAAAGGAGAGTACAGTGAAATCTTGTTATCTTGAACTAAATAAATGTGATAAAAAACTTCAAGTTATATCTGAGGATTCAAGATATCATGTGTGAAATATTTTGTGGTTGTGTTCCACTTTATATTCTGTATGTTTTGGCAGAAGCCTGAGTACAAGGCTAGCTTAGCTTTTAGGCTATCTAGGTTGTATTTAAGGGGGGACCTATGTCGTTCTACGTCAGAGCAGCGTTATGTGACGTCACAATAGCGACGTTTGTTTTTTACCTGTTGACTTTTGCAACTGTGATATAGGCATAACATTGTTATTAATCAATAACATACACAATTTACAAAAAGAAAATTTATTCATCATTAATAACAGTTTTATTTGATTTATGGAGTTTGTTAATATTAGAATTCTCTTCCTTTGGTAGATCATTCATAGCAATTTCAGTTGTGAAGAAACACCTCGACGATATGGTGATAGAAAAGTGCAAAAAGATTTAAGATAAAATTCAGCTAAGAAAGCGGCTTACATCAGGGAAATATGTTGAATTTTATGTTTACCATTAATTGTATTTTCTGGATAAAACTAAGAAAAAATTAAGAAATGTGCTTGTACCTATATTTGCTTATTGATTTGTAGTACATGTAGATTTTGTTGTATAAGTCATTCCTAGGTTCTAATAGGTGTTGGTTGTTGACGGGGAAATGGGGGGGGGGGGGCAGAATTATTAGAATGAAGAAGAAAAGAATTAATTTGTTTAAGGTCAGACGACATGTTCCTTGGATATATGTTTGGATCTCTTGGTAATAATCACAAAATTTTCATATTTTTCATTCTCTCCTGATTTCTACATTGTTTTCAATGTGATTTTAAATATAGGTACACCAAATATTGTGTTATAGACCATTTAGAAGATTATCCATAAAGGTTATATAAGAAATATGACCCTGTGGTATCTTGGCCAAATGCCTGGTAAGTTACCCTAATTTTTTGTGAGGAAACTTTCTTAAGTACCTTTACTTCATTGACAAATTCTTAGGAAAATTTATATATTTTTTAGGAACGTGTCGTCTGACCTTAAATTGTTTCTAATCAAAACAAAATACCCGTTTTTCGCAAAATAGTTTTATATTCAGATGTTTGTCATTGCTTACTTACATTTTTTAGTGCAGAAAGGTCAATATTTATGACACAAGAGTAGGAAAATAAATGAAAACTCATATTTCTCGTTTATTTTATCATAAAGGTATACTTTTTTCTTTGTTAAAATAAAAAGCTGAATCGTTTCTTTCAAAAAATATGAATTACGACATTTTCATACAAAGACTTTTTAAGATATTACCTGTTATGCATGTCAGAATTGTAAAAAATACGACAAGAAAAACGGGGTGATACTTACATTGTGCTCCTTTATAATTTTTCATACAAGATAAATTTCAATGAATTTGCCTTCATTTTAAATTTTAAAGAAACAAGTCATGTAAATTAAATACATGTTGATTTCGAATGTGATTTGAAATTTTTGGTTCTTTTTAGCGCATATTTGGAGTAGAACAATAATGTCTGAAAATAATCTATTTTAAGCATTTCACACTGTTTTTGCATGTGCTCCTGTGTAAAAATAAGCATATAAAGGTATTGTTTTTAATACCTAAAAATTAAGAGCAAGTGGTCAAGAAAGAAATGTCAAAGTTTTGAAAATTTCTCACAAAGACTTTTCGGACATAGGTCCCCCCTTAAAGCACGTTATATGAATTAGGCGCAAAAAAATTAATTAATAGTTTCTCAGGCCAAAAAATTCAAAATTCAATTCAATGCGACAGGCAGGCTTTTATTTTTTTTTTTTGGAAGCAGGTTTTATACCTTTTTTTTGTAAGTCATTTGTGCAGTAAAATGATAATATCTACTTATTCTTAAGTTTTGTTCTCTGAAATTAGTTACAATATGTATACAACATTAAATAATGTTATTCCAAACATTTATTTAAAAGTTAACTGATAAAATACTTTAGATTTAGAAGAAATATATTGTTTTTCTAATAAAAGCGTCTTTTTCAGGATTTATGAAAAGGGGAATAACTCGATTTTCTTTTTCAACTTGGAAAAATAGAAAATTGAGTTATCTCCCTTTTCAGTATGTCAATAAAATTGATCAATGCGGCCGTTTTTGAACTGATGCGGCGGTGCCTGAGAAACTATTAATTAATTTTTTTTGGCCTTACTGGTAATAGTGTTAGGGCTAGGCTAGCATATTGTTCAAATCTGTAGAGGCTACAAAGAGCTACTTAGCCCCTATGATTTTGAACACATCCAAGATGCAAGATAACCTCAAAATTCAGCACTCTTGCAAATATTTGAATCTGGGAATTCTAGTTTAAAAATTGAACAAACTAGTAAATCTAAGGTTGAGTAGCAACTATATTTATTTCAAGGTGAGACTTGCCTCAAAATATGTAAATCATATTAATTAAATAAGTAAATAAATATTTTTAAGAGGAATGGATCTTGTAGCATTTCAAAGTTGTTAAAATAAGCATAAGATAAGCATGTTCTTATCAATTGTTTCAAACAATTAGTTAAATCAATTAATTAATTAAAAGACATGTATTATGTTGATAGTAACAATATTCAGTCTTGTCAAATGGTGGCATGTTGAAATAGGGGAATTTCTTTAAGTTCTTCACCTTCATCACCAAACTCCTCTACAGAGCAGGTCTGTGGTTTGTGTTCGGTGAACCGTATCACATGACCTTGTGATGTAACGGGGACTTCTGTCAGCTCCTCTTCTTCATTATCTTCCTCCATGGTTCCGGACAAGGCACTGATCTTCCCCGTACTGAGCCCCTCCTCTAGGGCCATCGCCAGCACACGATAATCTTCATCAGTCTTCACTGTGTCCTTCATATCACTTTCTTCTTCTTTTTCTCTATCGGCTTTTTCATCCTCTGATGATAAATCGTCTTCTCTAGTGATTTCTTTTAGGGTGGAGCTCTTTTGCGTAGATGTTTTGGACTTTGAAGTTTTATCAGAGGATTTTGTTTTTAGTTTCATTGATTGAATACTAAATGTGTCAGAGATGTCATCATTTTCATCAAGAAAGGAGGAAATTTTTTCTACAATACTGCTGTTAATTTTGTTTTCTTTCAGTACGACTTTATGAAGTTGGGAGGGAAACTTTTCCAGCAAATGTTCAATCAACTGTATATAAATGGAAAATGTAACATTTTAGGTAGTTTTTAAATTATATAAATTAGTTAAATTATAGTTACATCATCCCATTACCAATTAAATGCTACAGAATTTACACTTAGATTCTGATTTGAATGAAAAGTGTCACTCACTTCAGCTGTGGAGTCTCCAATGTTTGTGCTTTCTAAATCAAGGACCTGGAGATTTTGTGACCCAGCAAGACCAATTATGATACAGCTAGCTGCGTAGTCACCGAGGCTATTGTAATCCAGATAGAGCTCGCGGAGGTTGCTGCTGGCTGCTAGTGAAACACCAAACTTTGCCCACGATTTCTGGGATATCCCTGGATTAGCACTCAGAGAAAGGTCTTTTAAACCTACAACAAATGAAGAGTTTTCTCCCTTTATGCAGATTATTTATGAATAATAACCTTTTTTAATGCCAAAATAATGTAATTTTTGTTTTAGAAATTTAATTTCTAAATTTTTTTTCTTTGCCACTAAGCAAGTACTTTGAATAATGCAGTTAATATTTTGTTTGCAAAAAAAAAAAAAAAAAAAAAAAAAATCAGATCTGATGCACTTTCAAAAGGTTTTATGATTTATCGCAGCAAAAATGATTTTTGGGGGGCAAATTTTGCAAAGCAGTATAACAGTTTTCCACCTGATTTTGTGCCAGTCTTTGGTAACAGGTTACACAGGTACTCCATAGACTGGTCTGTTAATTCACAGTCACTGACATCCAGAGAAGCAATGCAAGGATGATGGACTAATTCTCCACATATTCTCTGCATGCCCGAATCCTTTAGGGGATTGCCATGGATGCTAATAAAAGTAATGTATTTTATGGGTTACTGAATTCATTTAGCATTTGAATACTGATTGCAAATAACCACTGGGGCCATTCAAATTAAATATTTATATTTGTCTGACAATTCATTACTGCAGGTAGGAGAATGAATTCTTTTCATTGATTTTTTTTCTCATTTCTTTTTAGGGGTCACGCAATATTTTGCAGTTATAGGAAATTTTGTGAAAACATATACATGTATTGAGTATTAAGGTGTAATGAATAATTTATTAGTTACTTGTAACAAATGAATTGAATTAATATACTTACAACAATGCGAGTAGAGATCTGTTCTTCTGCAAGCACCTACAAAGTGCTGAAACGTCTTTCTTAGTTTCAACCATGCCAACACACAAGCTTAACTGCAAAATTGATTTGCAAGCCCCAACTGCCTTCAAAATAGAGCTGTAAAATGTCTCGCCAATTTCACAATCACGTAAAGAAAGTGTCTTCAATTTTCCACCGTTAGCTGCATCACAAATTTCCTTCACACTTTCCTCCGATATAATTACATTGTTCAACTCGATCATTCCCTTCATCGTTGTTTTTACCTGTGCACACTTTGAGGACCTTTCATGAACCCGAGGAAACTCGAGGAGCAACTAATCACAACAAAACAGGCTCGCACTGTATTTTTTCTTTATTTTGATTGGCTAATAAAAATGACACAACAATAATGACTTTACGCGCCAAAAGGACACATTATCCTATGAAGAGCCTAAAAAGTGAGTGGAAATTTTGTCGATATACAGTACATTATTTCTAAGTGGATATAAAAATAATTTATTAAACGGCTTTTAATAAGATATTTTTAAAAATAATAAAAATGCGATCTTTAGAAAGTTTGAATAAAAAGATAGTTCAAAAGTTAAAGAATAATCAAACTCTTGTTCGGTACAGTTACCCTAACCATGTTAAATCGGGTCCGTTGTAAAATATTGTTTTAGTTTTTTTCCACAAAGAAGCAATTCCTTTAACAGCGTCCGCGTGCGCCTTGATTTTTTGACACAAAATGTCAGAAAAAAAACAAACATAAAAAAAAAACAAAAAAAAAAAACATTAAGATAAATCAAAAGTCCTAGAATTGATTATTCTTATTGAAATCTGAATTCTCTCAAATCTTCTTAATATTTGTCTTGAATATATGTCATACAAGGTAAATTATAAGCATTGAATACTTTCATTTTGCGAAAGAATTGATTTTTCTTCGAGAAAGATCAAATCCTTTGAATGATGTCAATTTTGTGACTGATACGATTCTCAGTTAACCTTTCAGTATAGAGCGTGACTTTCTCGAGACTACGTCCCTCAAATGGCGAATAGATCTTCATTAAATTGGTTAAGAAATTAATAGCATCAGCAAATTTGAGACGACTTAAGGTCAGATGACACGTTCCTCACACACATGTTTTGTATCTCTTGGTATTATATAAAAAAAAATTCATATTTGTCAATTGTCTTCTGATTTCTATATTGTTTTCAAAATGTTTCTAAATAAGTACACTAAAAATGGTGATATAGGGCATTCAGAAGATACCCATAAGGGTTATATAAGAAATATGACTCCGATGTATCTTGTCCAAATGCCTGGTAAGGTATCCTAATTTTTTGTGAGGAATCTTGTTTAACTATCTATTCTTCAATGACAAATTCTTACGAAAAATTATATATTTTTGAGGAACGTGTCGTCTGACCTTAAGCCACACCTCTGTCGTACGATTGGATCATTGATACACTCGTTGACATTCGCTGGAATGTATACTTCAACAGTGAATGAAAGGCTGCATGTGCAAATTTCAGACGCTAATATGTAACTTCCAGAATACCACGCCTTACTGAAAGTCCAAGGGTAACTGAAAATTGTACTATTAAGTTTTGTGTCTAATTTTTAGGATAGTGTGTTTTGTGAATAGGTTGATAGGTTTTTGAAAGATGGGTGGACGCTCAACAGAGGAAAAACTTGGAGTGGCCTAGTAGAAAGTAACATATGAATTATTGAACATACATCTGTATGAATGCCCCTCCACCCCTCCCAAAAAGGAAAGTATTGCCCAAACTTAAAAATATGTATATATATTTCATTTCATTAATTCCAGACCGTGCTGTATTGTCAACGAATTTTTCTGTTATTTCCCGATCATGACAAGAAGCATACGGTGGGTATGACCCGTCGACAGGGATGCTCGTGCAGCTACCAACGACACAATGGTATTTTTTCTTCACTGTACAGTATATTTTGCATTTATTTCGCTGTCAATCGCCAAGACCAGTGTTCATCTGACCTGTTTTATTTACACGATTTGTGATATTTAACGTGCCAGTTTTCCTGGCACATAAAATATCAAATATATGGGGAAAAATTCATCTCGAGGCAAAGACCCCAGTGTATTAAATAAGCACGTGGAATACTTTAACCTTTTTGTCATCAGGTGGCAGAGATCTTATTATTAATGTATCACAGCTTATGCATGTTTTCAACGTATAACCTTGGGGCCTGTTTATTTTATGAAGAAAAATATCTCCTTTTATAATTAGCTCTGTATAAAGTTTTGAAATACAAATGTTTTAACTTTTTCTAGTGGAAGAATTCTATGCTTATTTGGATTCCATCTTGGAAAAATCCTTTGAAAAGCTTATTGATAATTTTATTTGCAGTCAATTTGAAATTGCATTAACCTTACATTGGAAGCTATTAACACATTATTTATAAAACATTGTTGAAGAGAGATATCTGAAACGGAGGGTAAGAAAGAGGGGGTGGGTGGGTTAATGTTGCTCATCAGCGTTATGCTTTACAACAAAGCTAATTTTCAGTTCGGCCTCCTCAAATTATTTTTTTTTAAATCCAAGCTAATATTATTCTACTAAAAAAATAAATTACCGGCAAAAAAAATTGGGGGGGGGGGGGTAATTTTATTTTATTTCATTTAGATCTATTTAGTATCAGTATATTTCTTTTTTGCATGTCAACAATTTTAATAGGTTATGCTCCTTCTGACCAAATTATTGTTTAAATGCTCATACAATGATATTTTTCTAAGATCTTTTTCACAGAAGTAAATTCTTTGTAAGAATCCAACTTGCGTACTTTAGGCCTATCAATAAAAAAATTAAACAAAGGGACATAACTCGTCTATGAAGGAGGCATTCGGAAATACTCGGAAATATTGGGTCACTTGCGTATGAAAATGACAGAGTTTGTTCCGAATGAGAATCGGTTACCAAGGAAGTAGATCCTATTGTCAACAAAGAGTTACGGAGCGCGAAAGTGTGCGGACGGTGTAGAGGAGCAGAGATAGAAAAGGCAAAATACACAAGGAAGAAAGCATCCAGACAGGTTTGGTTCATAAACACATGTTTAGTGTTGGGGCAAACTTCATTTATAAATGTATTTTATTTTCCGAAATCACAATACAAACCCTTAACTTGTTATTATTCATTGGTTATCAACAACACCCATAGAGACATGCATGGCACATGAGCAGTTGAGCTATGCTGGTCGGGCATACAACGTTTTCACGCACAATTAAGATAAGTAAGTCAACATGCAGATTTACTATGTATCAGGTTCGACAAAACTATATGTAAAGAAAGAGGAACATTGATTAAACAACATGTTGAACTTTCAGTTTCCGCTACTCTGTCAACCTGCATTTTACAAGGCAAAGATATTGAATATTAATCAGTCGCTTGTATAAATTTACTAGTAATTAATTATCATTATTTTATATTTGACGTTTGAGACATTATTTGATGTTTGAGAAATGAATTAAAAATATCTCTTAAAATTCCGGATTTTTTAACAGTATCCACTCCGAAAGTTACTCATGGAAATAACCCGGATACTGTTACTATGACTTCAATAGAGTTGTAGACCGCGAAGGCTTTGGATGCACGGAAAGAAGGAGAGGTTACAAAATAGAAATATAAAAGAGAACAACAGGTTTGGGGATCTTTATGCGTTTTATGTCAATGTTTGCATCTTATATTTATAATTTTTACACAAAATAGAAATGGAAATAATGAAAATATCATTATTTATGCATTGTCATGAAATAAGCAAAAAATTCCCGTACTTCTTCACCTCAAGCGAAAAAAAACCCCACACCATGTTACTCTCTAGAATAATTATTTGCTCTGTTTTTCGATTTTAACACATACTATTAGCTGAAATTGAAATTGCTTTATTTTTTTCGTATGAGAAACAAATTAATTGAAATTAATGGAGTGAAATGTCACTGCTACAATGACATTTCAAAATGTTCAGATACCCCAGTAGTCCATGATAAGCATGGCCAACCAGGGGAGGTGTGTGTATTGTTGATGCACTCAAGTCACAGTCTGCAATAGGTAGTGCTTGTATGTGGTATACCAGTTGCTAATGTCCCTGGTTTTGTCTATGCTGTAGACAAGCCCAGTGGATTAAAGAAAAACTGATTTGAGCCACTCACTCATAAAACTTCAGACTGTGACTTGTACTCAATCTTTGCTGTGATAGAAGCCAAGAAACAAAACCATTTGAAGTATTATTGTCAGCAGTACCCATTTCGAAGATGGTAAGTTTATGTTAATGTCTTAATGTCTTGTATTTTCAGTTGAATATGATGAGCATGGCCCCCAAGAGAGGCATGTGCATTGTTGATGCACTCAAGTCACAGTCTGCAATAGGTAGTGCTTGTATGTGGTATACCAGTTGCTAATGTCCCTGGTTTTGTCTATGCTATAGACAAACCCAGTGGATTAAAGAACTGATTTGAGCCACTCACTCATAAAACTTCAGACTGTGACTTGTACTCAGTCTTGGCTGTGATAGAAGCCAAGAAACAAACAACATGACTAAAGAATACTTGCCAGAAATACCCATTTGGAAGATGGTAAGTTTATTTTATTGTCTTAACGTCTTGTATTTTCAGTTGATTATGATGAGCATGGCCCCCCAAGAGAGGCGTGTGCATTGTTGATGCACTCAAGTCACAGTCTGCAATAGGTAGTGCTTGTATGTGGTATTCCAGTTGCTAATGTCCTTGGTTTTGTCTATGCTATAGACAATCCCAGTAGATTAAAAAGAACTGATTTGAGCCACTCACTCATAAAACTTCAGACTGTGACTTGTACTCAATCTTGGCCGTGATAGAAGACAAGAAACAAAACCGATTGAAGTATTATTGTCAGCAGTACCCATTTGGAAGATGGTAAGTTTATTTTACTGTCTTAATGTCTTGTATTTTCATTGAATATGATGAGCATGGCCCCCCAAGAGAGGTGTGTGCATTGTTGATGCACTCAAGTCACAGTCTGCAATAGGTAGTGCTTGTATGTGGTATACCAGTTGCTAATGTCCCTGGTTTTGTCTATGCTATAGACAAGCCCAGTGGATTTGAAAACTGATTTGAGCCACTCACTCATAAAACTTCAGACTGTGACTTGTACTCAATCTTGGCTGTGATAGAAGCCAAGAAACAACACAAACTGAAGTATACTTGCCAGCAATATACCACTGGAAGATGGTAAGTTTATTTCATTGTCTGCTTATTAGTGATGTGTGTGCATTGTTGATGCACTCAAGTCACAGTCTGCAATAGGTAGTGCTTGTATGTGGTATACCAGTTGCTAATGTCCCTGGTTTTGTCTATGCTATAGACAAATTCAGTGGATTAAAGAACTGATTTGAGCCACTCACTCATAAAACTTCAGACTGTGACTTGTACTCAATCTTGGCTGTGATAGAAGCCAAGAAACAACACCAATTGAAGTATACTTGCCAGCAATACACCACTGGAAGATGGTAAGTTTATTTCATTGTCTGCTTATTAGTGATGTGTGTGCATTGTTGATGCACTCAAGTCACAGTCTGCAATAGGTAGTGCTTGTATGTGGTATACCAGTTGGTAATGTCCCTGGTTTTGTCTATGCTATAGACAAACCCAGTGGATAAAAGAACTGATTTGAGCCAATCGCTCATAAAACTTCAGACTGTGACTTGTACTCAATCTTGGCTGTGATAGAAGCCAAGAAGCAGCACCGATTGAAGTATACTTGCCAGCAGTAAACTTCATCTCCATCCAAGAAGATAACTGCTATGAACAAGCTTTTATCAACAGTATATGTATTTAACTGTGTTCTCAAAAGAAGACGTAGAGGATATATTTAGCATTTTAATTTTGTATATTATTTTTTAGTGTTGGCAACTAGTACCCGGTTAACTGGTTAACCGTCGAACGATGCGAGTATCGGTTAGTAAAACTGCTATTCGGTTACTCGCATGAAAAAAATATACATAGTTAATGCATATAAAATGATTGTTTTATAATTTATAAATGTATATACTTACACATTTTCCTAATTTTAGGTACCGTTAGACTTGATCTAATACATGGTTGTAGTGGATCAAATTGTTTTGATTAGTTTTCACAGTTTATATAATTAATAGCTTTGATTGCTTGGGGGTATACAACTTTTGAAGGCCCGAGTTATGATTACCTCATTTGATAATTTAACGAGATGTCGCCACAGACAAATTAATCTTGGAGTTGTAAGAAAGAACAGTTGAATCAAAATCTAGACAAATTAACTATTAATTACAGAGTATGTAGATAATTATTACTCTTCTTGATAGCGACATATTTCGGGGGCTGAAAAGAAAAGCATAAGGAAAGCAATTGTGAGACGGTGATTGACGATGTTTTAATTTGTCGTCTTCGTGTGTCAAATTCCTTATTTTCTTTAATCTAAAATCAATATTCGTTGACAATATCGCATGCGTGTATTGTAAATATAATGTCCATATACAGTATATTTGTGTATTACTACTACCGATAAGGAAAACATAAGATAAATAAAAGATACTGATACTTTAACGAAAAATCATCCGAGTAACCGGGTACTCGATCGGAAGATGAAGCGAGTAACCGGTTACTAAAAATCGTCCGATTTGCCAACACTATTATTTTTTTTTATTCTTGTCTCCGTTTATGCTTCCGTAAGCAGATATTCGAATTCATATATTTTAGGTTCTGTTCGTCTGGCTCTATGTGTGTATGTTTGTCGGCAAAAACTTTATCCTTGATCATTTCTTTTTGATTGGTTGGAACTCTGGTTTTTTGGAATGTTAACTACATTAAAATTAAGAAATATCTTCTTATAAATCTTCTTCGAAAAATCAAACGGGGACAACGTGGCTCAAGTGAGCATTGTGGCCAACGGGCCTCAATCTCTTTAGAATGGAAATTGACTCTTCTTGAATAATGCTCATCTCTTCTATCTTGTGCATGATTACGCAGCTAAATTGCGGGAAATTATGATAAACAGATATTCAAGTAGATTATTTTTATTAGATATGAAAGTGCACAAGCATCTTAAACTAATGCATAATAATTACAAACTCGAGGTACTGTGAGCAATGAGCTCACTAAATGATACCCCCCGCCTCCCATAATGTCCATGTTTTGCTATATATTAATTGTTTTACGGTAAAGTGTAAGGAGGAATAACTCGTGGTATCTAATGTTATTCAGAAGCCGCCATATCTCACGTCAGAAGTAAGGATATAATGGCAATGTCCATGTTTTGCAATGGGAAACCTAAAATACGTGTCGGATCAAAAAGTAAAATAGAAGGTGCACAATGGCAATATCTAATAAAGATTCTGTGAAAGTTTCATAAAATTTCACTCAGTGGTATAAGAGGAGTTGCGGATAAGAGATGGGTACCCCAAAACGTAACAGACGGACGGACGGACGTACAGACGGACGTACAGCTACACGGACGTACAGACGGACGGACGGACCGATTACAGTATACCCTCCCACTTTTCAAGCGAGGGGTCTAAAAAGCAAGTAATAAATGACTGCAATAGAATATTCATGGTTTTTGCATAGAGTTAGTTTTTCCATTCCAGGGGGAAAGGCTGCAACAATCAACATTTTTGATAAACCAATGAAACACACAATACAGTCACTTGCAAGACACATTTTAGCTTACCTGTGCTGAAAGCTCAAGTGATTGAGCTTTTCAGATCCCCCAAAGTCCATCGTCCGTCCGTCCCTCAGTCTGTCTAGCTTCCGTCCGTCTGTAAACTTTTTCACATTTTCACCTTCTTCTCAAGAACCACTGAGCTAATTTTAACTAAATTTGGTATAAAGCACCGTTGGGCAAAGGGGAGTTTAAATTGTTTAAATGAAGGGCCAATCCCTCTTCTAAGGGGAGATAATCAAGAAAAGATGAAAACAGGATGGGATCATTAAAAAAATCTTCTTCTCAAGAACCACTGGGCCAGGGAAGCTGAATCTTATGTGAAAGCATCCTGGGATAGTGAAGATTCTAAATTATTCAAATCATGACCCCGGGGTAGGGTGGGGCCACAATAGGGAATCCAAGTTTTACATTGAAATAAACAGGAAAAATCCTTAAAAAATCTTCTCAAGAACCATTGGACCAGGAAAGCTGAAACTTTTGTGGAAGCATCTTAATTGGGTCAGTGTAGATTCAAAATTTTCAAATCATGATCCCTGGGGGTAGAGCGAGGCCACAATAGTTATTACAATGGGGAGAATCTGGTGAAGAACAGCATGACCAAAGTGATTCAGGTGAGCGTTGTGACCCATGGGCCTCTTGTTTTCTGTATATTCCCCTGCGATCCCCTATTGTGGCCCCATCCAAACACTGGATGTATAATTTATATGTTTTAAAAATTTTAGAATCTCCGTACACTATCACTTAGAAAGTTTCCTTTAGGATATGAGTGTTCTGGTCAAGTCATCTACCTTATGATATAGCACTTGTTTTCCTTCAGCGGGGGACAAAAATTATCGGAATTAGCTTGCGTTTTCGACTTATCGGGTGGAAACAATTAAAAAAAATATTACTTGCATGACAACGTTTCTGAATATATTTTCATATCAATTTTACATGATAATTTTTCTGTCTTTTCTTTTTTTTCTTTCTATCTTGATGGTTAATTAATTTTAAACAGATTTGGCCTAATCATTTTATTTTGACTGAAAATAATTCGGAAAATGTCGATTTTCCATTACAACTCAACTTTTCTTCGGCACAGTTCACATCCGGTAACAAAACTGAAACGTGTGATAACTGATACTAAAAGAACAGAATGTTTAGAAGAAAATTAAGCGCTCTAGGTTACCAAAACCCAAACGAATTCAATGTAAATGGTACGATATGTATATTTTATTTTTTTGGCTTATTTTTTGTAAAGGTCCTGCCAGTATGTCATTGAAAAAGAAATTTCCCGAAACTTTGCTAGGCTAAGCATTTTGATGCGTAATTATTTAGTTTTGTCGATAAGTAACATGCAAGTTATTGTTTTGTCTGTCTAGATAAAGTATTGTATATTGTAAAGTATATATAAATATTGGCTGAAATTTTAATGAGATTTTCAAATAAATATAAGGTCTTGATGTGTTGACTTGATATGTCATGTTGCTTACTGTTGTTCATATATTGGTTTGGCAGATGAAAATGAATTTCGCAATTTCGTAATATGGTTAGAGGATCAGAAAATCCGTCATTACAAGATAGAAGACCGAATGGGACTCAGGAATATTAAAAGCAGTGACTGGTCTTCATCGTGTGAAACTGTAAGTGGCTTATGTCAGTGCTTCACATTATGACTTTTAGCAGGATTAGTCATTGCTTTTTCCCCAATAGTGTATTTAATTAATTAACATACACATGCCTATTTTCAGTATTTTAAAGACCTAGGATGTCCTTATCAGAAGTCAGAGCGGACCAATATGATTGAATGGATATTAGCATATGCAGTTAGGCTTGAATATGGAGACCATGGTAAAACTGTTTTTTTTATCATTCCATATAGATAGTAAGGATCCAATTTTGGCATTACTATTGAGGGTTCTGATAATGCTACATTTGAATATCACTAAGAATTCATTCCATTTCAGTTATAATAACTATTTCTTTTGACGTTAAAATTGCTTAAATTACTTATCGCTAAAAACAGTTTGGGGGATAACTTGCTAAAATCTTCATGTTGATCTTTCTAAATTTCCACTTATATGGTATGTAGTCCAGTAAATTAAGTAAAAATGATGGCTTAAAAATCACAACAGAAATTATTTTGTAATTAAATTAAATTTAACATAATGACAAGAGTTATGGCCCCTTTCTATAGTAATTTTCAAAGAAAATCTAAGTTGCCCAAAAATAATGCTTTCCCTCATCAAACATTGTTTGCACATTTTGTAGTTACTTGTTATATACAATTTTAAAAATTGATTTACAGATTGTTTGATGTTTAATGATAAATCTACTGGACTACAGTAAAACATGCTTAAAATGAATTTTTTAAAATTTACAAAATATTTTGAAGTTATGGGGATAGAAAATTACTTTGGTGCAAGGGACATTTCATCATTGTTTCCTATAAGTGTGATTTACTGTAAGTTATTGTGTGGTTATCAAAATATTTTTAAACTAAGGAATATCAGAAAGTCTTGTCATCATGATACAAAAATTGTTTCATATGAATCATTTTGACTGAGACTTAGTTTTTGAAGATGGAGGCTGGTAAAAGAAAATAATGTGCTTTTGATGCATTAACTTATTATAACTTTCCAGTCTTATTCAAATTGGTCCATCCATCAGGTCATTCATTATTTGTTCACCGTGGTATATACTTTTCAGTTGATGAATACAAAGCAGCAGATCCTTCCAATATAGCCATGTCCCAAACAGACCGTGTCCCTTCTTCAAATCCTTTAGATAATTTGGATTGTGAGTGGCACTCTATGTTAAGATAAAACACATGTATATATAAATGACAATGGTTTACTCTTTGGAATCTCAGTATAAACTTATAGAGATATTCTGGTGATTTATATTCTTAAGATGTGCCTATTTTGACAGTTAATGATCCCGATTTTAAGGCTGGTATCACATCTCTATCCATGATTTTACAAATACCCCCTCATGCTGACCACTTAGAGCAATTAAAGGTGAGTAAAAGTAGCACATGTTTTGGAGTTTGAAAATGAAGTAACGGTAACTATAGAATTGATTGCAAATTTAATGGCATCATATTAAACATAACACAGGCAATCTGTATGGTTGTGAAAGATCGACTTTCTCAAGAAGCCATCAAAAAATTCTCCACAGAAAAACAGGTCAGTAAATTCCATAATTCCACAGCAAGGATACACATGATGTTTACGCCTTATTCATCATCTCAAGCTTGAGCTCTTTGAAATTTTACATAAACCCATATTTTTAGTTTTCATTTCTCCTTTTCTCCCATTTTCAGGGTGAACAACTTCCACTAGATCAGACAGATTTAGGATTTGACACTGGAGGTATGATCAATTACTCCATTTCAAATACTCAGAGGATATTGTTTTAACATGAAGGTTTTTCCCTCCAATTTTATTATTATACATTTTAAATTCAAGCTAAAAAATCAGGATGTTGATGCATGTATGAAAATCTTGGAAATTCAAGTATTGTGACTTGTATATTAATTGTATTTTTTTTATATAATTTTTTTATAATATTTTGTATATAATATTAATGTACCGGTACATACAGCAAAACTCGCTTATTACGAACACGGATATTGCGAATTTACGGATATAGCGAAGTCATCTTGGATCCCAAGCTATATAAATTTAATGAAATTCTTATACGGTTATAACGAATTACGGATATAGCGAAGTAATTTCATAGGTCCCTGTGACTTCGTTATAACCGAGTTTTGCTGTATACAGAATGTGTAGTACTTGAGTGCTCTATAAATGACCCCAAATGATTATCTTTTTGTATATTTTTCAGATTACATAATAAATGAAGCGGCCAAAATCCTACGACTTATTCACATTAAGAATTTGAGAGACTTACAAACACAGATAAATGCAGCCATTGTTGGGGTGCAGGCCCTTATAGCAAATCCAAAGACAGACAGTAGATTAGGAAAAGTGGGGTATTAAGTTCCAAGTTCTGCAAAGGAATTCTTGAAAGAACCCTTTAATTTGTTATCCAAGTCAACAGAGGATGGGGTTGTGATCTTGTGGAAGACAACATAGTGCTATTACTACTTATCCAGCTGTAGAAACTCGTCGCATTTAGTTCGAAATATTTAACATGTCAGTATTACATTGAAGGGCTTCAGTTTATTTGGAGTACAGGCGTATACACATACCATTGTGATTAACCATTGCTGACTATTATTGTTATCTGACTATCTATATCTCCTAGCATTTGATTTAGGTCATTCGTGGTTGTTCAAAAAAGCAGAGGCTTACAATGATTAAAGTGCTCTTTTTTTGCCAAAGTTTTATTTTTATTCCATTGAAATTTTGAGAATAAGGAGTTAGATTTATAAAATAAAACCCTTGATGCTTTGCTATTAAACAATCAAGCAATGTTTAAAAGAGTTATGCCCCTTGGACTTCCAATTATTTGCAGATTGAGTTCATTTTCAGAGGTTGCACATACTGAAATGAAATTCGCAAGAATATCCGAATACCAATGAAATTTGGTGTACAGATTTATCTTAAGAGTATCTAGGTGATACAATTGAGCAATATTTAAAGAAGTTATGCCCCTTAGATTTCCAAGTACATGTATTTCAATTATTTGCAGTTTCTTTTCATTTTCTGTCAGTCCACCAAGTTACCATTCATTTTCTTTACAGAGGTTACACATACTGAAATGAAATTTGATTTATTGTCAGAATATCTAGGTCAAGTTCTGTTTTGGGTATGATCAATTTTTGAGAGGGTTTGGACGTAGAAAAATTCCAATAAGTTGCAATTTCCATTCATTTTCTTTACATATAAGTCCAGGGGGAGAATAGGGATACAAGTGTTTCACATACATTTCTTGCTTTGTTCTAATTAACTTTGAATAATTATGTCATTGCTTTAAAAAAAATAAGCCCCAGGGAATGATGTTTAAATGTAAACATTCAAGTCTAGCTCTTAGTGTTGCCACATAGGTCTTACTGTCAAAGTAAGCAAATGCCCTTATTATAAAACTGAAGGGCAAGGTAATTAACCAATGGCAAATGACCAGATATCTCTCAAGTAAAAAAATACAAATTCTGATTATTTTCTTTTTATTAGGATCACCTGCAGTTAACATATGACGATTGTTTGATAACAAAACAAATGGGAGACATACAAAAAAAATATTGACAAGAAAAAGTACAAAGTCTGCAGTTTTTGTAAGAAGTCATGTTGTATCTTCTGCAAAAGCAATATGCATATATAAAAAAATGCAAATTAAATTAAATTTGCATATTCCAAATATAAGGTAGTGGTCTATTGTAATCTCATGGTTCTCTCTGATTATATCAAAAGAAGCAAGAAGCACCTATTTAACACATTGAAAAAAGATTAAAATAAACAAGTAATCCTGCATAATTTTTAAGATATATGAACAGTTAAGACAAAGGATCATTCTTGGTATATACTTTGCAAGATAGAATTTTTTTAAATAGTATTTATTAATTCCTGGGGAAAATCCGTAATATTTTTTGAGGAGGTTTTCAATTGAAAATGATTATTAACATGTAGATATATTGTAAAGAATATACCCGATCATAATAAAATAGCACTTCATATACGGTCTATCTACAGCATGTAAATTAATGTGGACAGTACACTGCAACACTTCACAGTAATAAAGAAGTTAGATACTAGTAGGTACATCATTTTATCAAAGGGTCAAATCCATCATGGAGAACTAAAATAATTTCTTAAAATTTTACTTTGCACCATAATGTCTTATCAAAGACAGTTGAACAAGGAAAGGGGGAAAAAAAGATATTGATCATAAATTATGAAGAAAAAAAAAACAAGACAAAAACACACATACATATATTTTAAAGATGCATATTTAAGTGTATAAGTTTAATATTAACAAGGAACTGCATAACACAATAGTTAATTCATTATTTCCTTGTGACATTTTCAATAATGAATAAACATAGTAGTCTCCCTTTATCTCAACCCTGGTAATCTAGATCCTTTTTTTAATTACATAGGTTTTTTTTAATTACATAGGTTTTGTAGATATCAGTAAACAAGAACTTTTACATTTTTTAATCACTTTGCACAATTACTTACAATATATATATTGTACATATGGTTCTATATAATAATCTAGATATATCTCTGTAAAAATTGAAAATAATAATAATAAAAAAAAGAAAACAAAATTTGTGATATAATATATAAACAACACCATGGTATGTATACATAAACTGGTTAAAATATGAGAAAGACAAAGTCAACACTACAGAGACCGCCGCCCACTAATTAACATATATGGTAATGTGATACATCATGAATATTCACGATATTATGTTGTCATGACAACAATTAGGGAATTCTTTCAAAATAACAAATCTGCTGTAGTACCGGTCATTAATGCCCAATGGACATGCATCTAATAATGAAATTAACAATAAAAGTCCATTCAAGGTAATAAAAATTATTTTCCAAGTAATGCTGTATTATAGAACATACAAAATATCCACAGTAGATTTTGACGATTGGAATGGCTATTTCCAAGAACACGTCCAGCTTGTTGGGCAAGGATTGGAGCACTATAAACAGAGCCTACAAACCATGGCTCACAAGAATATGATACATACATGTATAGCATACGCCACAATTTTTTGTTTACAAAAGTTGCTTTTCTGTAGGTTTTGTGCATACAAGTGGCAACATGTTTAGAAGAACACCTTAACAATTTTTTGAAAATTCTCATGTTTAGACATAGAACAATCTGAGCATGAAAATTTCATGGTACAGACTGACAAGAATTAGACCGTGACATCCTGGAATAGACATTGTGAGAGAATTATCCAAAACTCTATACTAACCACTTAGTCAACATAATTACATAATACAGTAATGACTGATTCAGAAATTACATTTGGAATGATTGTGTTCAGTGTACCTATGACGAATAATAAGCTACTTTTAAATGAATTACATTCATTATTAAATATTTTGACCTGCAAAATGTACAAACACATAGAAATCAACATCAATTACCAGACCTTATGTTTTCATCTCAATATGTACACAAACCAGATATTGTAATAAAAATTTGCCAAAAACAAAAAAAAATTCATACAAACAGTATTATGCTTATACTCTGTCAATGTCATAAATTCATTTTAAACGAGGCAGTGATAATAATAAAATTTGAAAAGTTCATCACCATTAGTATGCCGTCATTAAATTAATTTCTTTTCTCAACTTACAAGTCTCTTATCATTCTTATAGTCCAAAAAGAATATTATCAATTAAAGGACAGAAATAAAGAATTGAAAAAAAGATTGTCATTAAGTTAAAATTGTCATTAATTAAATATATGTATATATGTATATTAATAGTCAGAACCTTTCTAGCTGTAACCTGTTAAACCCTGGCTTCTACCTCTATAATAAATACCTTAGCATCACAGTCTTATCTTCTTCAATCTACACAATGTAAGTTAAATATAATGATTTACATGTATAACATACTGTTCAACAAAAGATGGTTGTAAACGAGAAATGCCATGCTACATATATTTTGGTTCCTGAATCTATCACATGATCAATCACATGATCTAAATAGTACTAAAGTGGTGTATTTTGTTCCCCATTCAGCTCCTCATGAGAATCGCATAGTCCTACATCACGGAATTGATCTGTCAGTTTCCGACATTTCTCTTCAAATGACGATTTATATTCCTTGGGCACCTACAACAAAATATACAAACATGTAAGTATGAATTTTGTTGTCAACTTAACCGTTTCTCCCATCATGGAAATCGTACAGAGTAAACATTTTTTTCTCCATTAACTTTCATTTTTTAAGTTTCTCCTTAAAAAAACATTATTTCTGTACCAAATACAATTTACTATTTAAAAAAAATTCATCCAATTACAGAAAAGCAATGTAAGTCAGCTCACTACATATATATTGTATGCATGAACTGAAATCAAAGAGTGTGCCTCCTTTCTGATAGCAATATTGATATAGACATGCAGACAGACAGATAAAAAGAGTGAAGGATAAGCTAAATACCATTTCTCTTTCTCGTTCAAACTCCTGCTGAATCGCCCCTAGTTCCTGTTTCAGCTCTTCTCTCTTTTTGTCCAGTAGGTCTTTATGCTATAAAATCAAATGTTTTCCATTACTATACATTCTAGTAAGAATATCCATCAAGCGAGAGTAAAACTCTGTATATTTTTTTCTTTAATGAAATAGTCTCATGTACATGTAATTAAATGAAATTTAAAGTTCTTGTAAATAAAAAGGGATTTACATTAATAATATAGAACCAGAGAACTGAAACACTGTGCTAAAAGTATACTAAAAAGGACTGTTGAAAAACAAATATTTTGTTCCACTCTGTTTTTGTATCTTTTGTATCTTATGATAATTTTTATGCAAACCTTAGCTCTTTCTTGCACCACTTCATCTATATGTTTATTTTGTGCTTCTCTCTTTATCCTACAATAAATAAAGTTTTGAAATGTTATATGTAATGAAATCATAAAAACACTGTTTCATTCATAATAATAATAATTTAATAGCAGAGGAGATTCAAAACTTGTAGCTGCTGTAATTACTTCTACTACTCTGATTTGATAAAAAGATCAATTTTTATTAAAATCCTGACAATTTGTTATCCCTTTATTTATCTAGTATGTTTATTATCATATTTCTTTTACTGCCTAGAACTTCCACAGACTATATAGAACAGATTTGTATAAAACTTATAATCTTGTTAGCTTCAATACATCATAATTCTTCTAATTTCAGTTTATACTGTGAATTGACAAGTAGATGTTATGAATATATCATCTACAGTCAAACCTCATTATCTAAAACTCGATATGACTGGGAAAAAACTTAAAGATATGAGTAGTCAGGAACTCAGGTTAAAAATTTTTAAGAATGAGTGGTTGGGACTTCCAAATACATTTTACACATTATCTACGACATTTGAGATATTAGAGTTGAGATATTGAAGTTCAACTGTACCCGTTAAAGCCTTATGCCAATACCAATCTCTTGGGATGAAAAAAGGGCCAAAGTCAAACAGCAGTGTGTAATATATTTACCTTGCCAGTTCATTTTTGTCCTTGTACATTTTACTAAGGGCCTTCATTTCCTTCTTGCTGTGTTCCTCCATTTTCCTCCTGTGTTCCTCCACCTCCATCTCGTACACTGCCGTCAGTCTCTTCTCGTGCTCCCGATGATTCAAGTCCATGATCACCTTCAGAGCATCGTAAACCGCGTCGTGATGTTTTAACATGACGTCCATTTCTGCCTGGAAATGATCTTTGCACATGGCCACGAACACTTCTGCCTGTGTTTTGCGTAGTTCTTTATGCTGTTGAAAAAACATAAACAAATTAAAAATATTGTGTGTAACCTTGCCTTTCTGTAGAGTGGGTCAAAAACTACATCTTTTTAATTTTTTTTTTCATTTCAAATTCATTTTTAAGCATCAATTTCACAACTTATAAACATTTAGTTGGTCACAATTGTTTGATACATAGAATTTCAATGAATATCAAATCAGTAGAAATGTTTCATTAAAAAAAATAATTCTTATTTTTTCATAAATCAAATAGCTTAATATATGGTAGGGTACTTGACAGATTCATAGCAATCAAATTCACCACAAGACAAGAGAGAATGCATATCAAATCATCCAAAGACTCCTATCTATTGCAAGGGGGTTAAAACTGAACTACTTATATCAAATTATCAGGAAATTCTGTCATATAAGGAAATTCAAGAATTAGTAATGCTCAAAAGAGTACTAGTAAGCTGAAAAATTTACAAATTCATCTTATTCTGTTCTATAATCTACATAATCTAATGATTAAGCAGACTGACCTATTTTGTTCTCTTGAGATGAAACTAAGATTAATTCATCAATACTACTAAATATATTTAGAGAAAACTGCTAATAAAATTCTAAATGAGAACTTTTTACTTAAATGTCTGAAAGATAGGCCTTAAAAGGCATATGAATTCTTACTAATAATGATTTGTTTTTCAGTTTACATGGACATTACAAAAGCCCACACATAACAGTAGCATATTGTTACAGGTCCTGATTATATCACATCACAGACTCTACAGATAGAAGACTACCGAGTATACAGTTGTTATATATACAGATATCTCACATTAGTAAAAGACGCTTGTACAGAAATAAATAACAGATGTATAATGAATCACTCCAGTTGACTTTGACCTTCACACAAGGCTTATTTTGGTTCTCTTCACAAGGACTGTATATTCAATCAAATTTATTACAAATTCATTTAAACTCACCCTCCCTTCCCCTGTTGTAGATTTTGGATCGGAAACCCTTGAGTAGCATTGATGCCCTTTCCCTACCTCAATACATATCTCAGATACATTTGTATTTCCATTACTGGCATCAATATTATTTTCTATAACTACATGTTTTTTCACTGTGTGTGAAATCAATGTGGTGTTTTGTTGAAGTGGATGGATAACATTTCCCTTTGCATTTTAAAAGTACTTAATTCTCAGTGAAATACATGTGAATAGATTAAACAGCAGGCATGAATGCCTAGAGTCACTCCCTCCCTTTATTGTGCCCTCTATTTTCCTTTACATAATTTCAAAAATTAAGATTTACTGGGGAAAAAAATGAAATAAATGTATAATCAACTAAAATTCATTTTGCATACATAAGATCTAAACAAGGGGTGTAAGGAGATAAAAATAATAAACATCCAAAGTTGTATACTGTAGACGTACTTTTTTCCACGGGGTTATAATTCCGCGGAATCTTAATTTCCGTTTAATCCGCGAGTTGAAAATTACGCGGATTTCTCAGACTGTCACTACATGCCTTGCATTAAGATCAAGTATGCTTAGACAAATTTCCGTGGAAAATTTGTGACAGCGTACATAGCGTAAATTAATACCACACGGAAAAAAGTACTTCTACAGTATTTAAAATTGATTTAATAAATGTCCTAACGACATGTAAACAAATTGTTTGAGTCGGAACAAACGTCTTATACTGGGTAATTGTGTACTGAGCAATGGCCAATGGAAATGAGTTTTAAGTAATGAAGTGTTCGAATGAGTTAAAGAGATTTCTAGTATTGATTCTCTAGTGCATGCTCTACCCGAGCAAGTCAAAGTTTTGTACATTATAATAAATGGCAATTTCATATATTAGGTTTGTGAGAATAAGTCCGCCATTCATTTTGTTACCTCGCAATATTGCTGCAGACTTACAGGTTTCCATAGTTTTTTCAACATAAATCAGTGTTGTTTTTTATCTATGGTTTTTCCTGTGCGGCAAGGGAAGCATAGTTCAATAGTTGTGTTCGTTTTAATTTTGTATAAATTGATAGATGTTTTAAACTTCTTTGTTCATATTGTGTGGAAACAATAAAGCCTAGCCTCATCTCACAGTGCACTTAAATGCATACAAATGTATTGCTGTTTATGTCAGTGAATAGAAGTGTGGACATGCATATACGGTAAATGTATAATTTTACTTAATACGGTAATATCAACATTCCCAATACCAAAATATATTGTATTGATAATCTTATCATTCATGCAATTCAATATTTGAGATATGTATACTGTTCAAATTGAAAAGTCATGCTATTGGGGGAAATGAAGAGAATCAAAATAAGGAAAAAACAGACCTCTGGGTGTAGAATAATGGACAGTGGTTACACAGCATGGTGTTTCTAGCCACCAGCTTGATTCAAAAGCTTCAAGCCGGCACACACAAAAAATAGGACTAAAAACTATCTCTATCGCCCAAAGAGCTTCAATTCATGATTATGCTTTTCAAATGACTCCAAAGATTGCGCTAAATTTTTAATGAGTGTTATGTCAGTCACCAGTAATTTTTCATATATTTGTCCTTATTTTTCATATGTACCAGCTCAAGTGGCAAACACAGTTAAAAGAAGGCATTTAAAAATATCAGTTTGGTTTTACCTTTCCTTTCCACTAAAATACAAGATACAACAAATAATTAGACATTACATTATGACTGCACTGAAGCCTTCTGTACCAGATGATCCATTCTCTGCTGGCTTCTCGGAGACTGAAATTGTATTAATCACTACCTAGAATCTAGAGGGACTCCACAAACCTATTCAGGAAACCATAGAGGAACTTATCCACAAAATCATGGCCAGTACTAAAAATTTAATGCAAGATGCCAAATACCTAACAGTGATTTAGTTTATTTCTAAAAAGTAAATATAATTAACATACATGTATGTAAATTTTATATACATGGTAATATCTTTCAAATTCATGTTCAAGATTTTTGCCACAATTTATCTTGTGGAAAAATTCTTTTATAGCATTCTGATACAGGTTGTCTAGGGAACATTTAAATACAATCACATGACAGTATGCAAATTAATCATGTGACTGTAGCAACACTGGGTCAACAACGAGTACCACTCATGCAGAGCGACATTAGGTGGTACCTTCTCATCGTGCTCTCGGGTGAGCTTCTGGTACTCTTGTCTGTTTGCCTGCTCCACTTCCTCGACATTGCCTGCTTTTATAGCTTTCTTTAACGATTTAGCGTGAAGTTTTTCCATGGCGGTCTTAGCTTTCACCTGAGATATCATGAGTCTCTCTTCTTGTAGCTCATGTACCTCACGCATTGTTTCCCTGGCCTAGAAAAACGAGTCAAGAAAACATGGCACACATGAAATGCAAGTGATAACATGAAAAAGGTAATGCGGGGTTGTCTCTAAGAACTGAAATACTGTAAAGTCACATATTTTCGTGGGGTCAAATTTTCATTGTTTGGGTAAGAACTCTTGGTTCGTGGGGATTTGAATTTGTGGATGAAGAATTGTTGAGTAGTTAAGTATGCAACATTTTACATTTCGTGCTGGACATGAATTCGTGGATCTCTTCATACCTCGAAAAACAACAAAAATTAAACCCCACGAAAATTTGTGATTTCACAGTACATGTATCAGGGGACAATTCAAAAGTAGAAGGGAGTCTCTGTTGTTCCTTCCCTAATAGGGGGGTTTACCAGAATAGCCTGATGAAAATGTCATTATAGGTAGAGAAATTCCCCAGCCCCTTGGTCTAAAGGACAACCTTAGTTATCAATGAATGGTTTTTCTGGGTCAGAATGAAAATGTTGAGATAAAAACTCTCAAAATTTGTCAACTGCTTCATTACTTGAGCTGAAAAAGGTAAATAATGATCATTAGCACTTTAACATATCAATAATCCACTGATTCATCAAGAACTTGTCTTAAAAAATATTGATCATCATTTTTTAATTTTCATTTTTTTTGTATCTTTTTGGACAAAACCAATCTAGAAAACTTTATTTCTGCACAGTGGTATGCCAACAATAATCACAAATTTTCATAAATTTTTTATATGCTTTATGTTAAAAGTATGGAACTTCAGAGAAAAATTCATCTTAATCGAGTCATAGTAATGACTGCTCATCGTACCTTTTCATGCTTTTTACTGAGTGACTCCAGTTCTTTATCCCTTTTACAGATGACCTTGAAGAATGCCTTTTGATTTTTGAGATCTTTCAAAGGTGTTGGAACCAGTAAAGCTTGATCTGCAATGAAAATAAACACAAATGAAATCAAAAAACAGTCTGTATAGTATGCAAAACTACAAATGTATGACAAATATGAACAGTTAGATTAACTAATAATATATATATATATATATATATATATATATATATATATATATATATATATATATATATATATATATATGTACATCCTGGCTGTTCAATTTTTTAACCAAAGCAGAACACTTTTAAAAACAATTTATTAAATGCCTTTCCCTCATTTCCAGATATTTACTGTAGCATATTTTCATTACAATATGATAGTGCTTTAGAATTTTTGCTCATTTTATCAAGTACATAATTTTAATATGCACCTACCATTCAATAGTGATTGAATTGTGCTCACTGCCTGACCTGTAAATAGAAAAAAACTAATGTTATATCATCTTAATAATCATTGACATAAATGTAGGCTTCACTGAAGGCAGACAGTTTTACATAGCTAGTACATGTACTCTCGGTTTATATGTAGTTACAGTATGGCAAAGATTGGTAAACAATATCATATTCACTTTGGTTATCATGAATGGAAATCCTATTGATTTACAGTGTTTGGCAGAAACCTTTATTACACTGGCTAAAATGAATATACCCACTTTTGCTTTCTTTTAGAGATAATTGGTTGAACTGATTTGGCTGGCCATTGCTTGTTTCTGGTTTAACTACTGGATGTGTGGGTTTCTTGCTGATTTTTTCCTTAGTGATTTCCTCTGGCATTGCTGGGGTAGGACTCTTGGTTCGGTTCAGTGGATTCACTTCTCGATGTTGTGGCGAGGTGGGACCAGAGGTTTTACCGTTTGGCTGTGCAGACTATAAAAATCACAGTGAAAAATCTCAGCAGTTGTTAAGTGAACCTCAAAGTGTATATGTATTCAAAATTTCAATATAATCTATAAAACAAAAAAATATGAATTAAAATCATAAGGAAACTTTGACAAATGCATAAATGTATAATGTTTATGGAAAAGTTAAAAAAGAAATACAAGCAATACTTTTAAATGATATACCAAGTATAGGATTGGCATTTACAAATAAAGAGAGACACATACAATTTAGCAAAGTCATGCACTAGAAGTATGTATTTGTGATAAATGGAATACTGGTACATGTTGCTAATTTTGGTCCCTGTCTCTAAGACAAGTGGGGATAGAAATGACATCTATTGAATCACAATCATATACATCTAATAATTTCAAAATTTTGCAAAGTTGTTACCGATATTCAAAATTATGGACAGACAGGCTGAGTGATTGGATCTACTTTTATACACAAAGACATGTAATGTCATTAAAAAAACTGATTGAAATGACACAATTTGAATGGAAATAAAATTCTAAAACAAGGTACTGTGATGTACTTCTGGGTTGTGACGCTGCTGACGCATCTTTCTCCAAGGGTCTTTAAAGTTATACATGGATTAATGATTCTGTCTCAGAGTGGAAGACATAATCAATTAAAGAATGTTTTCAAGATTTATGAGAGTTATTGGTGTGTAAATCACACAGACTTCTCACTATCCCCTCCTCCTCCCCATCTTATGTTTTTCTCTCTTCTAACCTTTATATTTTAGTCTTCTTCGACTACAAATGCTTCAATACATGTGCAAATAAAGAGATACAAGTGTATACATTGAGTACCCTTTTCAAATAGAGAGCATACAAACTTACGACAAACTCCGAGTCCTCTAGCACTGCTAACTGCTGACTATGTTTCTCCTGTTCAGATAGGTAGGCTATGGGGTTTATTAGTGCATCAATATAAACTGCAAATGGAAGAAAGAAAACATGCACAAAGAGAATTCTGATAAATATGTACAGAAATAAGGTAACCAATGAAAGCATGATTGAAGCAGAGTAAGAAAACATAATCTAAATGTTCAAAAATATTCCATGCCATTTAGACTCCAAATGCATTGGAAGATCATTTTTTGTCTGTATGATACATTCTAGCTCAATGGCAAAAATGAAATAAAGAAAATAAGCCTTGGATTTGGCATTCAATGGGTATTTGATGATTGAAGAATTTTTTTTTGAGTTGTTAAAGCAATTATTAGTTTTGCAAAAAGGTTTTAAAGACAGCAAGAAATAAAGCATTATTTTTTTCTGCCAACAATGAATTCATTCACATCAAAAAGATATATCAGTTTATCCAACCATGCATCATCATTCGTATCAACCAGTATCAGAGCCCATTGCAAAGAATAACAGCCATTTTTTTAGTACCATATGATACAAGATTTTTTAAGACTGTGTAGTGGTTCAAACCTTTAAACTACCGGTACTGCTTTTATCTATATTGTTGATTCTTATACTTTTGCCAAACGATTCTTGGTCAGAAAAATTAAGTCCCTCCCCAGTATCAAAGAACTTGGAGAGAAGAGTTTTTCTTTTCTCTTTTTCTCGTTTACTCCAATATTGTCTGGGGTTTGTCAAAGCATCCACTAAGCCTGAAAAGTTATCAGTGATTCACAGACTTAATATACTAATACATGTATTTAAATGAACTTTCCCGAGTGAATTTTAAGAAAAATCTCCCTTTCTAATTCTATTACCTGTTCATATACAGTTTGTGTATTTCAAATTCAGGAAATCAAAAATTAAATTGTTTTTATTTATAGCAAACCCATATGTTAAACATGTTTAATGTTTAATTTGGGTTAGTCAACTAATTCCACCTCAGCTACACACAAAGACTATTCATCAGCATTAAAGGTAGTAATTTTATGAACACATTTTATAAAATCAACAGATATTATACAATGTCCAGGGTTCTGTACACATGTATATTTCCCAGGGTTCATCAGAGACTCCACAACAGCTACAAAGGTAGTGGTGATTCATAGACTTAACATACAGACATTCTGATAATTCGTAAGTGAATAATAAGTCATTGAAAATTGTCCATCACATTTAACACACTATTGCATACAATTCATTTTACTGTGTGTGGAATCATTTTATTCTGTGGGGCGTCAAAGTTTGTGGCAAGCGAAATTTTACTTGTTGATGAAGATGTCATTTCAAGGGTAACTTCTTTACAAGAAGATTTAATGAATCAATAGTCCACCATCACCCACCCAGCCCCCAAAAGTGTTGTTGGGATGTAAATTTGAGGGAAAGAATGACCCACAAAATCCACAAACACTGATTCCCCAAGAACAATGTTGGTTCCATAGTGCTTTATGTTTAACTACTGGTAGTCTTTTAATCCTGCTAAGCAATCTGCTTGTAAAGCAAAAGTCATATACACTAATACAGAGTTTCACTAACATTTAAACCTAAATTCAAATTTAAATAAACTAGAAAACTGACCAGTCAGCAAGGGCCCCGCAAAGGGGTAGAAATATAAGGCTGCAGCTCATTTAATGAGAGTTTTACTTGATTACGTTTTTAAAAAATATATGAAGATTATAAGTTACAACTGTTACAATATTTTTAAAATTTCAAGATAATTCCTAAATGTCCCAAAACCTGTAAATAGTAACCTTGTATTTACATAAAACAGGGAAAACCTCATGTCTTATTAAAAAAAAACTAAATTAAATGTGTATTTAAAAAGATTTAAGCAGGTGTTTTATAAAATGCAAGCTTTCAGTGAATGCAAATATCAACCAAGGTTGACCTCAACTTCAAAACAAACATCAGTTACAGACAAAGGTGTTCATTTATCTTCATGTGACAGATAAAGATAAGCCTCTAAATTTTCTGCAGCAAGCACGATAATTAATCTCAGGGGATTAATTGTACTGCTCTCTCATCCTTTTCTTCTAAATTTACAATAAGAACTTTTTTCAGCTCTGACAGAATGGGGTTACTATGTGATTACCTATTCAAATTAAGAGCATAAAGGCAGCAAAAAAAAAATAATGAAATAGTGATAACAAGAAAGAATATCTTAACATATATTTTGATTTTAGAATTCAATAAAATTATCAAATATCATTGTGTACGGTATTTAACCTAAATAAAGTATGAAAATTATTTTAAATCCATATTTCAGAGAATGTGCACATCATCCAAAATTGACCTAACTTAAAAACAAAGTTCATTTGCAGGCAGAGGCTACTGGTACAGTAATTAATCTGAATGTGACAGATAAAGATAATGCTTTGGATTTTCTTCAGGAGGAAAGCTAATTAATCCCAAGGGACTCATAGCAGCATTCACTTTACAATGGGAACATCTTCAGCAGTTATCTCTCTTTGCCCATTCATTATGCAAAGTTAAGGAATCTACCCCACCACCCCAGCTCCAAACTAGAAGACGTAGAGAGACAAACTTAGCATCAAAATACGTATTTCTGCCTACTGAACTACCATACCAAATTTGAACTTGATTGGGCAACCATAGAAAAAGTTATCAGCAAAAAACAGAAAATTTGTGGACGGAAGAGTGACAGACGGACAGACAGACAGACAGACGGACAGACAGAGTGATTACTATATGGCACCCGCAAATTCTTGCGGGGCCCTAACTAACAAAATGCCTGCCAATGTGATTAACATACTGAAATCCCCCCTCCCCCCAAAATTACTCTTACCAGACATAAACTTACAAAAATTCAAAGCAATAAACATACTGAAAATCTAAATGAAGACCTTACCTGACATATCATCAGGAACATAATCCTTCACATTGATGTGTACAAAGACAGTGGGCATTAATAATGGCAAGTTACACTCATTCCTCAGAGGTATATGTCGGTAACCTGAAAAGATAAACATTTTTTGACAAGCATTGTACTGATTTAAAAAAAAAACCTCATAAGACAGATACATTTCTAATGTAAGCTTGGCTCCACAATTTTTCTGAAATATGAAATAAATTTTGATCCAGTGCCTACCAAATCCATGTATCACTTTAACTTACATAGATATTTATCCAGGTGAGCTAAATGAACCCTTATCTTCATACCTGGTCCCTCTTCTGGTAGAAGAATATTACATTAGCTCACCAGGATATTCACCCAGGCGAGCTTAGTAGGCCCCCGTACATACATACCTGGTCTTAGTCCTCCACTGATAGAGGAGTTTCACATTAGCTCACCAGAACATTTATACAGGTGAGTTTAGTAGGCCCCCATAGTGTAAATACCTGGTCTTAGTCCCTCCACTGGTAGAGGGGTATTACATTAGCTCACCAGGATATTTACCCAGGCGAGTTTAGTAGGCCCCTAGTCTACCTACCTGGTCTTAGTCCCTCCACTGGTAGAGGGGTATTACATTAGCTCACCAGGTTATTTACCCAGGCGAGTTTAGTAGGCCCCCTAGTCTACCTACCTGGTCTTAGTCCCTCCACTGGTAGAGGGGTATTACATTAGCTCACCAGGTTATTTACCCAGGTGAGCTTAGTAGGCCCCCTAGTCTACCTACCTGGTCTTAGTCCCTCCACTGGTAGCACCCTGTGACCTAACAACTTATTGTTCTCATCCATCACAGCCAGCCGTATCACTGCCAGAGTTGGCAACACAACCTGAAAATGGATGATTATTGATTAACAAAATCACTTACATAAACATTGTCACAAGCCACAGGTTTTGTGTCCATTCTATTCCCACAAACAGGGTGGGGACAGAATGGACACAAAACCCATGGCTTGCAATGATGTTACATAAAATACTTAATGTTATCAAGTTTTTCTTCACTGTGTAAGTTGTTTTTCATCTTTAATAACATAAGAATGTTGTTCTTATCACACTGGTTAAGAATATTGTTCTTAACCAGTTCCACAAATCAAACCTTGAAGTATCAAATATATATTTTTTTATCCTATGGTGTTTTTACAGGACTTGTATATTTTTCACACATGCATAAGACAATTGCCACAAGTATAAATCCAGATCATTATTAACTGTCCAAAATTAAGGCACACAGTGAAGTATTGATGATCAACTTTCTAGATAAAACACTTAAATCTTACCTTTTTGAATACAAATGGCTCCTCGTCATATACAGGATTAATGCCATTATTTGGGACCGTCCTAGTTCGGTGTCGTTTACGAACTGTGTCTGTGGGTAGACCATACATATCCACCTCTACATAAGTACCAATCTTTTTGTCTGTTAAAAATTGCCCTGATATAACCTGAAAAAAGATGAGTCTCCTTGTATTGACAGTGTAGTTAAAAAGATTTACTTTTTACAATCTGAAAATGTCATATCTAATTTGAATTTTTTTCTTTTGAATCCTTCAATTTTTAATTTACTTTAATAGTTAATGTGGCTGCCACAACACCATCCATAATAGATTCCGCGAATGGATCAAATCGTCGGTCATCTCGCCTCATAAAGTCTGGCTTCAGGATGTAACCACATTGATTGTTGTATTCAAATATTCCAAGATTTAATTGCATGGCAAGATCTGAAATGAGGTCGACAGAGTCAAGTTCCTTGGAACAGCAAGATAAAATAATCATTATATACATGTACAGCCGAAAGAATGACTTTAGTACAAATTAGTCCTAGAATGACTTTAGTACAAATTAGTCCTAGGAGTTGCTGGATAATCTTTTTGTACATGTTTTTCTGAAAAGTTTATCCATTGAAATATATTTTTTTTCAACAAACCTAAAGTTTGGAAGTTTAATGCCACAAGTTGGCAACCCGCATTCCAGAAAATCTACAAAATAAAATGGATGAAATAAAGGTCTTTATCTCTTAAATTTTAACGGTTGGTAAAAATGAGCTTATAAAATTTTTAAGTAGAAAAAATAACAATGTTAATGTAGAAATTTTGCAATAGAGTTATTCCATTTTTTTTAATCACTGAAACTCCATATTATGTTCAGTAAGTAATAACTAAATGTCAGACCTGTGGAAGGAAGTTACTGGAGTCCACACGTGTCCCCCGGGGGTATATCCTGCTCAACTGTCTCTTATTGTAACTGAGGGGGGTTAAGGAACAGGTATATAATATTGTAAGCTTCACAGAAAATTATAGCCTTAAACAAAATGTTTAGCAGTAAAAGTATATAATTAGTTCAAGGATACTTGACAAATTCCACAGGGTATTCCTTCAGAAGACTGGTTGCTTGAGTTTCCACAAAGGAGGAGATTTCAAAACTTTTGTTTCTCTCTGAAAAATGTAAAAAAGACACAATATTATAGCCGTTCTAGCATATAGGATTCTTATTAGAGTATCTGGCAGGGAAGTCTGATTTTACTGGTAATAAGATTAAGAAATACATCTTTTGACATATATTACTTCACAAAATCTCTAAGACTTTTTCCTGAAGTTTATTACTTCACAAAATCTCTAGGACTTACTTTCTGAAGTTTCAAAGGAATGGAAGTGAACTGGTTGAACATAATTAACAAGCATTGACATTTCTAACCCAGCCTCGGCTTCTTGTCCAGCTGTACCCTGAAAAACAAAATTGAAATTTTGTTGTCATTGCCTCACTGTCCAAGTGACCCCCTCCCCTCCAAAAAAACCCTCTGAAGCATATTTTATCATTTTTCACAAATAGACCCAACAGGACTGAATTCTATTATATATTGTCCCTCTTCCTTTACTGCATTCCTTGTGAAACACATCAGTACCCACCTTCTCCACTTTGAACTGAATTTGCTCTTCATTATCGTCATCCCCGTCATCGTCATCGCTGTCCGAGGAATCCGAGGGCACGTCCTCTAGATTGGCATCAGGGCCGGGCACTCCTTGACTGAGGGTGTCCTCTGACATACTTTCAGACCGTTTCCCCCCTTCACCGCCTCCGACCCCACCCCCTGTCCCACCTCCTTCATCCACAGAATTTGTATCCTTCACTTGACGCTGCTTTGGCTTTTCTAAAAAAATATTTTAAATTATTACCTTGGGAGTCATTAGTTATCCAAATCCTGGATTCGGTGTAAAACATTCGATAAATGTTATTAACCCTTTAAGAAGTTAGAAATATTTCAATATTTTTTTCATGAAGAGAGAGACTGATAGTAGTCTAAATGCAAGTGCAAGCATCACTCAAAACTAGGTTGATAGTTATAAGCTGGTGTGATATAAGAAGCTGTGCCATTATGCAAAGAGAATTTGCAGGCATATTTACCAAAAGACATAAGAGAGCAAAAATATTATCAAAGTTTGCCCCAAACACATCACAGTTCTTGTGGCGAGATTATTCATTTTGTGGTAAGTTTTAAGCACTAAAACCTAATTAGAGATTATATGCAATTTCTAGTTAACATAGTAAAAACACATACATCAACTTTGCAGTATTATGAAATACATTGTGAATATTTTGTATTAGATGGTTAAATCAAAAGCATTTTGTCTAGTATGGCTGTTAAAAGAAAACACACATTATCTACATAGTTCTGTATTGTACACGTGATTCTCAATCACGAGTGAACTGAAACCTATAGAAATCTGCTTCTAATAGCATCGCTGTGAAATTAATCAAACGCTTAAAACCTGTAAACAAAAGTCTATAGTCTACCCCTTTCATAAAGTTAACTAAATAGGAGTTCTTAATCTCTTATAATCATTATTAAAAGAAGTATTGCCATACATCTTGTAGATTGGTGAAATAGAAAGCCAAGCTATCTTCAATATTAAGACAGCAATATTATGAAAATGCAAATCATCCCTATTAAAGTTCTTACATCTCAAAAGCAGGTTATTCAAAAGGTTATATGATTTTTTATCATTTTCAAAAGAATAAACAACCTCAAGTAAGATTCCATTTTTTTTTATTTTTTGCAAATTTTTTTTCCCATATTTCATAGTCCTTTTCCTTGAGTTATTCTAAAAAAACATCACAAACATCTAAATCCTGTTGCATAATTTTCAATTTATTAGACCCCTAAAATATAAAAGAAAAGAAGTTATCTGGCATTAGAAATACTTGCAGCAGAAATAGAGAGTAAGGCAAGTCCGCCATTACTGAGAACACCTGGTTGACTAGACTGATAGACTATATAAGTGCTCCGGCAGTGGCTATTGTTAAGTCTGTTAACGCTTAGTGCAGAATTACATATTGTTAAATGAAACACCAGTTACCTTTTTTCCTCTCTGTAATGGGAACCAACACATTTAAAAAAAAAAAAAAAACATATATAGGAAAAGATCCATGTGGATATTCTTTTTCATATTCTCTCATAATAAACTGTGTTAAGGGTGTTTGCAAAGGGGTTCATACTGTCAAATGTGCATATTAACTTTTTTAAAATTTATTTTCATATTCATTCACATTTGCAAAAAGTATGATGCAACAAGGCAGCAATGTTGCACATGCCATGACTGTAAGTTAGTGAGAATCTGACCATGCTAGGAATCACTGTAGAGCTACAGTCTTACCTCTTTGGTGGAAATGCTTCTTCTTGTTCTTGACGATGATTTTACGCATTAGACTACATGGGCTTGGCAATGGAATACCTGTGTCTAACTATAAAGATTAACAAATAAGCATTATTAAGCAACTTTTGTTTGACATACCTAGAAGCTTTGTTTCTCTATAGCAATATTCTGTGTCATAAATAAGTAGCAATCTAATTTTCAATGTTTAATTGTGTAGCTTGAAAAAAAAAACATTTTTTTTGGTAAATTTTAATACCGTAATGAAATTTAAAATTTGAGAAAATTATGGCAAAATTTTTAAATTTTATTGAATGTTTAAATGTTCTTGGTGATTTACAATTACATGTATGTACTGAAGTAATATGAAAATCAAAAGCCTGAAAGGCTTCAATGGCGTCGAACAAGAAAAACAATTTCAAAAGATCCGCAAATAGGTCAAGTGAGTGACTCCAGTAACATAATAATAAAATTTTTAAAAATAGTCTTAACTCAAATACAGAATAGGGCCTGATAGCCTTGTGTCCTGGTCCGAATGAGTCAGGGTTCGAATTCACCAGACATCATCAGAAATGTCCATCCTCTATATCAATCTAATTTCTTTTCAGTCAATCGAAGACATATGAAGGGTTTCATAAATTATTTTAATTAATTGCCATTTAGAGTTGTATAATTAATTTTACAACCAATTAATGTTACGATATGATAAGCGCGGTAAACATACTGGCATTACTGGTCAATATCGTAGGTTGTTCGGCTTAAATTGGATTGAAGATCGTAAAAGTAAAGCTAAGATTAAGAAATTCAATCTTTATACTCTTGTTGTATTCGTGTTTATTTTGTAATTTTAGTAATCGGTCCCAAAAATTCGACGCACCCTCTCAGTAGAAATTCATCCGCAACAACCATAACGTTTTTCTTGCGTAAAAATTAAATTTAATATCGTTGTTTTGTAGTAGTATTAATTGAAGATACAATTGTTCAAGCTATTATTCATTGTGAACGTATTAAAAGAAATTGGTTTACAGCTGTTGCTATTTTCTATTGCGGATGCATCCACTGACACGTGCGGTCGTGTAAACCTGACTGATCGCTAGATGACGATCGGGCAAGCCCGACGCCATAAAAAATTGATGTATTTTTCAAAGTACAAAAGAATTAGACCAAAACGGGAAGTTTACAGTAAGATCCATAGATATGTAAGTGCAATATTTTTCAATTAAGTCACTTCTACAATATTTTTCAATTAAGTTTCAATTACAGGAAATCCGTCTAGTGTGTCTGTGAGTAACATGTCCCCAAATATGTTCCTGCAGTGGGCTGCCATCTTAGCTTGCTGCCTTTGCCTGGAATATTCAAACAAACAAGACAGTTTAAATAGAATCCTGTTGAACAAAAACAAGCTATTTAAATGAATATTCAATATTCAGGTCAACTATAAAAGTTTCTAGCAAATAAAAATTTAGGCTAAAATTAAATGAATTTTTTTATCTCTACCCTCTAAATTCAAGGAAAAAATTCACACTGCAAGATTCTAATCAAAATGCTGTCACAGACCAATACATGTACAGAAAATATCATATTCGTAATCTAAGACTTACGAGCAGTGATTCTCAAAAGAGAGTATAACTGGATATTCTGATGTTTTAAAAGCACTTTCTGCGATTGCTTCAATCACTTCCTATGAAGAAAATATATTATTATAAATAAACAGTTTCCTCTTCTTGTGAGCAAAAACAGGTGAACGCATTACAAAAAATTCTGAGACTGCAATATAACAACTGAATAAAACTTACATAAATAAATATCTTAAAGATAATCTTAAAGATTTATAGAATAATGATTATCAAACTGATTCAAGGATCAAGGAATGTAAGAACATATTCAAGTATGAATAATTTCTAAAACTAGGCAGGTTATTGCAAAATAAGTTGGTGACACAAGGATATTAGCAATCTCATTAACAGTCAATATTTCACAAATTTTATCGTCAATACAATGATCTTGTTTCAAATACAATCTATCATTAGATTGGATGCTGAATGTTATCTTTCATAACAATAGTAAGGGCATTATTTTCACACTGGATTGTTTACAATACTTTTCCATTTATCTGCTCATAAACAAGGGACACACAATAGTTATTACCTATATTCATTGGATGCTTAACTTCCTAATCTGGCAATAACTTTAAACACTAACCCTTTGATAAGGATAACTAAGATTAAATACAGGATGAAAGACTTTTTCTTTTAAGAGGAATATCAATAATGGATACAGATAATACTAAAAGGATGGGTACCTTGAAAGGAACTTCAGTGCACATGGTATATCCATGAGTGATGATGGGTTCTTCATCAGCGTTTCGACCATCCCAGCAATCTAACTCAATACAGCGACACCCTGTCAGTAGAACTTGTCTATACATCTCAACTGATGATCGCCCTGTCAGTTGGTGACCTACAAAAACAGGAATCAACCATTAATTTGTAAACTTCTCTCCCTAATAGAAAAAGTTCATATAATTAACCTTTTTAAAACTGCACACCCTTTTCCCTGTATTTAGAACCCTTAACTAAAAATATATAATTTGTCATAATTAAGGGACTGTTCACATCAACAAGTTAATTGTTTAACTCAGGTAGTAAATCCATGTTAAACTTACTCATTTTCATGTATTCCAGATTAAACTGGCCCTCAGTAGTATACTTTTGGTAATTGTGCTTGGTTTTATTATTAACTAGAACTGTCCAAACGGGACAAAATACCCCCCGCTGGGTTTTTCAGAAGTAAGTTTTTCCATAAGAAAGATATGGAACGGACACGAATTATGAAATTTTTCTTCCAATGACCTTGAACTTCCCAAAATGACCTTGGGTCAAGGTCATGACACACCCTTGGGCTATGGGCAATCTTTGTGTGAAATGAGAACCTACAAAGTTTATCCATACGAAAGATATGGACCGGACATGAATTATGACATTTTTCTTCCAGTGACCTTGAACTTCCCAAAATGACCTTGGGTCAAGGTCAGAACACACCCTTGGGTTATGGGCAATCTTTCTGTGAAATGAGAACCTACCAAGTTTATCCATAAGAAAGATATGAACCGGACACAAATTATGAAATTTTTCTTCCAGTGACCTTGAACTTCCCCCAAATGACCTTGGGTCAAGGTCATGACACACCCTTGGGTCATGGGCAATCTTTGAATGAAATGAGAACCTACCAAGTTTATCCATAAGAAAGATATGGACCGGACACAAATTATGAAATTTTTCTTCCAGTGACCTTGAACTTCCCCAAATGACCTTGGGTCAAGGTTATGACACACCCTTAGTTCATGGGCAATCTTTGTGTGGAGTAGTAGATTCTAATATCTCTCTGTAAGAAAGATATTGACCGGACACGTTTGCACAGACAGACGGACAGATGGACGGATGGACAGATGGACAGACAGACAGATGGACAAGGTGATTCCTATATACCCCCCCAAACTTCGTTTGCGGGGGGTATAAAAAACCACTTACAATATAGGTTAGTGTGTTGTTTAACTATGCCCCACCCACTTATCCTATAAGTGGATGTTTAAGTATTGACATGCCCCACCCACTTATCCTATAGGTGGATGTTTCAGTATAGACATGCCCCATCCACTTATCCATAGATGGATGTTTAAGTATAGACATGCCCCACCGACTTATCCTATAAGTGGATGTTTAGTTTAGACAGACATGCCCCATCCACTTATTCTTTAGATGGATGTTAAGTATAGACATGCCCCACCCACTTATTCTTAAGATGGATGTTAAGTATAGACATGCCCCACCCACTTATTCTTTAGATGGATGTTAAGTATAGACATGCCCCATCCACTTATCCTATAGGTAGATATTTAAGTATAGACATGCCCCATCCACTTATCCAAAAGGTGGATGTTTAAGTATAGACATGCCCCATCCACTTATCCTATAAGTGGATGTTTAGTTTAGACAGACATGCCCCACCCACTTATTCTTTAGATGAATGTTAAGTATAGACATGCCCAACCCACTTATCCTTTAGGTAGATGTTTAAGTATAGGCATGCCCCACCCATTTATCCTAAAGGTTGATGTTTAGTTTAGGCATACCCCACCCACTTATCCTATAGGTGGATGCTTAGTTTAGGCATACCCCACCCACTTATCCTATAGGTGGATGTTTAGTTTAGGCATACCCCACCCACTTATCCTATAGGTGGATGTTTAGTTTAGGCATACCCCACCCACTTATCCTATAGGTGGATGTTTAGTTTAGGCATACCCCACCCACTTATCCTATTGGTGGATGTTTAGTTTAGGCATACCCCACCCACTTATCCTATAAGTGAATGCTTAGTTTAGGTATACCCCACCCACTTATCCTATAGGTGGATGTTTAGTTTAGGCATACTCCACCCACTTATCCTATAGGTGGATGCTTAGTTTAGGCATACCCCACCCACTTATCCTATAGGTGGATGTTTAGTTTAGGCATGTCCCACCCACTTATCCCATAAGTGGATCTTTCACCCACTAACCCATAACTGGGTGTTGAGTTTATCCATGCCCAACGTACTTTCCCTGTAGGTAGGTGTTTAATTAAGTCCCCTAACTCACCCTGTAGGTAGGTGTTTAACTAAGTCCCCTAACTCACCCTGTAGGTAGGTGTTTAACAACATCTTCTAACTCACCTTGTAGGTAGGTGTTGTGACTGGAATTACAGAAGTAGTGTGCTAGAGGCTGCTTCATGTCATGGCTGAGATCAAGCGAGTCTGGCGGGACGATGTTGTTATCATCACTCAACAGAAATCTCAAGAACCCATCCTGTGACAAATGCCCTACAACAACAAACATTTGCAATCAAAAGACGGCTCAAAATTTACACTCTCCATATCAAAAAATGTAAGTCTGTGACTATATTGAAACATTTATAAAATTAAAATCCCTAAGATTTTAAAGCTTACAAAATACTTTGATAGTAGTAAAATTAGTTCATCATATCTGAGTACATCAATAATGATTCCTATAGTTTTATGGGTTTTTTTTCAACAAAGACTAGTAAAATATGGTGGGACTAATTCACAAGATAGTATTAAGTCTTTCTGAATCTGGATTCTTCCAAGGATAATTTTGATTTCATAGGTGGTTAGCAAACAGATTGTTTGAATAGCAGAAAATCCCATTCTTACGAATTACTTCATTTATTTTTTTAAACATTGTCCTCTTCCTTAATATATTTGGGGAAATAGGGCACAACTAGAAAGCTTATAATAAGAATTTTGTTAGTAAGCTCTACTTAGTTTACTACAAGGAATAATAAAATATTGTCTTCATGCATCACACAGAAGGCTGCTGTAGTAGTTCTTAGGACAACAGAAAGAAAGTTAAACATAATGGCATCTAAAAATAACATTTAGTACATGTATTTTCATATTTAAAAAGAAAAAGAATTGTGACTTTCTGTTGTTATTTTCCTCTTAAAGATATCTGAATACAAACAAAATGTCAACTAATGAATGTAATAAAGTAAAACTTAATCTACATGAAGAACATAAGAACTTATAGTAAAATACTAAAATTCACATACATGTATCTAATTAAACAAGAAACTATAAAAACCTTAAGAGAAAAAAAACTCTCCTCTTCCCCACCTTCCCTCTTAAATAAAACCATCGGGAAAAAAGTATTTATAATTTAGTACATGTATTTTAAAAATACTTAATGTACAAAATAAAGAATAGTAAAAAGAACAAACTTTGTGAGTGATCACATCTCAGTAAAAAATAAAACCCAGTTAAAAAAATTGGAAAAAGAAAATATGAGAAAACCTCATCCAAGAGTGTTAAAAAACTTGCCATGGACAAACACAAAATATATCATTCACCTTACAATGTTCTACTAAAATTTTATCCTTTTTATTTTTGTAAACAAGTGAAACAGCAGACCTAAGAAATGCAGTTAAAATAATGCAAAAATCCACATTTTTTTTAAAATCAAAGATCGCCTGATTAACATTCATTACTTTCCATATACAGTCAAATCTTGTTATCTAGAATTCGGAGGGGTTTGTATTTCGAGATATCTGAAGATATTAAGGTTTGAATACATGAATTGGTTAGGTCTTCCAACTCACTTCCAAATATCCAAGATATTTAAGATACTGATGTTCGATATACTGATGTTCATCTGTATTAGAAATACAAATTTTCATATTTTTGTGAACCCTTGTCAGAAAAATTCTTACAGTCTCATGAGGGGTTAACCCCAATCCCACCCCCAAATCAATATATATATATATATATATATATATATATATATATATATATATATATATATATATATATATATATATATATATATATATATTACCCAGGAATCTTTAATATTCCTTTTAACTTACCAAGTATTTTCATTGTCATACATGTAATTATTAATGATGCTCTACTTTCCTGTAATGAATGTTAACTCAAAGCAGAAATGATGGTAAAAGAAAAGAAATGATTCAGTCACACCTAATAAAAAGTACATATACATGTAAATATATATACGAAAAAATAATGAAAGGCAACTTAAATGGAACAGAACACTCTATGGCTCTACTACCTATCCTTGGTCCACATACATGAGCATGTAGACCCTGGGATAAGATTACTTTGATCTGCTTCACTGAATATTCAAGCTTTTTGGTGAAACTGATCCAGTAATCAATGCAGTGCATGCCACTACCCACTTACCTTCCTCTTCTATGGAAATGAGTGAGAACAAATAGCAATAAATGTTAATCCAGGTCAATGGAATTCTTAAAAACTTACGAAATAAAATTAAGGGGTTTTTTTTCTTCTTAACTAAATTGAATACCCTAAAATCTTGAAAATAAGACGGATTTAATAATAAGCCGGTTTTGAAAATAAGCCACCTATTTCTTGCATTAAAAATTACTCGAAAATAAGCCGGTCATGACAACGCCATTTAGGAAAGATGTTAAACGTTTGAGATTTCCTCGTCTTAAAAATTTGACGAGTGAAAACTTTGACGATATTTATTTACTGTGCAAAATAGAAAGTTATCTTTCTTTAATTCATTTAACCTTTACCAATTTCTGCATACGACATAGTACGAACGAGTACGAGTAACGACGTCATAGTACGAACTAAGTCTGTAGCTACTAATGAACGTATGTAAAATTACCAATAAAGGGTTGTTTATAAAGTTAATTTTTTTTACCAGTAATCATGTTACGCTGGCTAAAAAAACTTAATTGCGGAACCAGCTAAAATGGTGAATTTTTTTCATGAAATTGTCAGAACAATAATTATCTCATCTAGACCTGTACAAGCTAACAATGTGTTATAAGGTGGTAATAATTAAATAAGTAAATAGATAAAAGGAAGATTTGTTTGTAAAGCATTTAACTGTCAGGTAATACTGCCCGAGGCAAGAAAATGATTCGAAGGGCTTCAGTAATTACATTTCAATGTACGTATACATTGTAATATTGAAAAAATATGTGTTTGTTTGATTAATTTATCAAGTAATTCAATTGCAAGCGGATATGTAAATTCATATGCTGTATACAATGAAATTAACTTTACGGGATCGGCATTCTAAAAATATAAAGTAGACGATCCTAAAGAACGTACAACGGGAATCGCCAATGAATACAAGAGTGCTCTCTACCTTCCAGTTTTTTGGATAATAAGCCGCAATTTGAAAATAAGCCAATAAATGTTAAGCCTCCACTTTCTTACCAAAACTTAAAATAAGCCGCGGCTTATTTTCAAGATTTTAGGGTATAGTAGAATAATTTTTTTTTTGATTTTCAAGGCACATTTCACCAGCTGAAAAAAACATTCAGTCAATCTCATGCATATATTCGTTTTCATTATGTAAATCTTTTTAAAAAATCATTTCCTAAAACAAATATTTTAAACTACATAAAAATTCTAAATCCGGATTACTCTCTAGCACCCTGCACCATTCTAATGAAAAATTCAACATTCACAAGACAAAATGAGTGGAACAAATGAAACCCTTCCTTTCCTGTTTTAAAATTATTTTTTTTATGTCTAACAAAATGCATCATTATTCATATAAAAGAAAATATTACACATTGTTATATATGATAATATGTCTTTTAAAATAATATTATTGTAATAGATTCTGTGATTTATTGTACCTTTTGCTGCCATGTTTGCCCTAGATTCATATTCGTCTATGAAATCCTGTGCTTGCCGCACGGTGTAGTAGGGGTAGAGAATTTCATTTAATCGCGGGTCTCTCTGCTGCTTGTTTAAAAACTGCACAAACTGTTCTACTGTCAGGTACGGCTTTTTCTTTGCTCCCCTGAGGATTAAAAGATGAAATAAGTACATGTGTTTTCTACAAAACATCTCAAACATGGCCAATATAGAGACATTATCAGAGAGAACACAACACAAAAATAAAATCAAAATATGAATTACACAGAGTGCAACTTACCAGGTAGTTATAACTTTCTATTTGATTTTTATAATTGTAATGTTTTTTTTTAAAAAGATGAGCAGTATTCTTACACTTCATCAAATACTTTGTCCACTTCTGTCCTTCCAATAAGGTGGCGATAGAAGCTGAAAAAATCTTCAAAGGAAAACTTGTTGGGGTCTATGGTTTCATTCTGAAAGTAAAATATCAATTTACAATTTTTTTTCTAAGCTCAAATTTTTAATGTAATTGCAAATAATACTAAGAGTGTATATCATATGATAACATATTTACAGTTAAAACTGCCTAGAACTTTTTGTTAGTTTCAGACAAATGTCTTGCATATGTTTTAACATTTTTCATAATTAGCCAACAATTGCACAAAAATATCCTTTTTGAATTCAAAATAGGAAAAAAATACTTGTATGATGAAACTTGATTTCACATCTTAAAACATTTTTAATACTATGCAATTTGAGCCCCCAAAATACTTTGGCACTGGGTCACCAAAATTCAATCAAGAATATCAAAAACAAAATTTTAATCCCTTTTCTCCAGGATAGCTGACTGAAATTGCAATAATGCTAAAAGATTTGAAAGATCAGTCTCAAAGAAATTTTATGCTGCTGATATTGCAAATACCCTTTTGACTATTGTTTACAAAATTCTGAACTTAGTGATGTGGAAGGGGGTTCTTAAAGAAAAGAATTCATATGAAATCAATACAATGCAGTGTTATCAATTTTTATGAGTATATAGCACTCAAAGAATTATGGGAATTGATGAAATATACTGTTAAATTTTAAAAATAACATATGAATATGCTTGTGTGGTGTTGGACAACATGACTATATTTGAACTTAGAGAAAATACCTGACAAATATACACAGAGATTAATTCAAATCAAGATTTCATTTTCCCATTTCTATGACACTTCATAAATGAGTAATAAAGAATACATGAAATGTAGAAGAAACTAGATATTATTGATATCATTGTTGGTTATGTTTACATTATTATAATGCTGAAATACAAGGTCATAAAAACATTGGGCTCAGAGGAAATATCATGCCATGATGTCATTAAAAATCATGCATTTCTATGAAGCACTTTGTCCATTTCTTCAATAAAAATCATTTTCAGCCACAATTTTCAGTCATTATAAGGCAGAGAAACCAGAAACAATATTCAACCTGTTTAGTGTTTTTTGACACCATCTTTTGAAAAGGCAAGTTGAAAAAACTGTCCTGAAATGCAATTGTCGAATCAAGGAACGTCAAAATAATAATAATACTGTGCTTTCTTTTAAAGGACTATATTCTAGAAAAACAGATAACTTCATAAGGTCTTCACATTTTTGTAAATATTTGAGCAGTTAATGTTACCAATTACAGTCATACGGTATGTAAGTATTTTGTAAATTATCTATGTTTTATTTTGAATACACACCTTTCCGGCCATAAACCCCACCGATTCCAAGGCCTTCTCTACTTTCCTTTTGTCATCTCGGGAATCTTTGGCTACCATTTTAATTATGCTAAAACATATAGAATTATACAATAAATAAACATAATATATATTTACAGTAAAACATGCTTTTAACGAAGTGCCAGGGACGAGCGACTTCGCTTCATTATAAACGTAATTCATTATATCCATCAGCTTAACAATACTCAAGTATACTGTAGAAGTACATTTTTCCGCATGGTATTAATTTACGCTATGTACGCGGTCACAAATTTTCCACGGAAATTTGTCCCATAGTACCGGTACTTAAAATGCATACGAGGCTTATTGTGAGAATATAAGAAATCCGTGTAATTTTCTACCAGCGGATTAAACAGAAATAGTGATTCTGCTGAATTATGACCCCGTGGAAAATAGTACGTTTACAGTAATTAAAATCTACGGGGAATTAAAATGACTTCGCTATTAGTGTCAATTTATCATAAGCATGTTCACTATAAACATGTTTTACTGTATACTATTCTTAAGGTTTTGACTAGAGGATTTCCATTTTATTAACAGTAGGAAAATGTTTGATGTGGGTGGAGTAAACATTTGACCTTTTGACCTGAGGATGAAGTTTACTGTCTTATCAAGGCAAATCTGTTTATATAAACAATCAGAAATAATTCAAAAGACACTGGTAGAAAACCTTTGTCTAAAAACTGACTAACACACCAAACAATTTTCAAATCACTCTGTTTCAGTTCCGAAAGCTTACTGATTACTAATAGAATCCTGGAACAAATCTCTGTATGCACTTTAAAAACTGATTAATTCTGTATGAAATAACTTACAAGCCAAAGTAATATTTTTTTGTAACAGACAGTAACATTCAATCAAGTATAAAATTAATGTATATGATCAGCAAGTGTGTTAAAATGTTAATAATACCAATTTCTTGCCATATCTATATATTAGATGTACTGTATAAACCACAGCTAAAAACAGACACAGCAAATCAATAGACACAGTTGAAATTGCTTTGTCATATCTCGAATTCATTATACGGATTTATAGTAATTTGTGGCTTTTTTCTAATACGTGGCAAAAAGATGACTTTCTATAAGTACATATATATTTGCTCCATCCACCATGTTAGATTTGTATGATGTGTGTCTGTCTGATATCGTACTTTTTTACGGGAATTCTTCCGTTGACATCGAGGACATGGGTAAGTTTGGTGTGAGCTTTCTCTAGGTACGACAGGACACTGCCATTTAACGCTAACAAGTTCGTGGCAAACTTTAACAGCTCTTCTGTCCACTCCTATAACAAAACACAATTAAAACATCACTTTCCAGAGTCTTCAATCAATATTTCCATTTCTACTGTATAGAGGGTTATTTTCACCCAGTCTTATTTTTGCCCTTTCACACTTGCAAAAAATTTTGCCCTGTTTTAAATTCGCCCAGTCATAGTTTTGTTTAAGAAATTATACTGTATTCTTTGAATTTGCTCCGTTTTAAATTCACCCAAATGAGAGTAGGTCAAAAGGGGCGAAAATAAAACGGGGGCAAAAATTTCCCTGTATACAGTATTTGTTTTCTCTGTGATAACTCTTTGAAAAAGTTAGGTGAGTTGATTTCTTGATAATTCAACTGGAATGTAAATTTCACCAAGCAAAAAATCAGGTGCTAAAAAGGCCTATGTAGATCTTGTGTGTCTTTTTGTCTGACGTTAGTGGGTGGGGACTATTGAAATTGATATGGGAGGCCTTGTATAATTTAAATCATTTAGACAACATTTTTAAAATCGAAATTTACCATTTTATTTCACAATGAACTAGAAATATCAGGAATCAGTGTCTAGTTTGTTGGGTATGTCACTATGTCATGGACATCAATGATAGTTAGAAACATGGGATAACTTGCATAATGAGTGAAGCCTGTTATGCAAAAATTACCCCCCTTTTCCAACAATCCTTGATGCCCTGCAATACCTAACAAACTAGACAATGATTCTTAAAATAAATTAATTATATACCGATAAAAATAAAGTGATTTCGTGAAGCTACTGTCAACAAAATGTCGTAACTTTCAACCTACCCTGGCCACGTCTCGACTGGCACACACAAAGTTGACAAACTCGATGTTGGTCATGTCCTTGCCATAACATATTGTGATTGTCTTGTCTTCTGTCGGAACATCTGATGGACCTATCATACATTGGTCACGTAACTTACCCTCCTAAAAATTAAGTCCATTCATTAGTTTATGCAAATGTTACAACAATCTTTTTCTTGATTCTTACTGGTTTCTTTCACAATTTATTTTCTATCATGATTTTAACAAACTTATTTATTTATTTTTTTCAATATTTACAGGTAATTAGTGACCCTTTTATTAATTAGTGACCCTTTTACCAAATCAGTATCATTCAGCTGGGATCTTCAGATCTTTGTATATATTGTTAAAAAGACAACATTCCCCTTCATAACTTTCTGAATAGTATTACGGCTATAAAAATTATTTGATGCCTGTCTTCAAATTGAAAATATTCAAGTACATTGCTTTTTCCTCTCTTTACAAGGTAAGTATTAGTTAGAAAATTGCACACAAAAAGCTATATCCATCACCACTTGCTACAAGAAATATGAAAGATATCACAAAAATTATATAATTAAAACAAATATAGATCTACTGGTATGATTTATAGATGCATGATAATTAATTGCCTGCATTATTCACAGCTGGGATAATATCCCTTAATTTGAGTAACATAAGGTTATTATTGATAAAAGATTTTGCTTTGGATTTTTTTTTTATGCTTTTTCTTTTCTTTCCCCTTTTTTCTTTTGATAAGCATTAGAATGAATAATGTCTTAATGGTGAATATTATCTTAATCATCATGGATATCCTTTTTAAAAAAAACATTTGCTGAAAAATACAAAAACAACAAAGTCATTTGGTGAAAATCCCCCCTTGAAATTGTGCACTCTCAAAACATCAATAAAATGCAAATGTATGTAAACGTTTTTTTTTTTCTTTGGCATCAATATTCCATATTGATGTCAAAACAGCCTTTTGCATTTTTCTAAAATCAGTGAGTCACGTAAGGATACAGTTTTTATAAACCCACTAAAACTTGACAGTGTATAAAGCTTTTAAGTGTCATATAGCATGATTTTGGAGGATATTTATGTGATTGGGAATGGGAAGAGAGGTGTACCAAAAACATTTTATGAAATTTTTTTAAATTAATTTCCCAGTTTGCCATTGCTCTGGTGGGAAGAGAGTGAGGTACAGAGAGTATTTCCTCTGGCCAAAGTGTGCTAAACAGGGATCTTGCGTGCTTTGGTTCTTTACAAAATGCATCTTTTTTCCCCCATTATGGCAAGAGAGTCATTAGTCATAATGGTCTCCGATGACTTCTGCAACATTAAATCTTCCTAATAAGGAATAGTCTGCCCTTGTCTATTTACGTCTTGAAGATCAAAAAGTCATAATACATTGGCCTTTTTGCAGTATGTGTCAATTCCCACAGTAATGAATCTTTTTTTCCTCCAGTTGAACATCGAAGAGCTAAACTCCAAGGGATCATATGGGAAAAACGTAAAAGGCAGGCCGACCACACAGATAAATGTGTAATACCAGCATGCAATCCTATACTCAATATAGACTCCGCAGCCTATCATGAAGTAACTACAGGTCCACCCAATCAGCCTTCCACTTCAAAGGCTCTCATCTCCTTTATGCACGATTTTCTGGCTGCAGGCTGGATGGATAGATGTAAAACTTAATACGCGAATGATTTCCCAGACTTCTCCTATTGGCGTGTCATCAGAAAAATGACAGAGAGACTATTTTCGCTTACCAATTGCACATAAAAATTGTCAATTTATTTTTTTTTCTTCAATATTTTTAAATAACTGAAATTATCACACATGAATTATGTAATAGGATATAAATCTTCTGATAGCTGGGACAAAACTGACATTGAAAATGTGTATCATATCATATATTTTGTGCTAGTTTGTATGGACGACAATTTGGACAAAGACATAACTGTGTATCCAGTTTAAATAATTCTTGATTAAAATATCCTTGTGTGTCAGTCAACTAATACCAGCCAACTTTTACTCACAAACATATTCATTATATACGTTAAGATTTATTATCAATCTATTGTTAGGTTTCCGTAGCTTGCTTGTAAGTGTCGCATATTTCTTACAATAAATGGTTTATTTATTGATTATGCTTCACAATAAAACTTTTATTGTATCAAATTTGGAAGAAAGGAACAAAATACTCTTGGGCTACAGTGCTTACCTGAGTCAAAAATTGATCATTGGAACGTTTTTTAAACTTCTTCAAAAAAGTAACATTAACAGGCAAAATTTTACACAATTTCTAATTCTAAATTGGACGAGGAAGCCCAAAATTAAGACATCACCTGAAATATAACAAATTCTGAACCTAACATATTTCAATTTGCTCTTCGTGGAAGATCAATGAAACCACATTTACTGTCGTAAAAAATAACCAAACTTGAAAAAAATATCTGAGTAATTTTTTTTTTTTTTTGATTATCATTACCCAGTACAATTAATAATTTGTTTGCAGTGTAATTTTTTTTCTGGTAGAGGGTACATTCTAAATATTTGAAGCCCTAATGTAGATGTTGTGAATAAAAGATGGCTTAAATATTCTAGCTGCTGACAGATTTCCAAGAAAGAAATTCAATACCTTGTAAACAAAATCTTAAAAAGTTTCATTTATCAGAATAGAACATGGATACTGCTATTTATTTCATTTACGACCAACCCTTTGACCTGTGCAGTGAATCGGTGTGTAACATTAAACACTTACATACTTATATGAAACCTGGAATGAGAATTTAAGGCTTTCAACACCCATTTCATTCATATGGTAAAGTTCTGCATTCAGCCAAGAGTGATTTTTTCATTGTAAGAATTTATTTATTTTTTTTTTGGCCTTCAAATATAATTAAATGTTGAGTATCTGTCATAAAAATCTACTTATTAAAAAGATAAAATGTTATTTTTCAAAGCAATAGCATTATTTAAAACAAAGCAAAGTTTGTACCTGGCCATCTTAATTAATAACCAAGTATCTGCTCTTCATTAGCAAGTACATAAAGACAAAAAAAAGTAATTCTAATTTGCTTATTATTCACTCTTGTTACATTTTAATGCAAACACAGACACACATAATTGTCATTGATATCAAAATAATGCACTCTTTAGGCTCACTTTATTTGGAATTTTGATCAATTTCTTAAAGAATTCACTTATCATTACCTGCAAAGAATTCATAATTATCTAAAAACACAAATTAGTGAAACATTCTTTTTTTAAAAGTCCTGACCATAAATAGATCTTTAAATGATTAGAAAAGCTTCCTATTAAATATTAAGATGAAAGTCATCGTTCACAGTTTTACTCACAAATTGTTAAAGGTTTCATGTATTAAATATTGCGTAGAGGTAATTATGTTAATGCAAAAGCCAAAGGTATGATTCACTAATTTTCATCTTTACAAAGATTACATTAATACTCATGAACATATAGTAAAAGTTTTCTCTAATTTCACTTTTCTGATATTTTAATATTAAAAAACATGAGAATTGAGTTATCATTTTTCACTCATTTTCATAATTTGCATATAAACATATTAACAATTGGTAGAAAAAGCAAAGTGAATTGGTTTGCGATTTTGTTATAATATACCAGAAGATGATAGGGTAAACTATGAGGTGTACAGAATATAAATAAAGATTTTCAATAAATCGTGTGCAGTGTATAGATACAAATGTGAACGATGGCTTTTCTTTGATTGTGTGTGTGTGTGTAAATCTTGTCCACGCTATACAAAAGAGCAGATCAAAACCTACAGGAACTTACAGGTGCTGACGGCCTACGACTACTACCCTGAAACAACAAACACACAGCATCATGGAGACATGGCTACCAGTACGCACAGGCCAACAATAACAGTGGGGCTGTTTAACACTCTCACGCTGTCTTATAAGCTTTTTGACATGCTAGAATGCTTAAACAGTCTAACCCAATATTTCTGAGCTTGCTTAATTTTTGCTGGTCTTACTTTTATAGTGCTTTCCATTTCTTTCAAATTACAGAAATATCCTAAAGTGCAAGTTAATCAAAATTTAGATATTGGTTAAACTTATGATGAACTTAAGATTAATCCCTCTGTTTACTTTTTTATTTTTTCCAAATTTAATTTCTAATTTATATCCATATTTTACAACCCTAGGTTGGGCAAAATTTGAAGGAAAAAAATGGCCTTTTACCTTGACAATTTTATTTTTTATACCATTGAGAGTTACCTCTCTTATCAGAGGGTTGGTGAACCTTAAGTCAAACAAACAGTTTATAAAAGCAACGAATAAAAAAAAAATCTTTAATTTTTTTAAATTTACCAGCAAAAATTTCAAGCTGCAGAAATTTTCCATCATGCAATAAATCTATTAAATACAAGATAATATGCAATTATACATGTATGTTTTCTATATAACATCTATTAAATATTTTTTCCCCATTTTCCATACTAGTATTTAAGTTCTTACAGTAACTAATATTATGATGATGGTACATACTTAAACATTTTGAGATGCACTTGAAATAAACTTTAATCATTTAATAGGAAATAAAATTTGTATCATAGAGATCAACTAATACACATTTCATATGAATTATTGATAGGACAAATATTAAAAAGGTTCTATAAGGTTCTTATATTTCAATAAAATGTTATAATAAAATCATCTGACTTAATTAATCATAAATCATGCAGACATTCACGTTTAGACAACTTTGAAAAACTCAAAACCTAAAAATGTAATTTTGTGAAATTTAAGTTTCCTATTTAATCATTTTGAATACTTCAAAATAATTACAATAAATTTCATGGAAACAAAGAATGTGAAGCTATTCCTATTTAATTTGAAAAACTGCTTTCATGCAAAAAAAAAGTTAACATGCCAAAGTGCAAGTTTACAATTAATGCATATAATTGTCAAACCAAATGAAATGCACCAATGACTGAACACTCTGTAACTCGTGTCCTGCATTACAAACCACCTATATCGGTCCTTGAAATAAAATTAAAGCTGTGAATAGTGAAATTGAAATTTGTTTCATCTATTACCTAGGAAAGTTTTTCTTTTTCTTGAAGCATAATGGACACTATAGAAAGTTGCATAGAAATGTGATAAGCTCCTACACCACTGATAATCCTCCCATTATTGGTCTATACATGCACTTTTTTCTGTATTCAGAGCAACTAAACCCTACAGTCCAATTTTCACAAAGATTATTGAAGACCAATCTCATTAAAATGAGATCTTTGATCCACTCCTAAATTTGGTACGCGAGTCAAATAAAGGACTGGTTCAGAGATCTTTTTTAATGGAGGGCCTTAATTCGAGATGAGTGGATTAAATTGATACCTTGGGAACCTTGGCGTATCTTCCTGTTCTGGTGTCGCGGATGTAGGAAATATCTAGAAAGTCCATATCCTGCAAATACAGTACCAAACATTTTATAATAAATAATAAATGGTATGTGAACATTAGATCAAAGGTGACAGGGAAATCTGACCTGTCTCATGAAAAATTACTGTGACATTAAATGAAGATTATATGTGTACTCTTTCGTGATTTAATGTGGTACGTGAAATGAAAAAAAAAAATTGAAAACTTCTGTATTAATCATAATTCATATTTGGAAAAATCAATTCTTTAATTATTTGTACTTTCCAATATAAAGTGCACCATTAGAATGATTTATGTTCTAATGAGAACCCTACTTCTAAACACATGTTTCCTACATCTTTATCAGAGGAATAAATATCTATAGAAAAAGAGGCTGACAACATTTATTTGTAATACAGTGTTCACATTTACAATGCATCAAACAGTTGAGTACCTAATGATTTATTATAACAAGAAACACATGCCAAAAAATTACTGTTTACACATTGAAAAAAAATATAACAGATGTAAGATGTACCAATTTTTCATATTTGTTATCAACGGCACACTTGAACTCTGTGAAAAATATATGTCAAGATAAATTGAGTGAAAATGTGTTGCTTGAACATTCAGGGCAGGACAATGGATTATAAGATGGACGAAAGCTGTCCCCCCCCATGTCCAATCTCCCCTACAGCTTCATCCTTAACGTACTACAGCTATTTTTCATTACACAGACTGTGTATATCTCACAGTCGACTTACATAAGCCCAGTCAGACGAAGTAACTTAAGCAATCAATATTTCTTTTGATTGTTTTTTTTTCACCACTGAGATAAAATACAAAAGGGAATAATGAAATTGTAGAAGTACCATAATTTGTCGACGTAATAGATAAATTGAGCATTTATCATAGTTATTCTGCAGAAATGGAGAGCAAGAATGTGTGTGTATTTTTTTTTAAAAGGTGAATAAATTCTCAGTTATTTAGAACAAGGTATAAATATATAATCTCCATTGAATGGAACTTAAAAACTCTACTATTAATGGCAGAAAAAAAACAAGTTTCTTCATGAAGGATCAGATACTTTAAATAAATCTTTTCTGGTTTTGAGAATCCAATTAAAAAAATGAACTTGATCAAATTTAATTTAAGCAACAATATTTTGAACAGTAGAGACAAAATTGGTTTGATAATGTACATGTCAAAGCAGATGATTTTTAGCACCGGTGAGCTAGAAAAAAATAAACAATTGTATAAAATATAATCTAAAAAATATTTGAACAATCACCATGTTGTTTAAAATAAGGGTCAGCTCATAATAAACTTGGGCTCATCATATACAATATAATGACAATAATTATTTTGAAAAGTTTCAAGTATTTTCCACTTTAGCAAATGACAAAGCACCAGTGCTCTCAACCAATAGCATGTGTCCCCTGCATAATTATAAATTGTTTAGGATAGGACATGCATAGGCATATTATATGGACATGCTTCCCAAACCCATATTTCTTAAAACATATAGTTTCAGAATCATTTCTATTACCTATCTTAAACCTTATCTCCAGTGAAGTGCAACATTAGGCAAGTTGGTAAAACTGCATTTACTATTAAGTAGATATGACTCTTATGTTACCCACTGAAACATGCATAATTTGCATACAAACATTTTGGTCTGATTTAAACTGCAAATGAAATGTAAATTTATAATACTGCATTTCAGATGGAGCCATAGAGTTAACCTTTGTTTTGTCATTGTGATAGTTTGCTTAATTTCGTGACTAATTTCCCTATATATGGTCATCCATTGTCAGGCTAAGTACCGATCCGTACCCAACCTCCCAACCTGTTAACAGCTGCACCATAATTCTTTCACAGTGTACATGCAATATGCAATCGGGCATGTATTGGTGCAGAATCTTTTTCCCATTGAACCAGCAATGTGAGAGAATGCATTAATGCTGTCTGTAAATAAGTACTATACAAATAAATGGACAATATGTCTAACAAATAAACAGCAATGCTGACAGAAGAGATCGCGATATTTATGTCTGGGTCTTGACTGAGCCAAATGCAACAGGGATAATCTGGTTAGCTCAGACAAAGGATGAAAATGATGCATTTGGGAACGTTTTTACTCCCATAGGTTGCCAGTTCCAATTCATTCTCTAGATTTTCCGATGATCACATAAAATGCTTGAATTTCCGATACTTATGTTCTTTTCCAGGGAACAGACCCAAGGGTCAAAGCACTGATCTGAGATGTATAATCAGTCTCAGTTTTATGATGGTAAAAGAAATTCATACACACATCTATAGTCAGTATTGATGGTTTTAACTTACAGTAAATATTAAGGTGCATGTATATAGTTACATTTTCAGGATACACTGGGAATGATCTAACTTGAAACCTGACATGTGGCCTTCATGACAAAAGGATTCTGGGATTCAAGGATAGAGGATCATGGGATTTGGGAGAAGAGGATCCAGGGATTCAGGAGAAGAGGATCCTGGGATTCAGGAGAAGAGGATCCTGGGATTTGGGAGAAAAAGCTCCTGGGATTCAGGAAAAGAGGACCCAGGATTCAGGAGAAGAGGATTATGGGATTTGGGAGAAGAGGATCTGGGATTCAGGAGAAGAGGATCCTGGGATTTGGGAGAAGAGGATCCTGGGATTTAGGAGAAGAGGAATCTGGGATTTGGGAGAAAAGGTTCCTGGGATTCAGGAAAAGAGGATCCTGGGATTTGGGTGAAAATGATCCTGGGATTCAAAGGAAGAGGATCCTGGGATTTGGGAGAAAATGATCCTGGGATTCAATGGAAGAGGATCCTGGGATTTGGGAGAAAACGATCCTGGGATTCAAGGGAAAAGGATCCTGGGATGTCAAGTTTATTTTGACCCACAATATTGGACGTTTGTTTTAAAGATTTCTCAAAGGCAGGCAGCATTTCTGTAGACAGTGATCAAAGTTCAGCTATTTTCCTTCTTAAAGCTATTGCAGCCTTTCCCCCCATAATTCAGCTTCATCACAACAGTTAGCATGCAAAATAAAATGTGTTATCCAATAATATTGGACACTATTAGTTTATTCTATTTGTATTTTGGTACAATTTAATAGAAACTTGAGGATACAAGACCTTAGGTTAAATAAATTCATTCATGAAAAGTTGAAATCCTTCCTTAGATTAAATACATACTGCCAGACAACAAACTGATTAAATCAAATCTTATATTAGCACTTAAATTTGTCATGACAAATTCATTTCATTCCATTCAGTGATTGACATGAATTCAAATATTACCAGGTATGCCAATTTGAAATTGGGATTTTACATGACACAGCTAAGCATGTACTTTTTTTTTAAATATCCAAACATATAAATAATGTAGGAGATATAGGATTTCCACTGCAACATCCAGTTTGTGAATCACAATTTTTTCAGAACCCTTTCACCCTTGATTTGAACTACCCTTTGTGCACATCCATATGAAATTCAAATCTACATGCAATATGGCTAATCACATAACAACAGAATTTTTGGCTTACTCTAAAACTGAAGTAGGAAGTGCAATGACAAGAGGCTGTGATGGATGAATGGATAGACAGACCCATGGAAGTCAATGGAAAGCTAGACAGACTCGGGGTTAAAATGATATGATATTACAAACACAATAATTTACCTGAAGTAAATGTTATCTATAAACTTTGGGTGTAGGTAATAATGGTTATTTTCAGCTTTAAATACCTAATGATTCCACAAAATATAAATGTGTGGAAATTGGCAATATATACCATTGTATGACCAATCAACAACTAGATGTGCAGAAAATAAGGGGAACATATTCAAATTAATGAAGCACAGAGCTTTTTACTATCATGTCTCTGATGAATCTGGAGACCTCATATACCCACAATCTATAATTTTGCCATTAAGTTAAAGGTCCAACTAAAACATAGACATTAATTTCTCCACAGGATAATATTTATTATATCAGCACAATCATGATAAAAGAAGAATGATTCAGACTTGGAACTCTTATCAAAGTTGTCATTTCCATAGATCAATCTCAGCAACTTGCAAGTCATCCAGCTTAATTCATATGTACAATACCAATTCCATCCCCACCCCCCTCCCAACCCCCAAAGCTGATCACATACTAATAACTTTCTCGTAAAATAATATCTAAGTAAAAAAAAAAGTCTCCAACCCTCTCAGCTTAATTTCTAATAAATCCATACTAATAATAATATTTATTTATTGTATGATAAAATAATTGAATAGTGTTTTGTCATAAGTTCTTTTGTAAGTTTTTAATCAAAGTTTTTAGGCATCTTTAATAATTTTCATCCAAATTATGTCGACATTTATTTTTAGTATATGAAAAACATGGATGATGTCATTATCGGTATGGCCACAAATATACATGAAGTTGAATAACAATGGACACTGTTGATCAGTTTCCAAAGTTAATACAATATGTGCTAATGAAACAATCTATGGTCTGGTCCAGGTATTCAATAGGTTCCATAAACCAGTTCTAAACAAGACAGAATGATAAAAGGGAGGATCAAAAGACTATAACAATGCACACCTTAATTTGGTCAAGTTTGATCTGTTGAGATTAAAATCCCAGTTCTGTGGATCAAGTGTGCATTCTTAACAGCTGTTGGGTCTTTGTTTTAAATACATGTACATACAGGGTACAGACATTCAAACACAATTGTTAATGAAAGATTACTAATTAACATCTATTCACTGGTGTATTTGCACTGATTCTTTCAGATGCCATCATCACAAGAAATCCAAACAAACAATACATGTATAATAGATATATACTGAACTAAATGTTACTAAACAGAAAATATACAATAAGGAAGCATCCTGGTTTTTTCATAATTATCAAAAACATTACCACAACATTTCTTTTATTAATTCAATAATGCAAAAATGAAGAATGCTTCTGCAGGCAACATGTTGTTAGCAGAACTAGACAATAATCATGTCAATTCCAAATATTTCACTTGTCAAATATATATGTATGAGGTACTTGTAAACTAAATAACTAAAACAGTAGTGAAGGAACAAATGCCAACTAAATAGTTCCTCCTAAACAAAACTACACATAAGAAAATGCAATCATAATTAACAAAATAACTTGTTCTATGAAAAAGTATTTATTCAGCATGCATGACTCTTATATATAGTTGCATCTAGTGGACTTCATAATTCAATGTAACCTAATGCTGCCTTCTGACATTAATTACTTCAATGACCAATTCCATAAAAATTAATAAAATTCTTAAATGTCAGTGTGTATTTAGCTGCAGAGTTTTACATGTACATGTATGTTCAGGAAAATAAAAGGATCATATTTAGTAACTTACATGGATCATTAGACAAAGTACTTAATTTCTAAAATTGAGGTAGGAAGTTCAAATCTCAGAAAGATAGGACCCATTATATTCAGACAATTCTGGTGGCTTATTTTTGCCTTTCGCTTTCCAAGATATAAGCATGAGACCACTGGTTGGAATTTCGTTGATAGGTAATGACTGTATTGAACACTTTCGAAGTTTAGGTAACTTTTTAAAGCTTTTCTTTATGAAGAATTCAAATACAAATCTAAACTGTTCTCTACATAATAAGTCCGATGTTGGAGATGCATGTGTATAACAGGTTCAGCATAAAAAAAAAAAACAACCACCAACATGGAAGTGCCTTTGCACCAGAAAAAGTTCTAAAAACAAGAGAAAGTGTGCTTTCCCGTTTTTTATTCAATGCTAAATCTGGCAACCTAAATAGAACTGGTGATGGTGAACCTTACATTGTTTCTAAGCATACTGCAATGTATACATAATAAAAATAAAACCAAAAGACTATCTCATGCCTTTATTCTCTATAAATCAAATCAGGACTGGTTGTATCAATCCATGCCCTAATACTTACTGAACTGTCATCTTTGGACGTCTGAAAATGGTGGCACATTAATCAAAGGTTCTAGTCAAGTTTTTCTCAAAAAGTTCTGGTCAAAATACCATCAACTTTTCCTCAGTTCAATTCAAAATGAGGCTCCAACCTTCAAAATGTTCTTAAAACAATTATTTGGCCAAAGGAGGTAAGTTGATGATATCTTGGCTTTGATGAAGACATAGGCTTTGCAAAGCATATTGAATAACAGAGTTATGCAGGCAGTTATGCAGAGTAAGATTTATCACATTTGTAACTTTTTAACCTATGATCTTTACTGTGATGAACTCTTACCTTGTTTTGATCTTTCCAATACAGGATGTAGCCCTTTGGATCCACCTTCAAGGTGACAGGGGTTCCTGTTTGTGAGTTCTGAAAGAATTAAATATTTTGAATTAGAATTGGCTTCCAAATCTTATAGTCTATAATATAATAATTTTTCTCATAAATAGATTTAAGGACCTGCATTAGCTTCAGCTATGACAATGACAACAAAAATATTGGAATTGTGATACATCATGTATTTAGTTTAATTTATCAAATTCATTCTACAATGAAAGGAGATTCAAGAATTATCCTATACATGTATTAAGTAATGAACAAAAATTCAGTTTATCTAAATCAAAACTGAAAACATGGAATGTATAATGGCTTTTCTGTTCTTGAGAAAACTTTTGAAAGTTTTTTTTTTATTATCTCCCCTCAATATTTGAATTCCCTGCACTCAAGTATGATTTGTGGCCATGCAGTTTTATTGAAATTGGTCCATCGGTTTTTGAGAAGAAAAGAAAAATGTGCCAGACAGATGGACAGATGGACATCAAACAAAATGTGACCAGAAAAGCTCACTTGACCTTTCAGCTCAGGTGAGCTAAATATAAAAGATATAAGAAATATCCACATATTTTATTACTGGTAACAACCATTAATTTCCCCACAGGGCTTAAGGTATTATTACGTACTTTTAAATGATATAGATTTTTCGTTTTGTCTTAATTAAGACGATAAAACCTTGATAAAAGCCAGAGCTGCACATCCTGAATTAAAATTAATGAGGTGAGCAAAGTCACTTTACTGTAAAGAATACAAGATTCAGTGAGATATAATGAGGGAAAAAATTGGATTCAAAGGACCATTGTGCTGCCCAATCATTTTGAGTAAAAACTGCAAATCCTCATTACTAGAAATGGCATACAATCTGTATCAAGGTCCTAACTGCAAAATGTTGCAGCACCGATTCAATTTTCATCAGTATAATACCATAACAAGTGCATGCACACCTTTTATGATTAAACTTATCCATGACTGGCAAAAGATACCAAAGAGTTCTATACTTGTTAAATTCAAACAAATTCAATTTTCTTAATAATTAATTATTTTCTTTGTTTATATAAGATAATAAAGTAACTGAACTTTGATGCAATGTCATAAACAATGGCATGAAATGACTGATTGTTAACTTTTCTTTTAAAATTATTTTAAAGTGCAGCATACCTGTTAAGTAGATCTACCAATTATTGCAACATTAAAATATTTCATGTGATTAATATGAGGTCAGTTAACCTTTTAGTAATTGTTGTTAAATTTGATGGGAGGTCACAACAGCTGTTCATCAACTGTTAATCAGAACATGTGTAAATATATTACAATTAACATTTCATGTGTGCATGTTCACTGGTGTTTCAAGCACATCTGTGTCTAAATACAGAGAGCTTTGCATTGTCCAGGTTCTTGGAACATTTTGTTAAGGCTACCCTGGTACTAAATATGTTATAATGGATATTTAATTTTTCTTGGACCAATTTGTTATGGCTTCAATGTTATAATACAAAACTAACTTTAAAATTATCATCAAAGCTCAACATTGTTACTGTACATAGTAAATATCCTTATTCTGACTAATATCTTATGTACCGGTACATTGTCTATTTATGCCCCTATAATTGAAGATTTGGGGGCATTCTGTCTGTCTGTTTGTTAGTAAAAACTTTTACCTTGCTCATAACTTTCAGATTGGCACTGCGGCTTTTATACTTCACAAATGTATTTCTAGTGACAAAACCTTTTTTGGGGTTCCAACATATTTGACCTATTGACCTCGACTTTAGAGTATGACCATCTTTCATAAAATTTTACCAAACTTTAACCTTGGCCATAACTTTTGAATGGCTGGTATTCTGACCATCATACTTCACATCTGTATTCTTTATGATAATACCTATCCCTGAATAAAAATATTTTTTCACCTTTTGATCTTGAAGTTTGACCCACTTTCTTAAGACTTTAACTTTGACAATAACTTTTGAACAGTTAGAACTAGTGCTTTTATAATTCACAGGTATATTCCTTGTGACAAGACCTTCCATTAGATACCAACACTTTTGACCTTGACCTTGTAATTTGACCCAAGTTCAAAAAACTTAAACCTTGGCCATAACTTTTGAATGGTTGGTGCTAGGGCTTTGAAATTGCACAGGTGTATTTCTTGTGACAAGACTTTCTCTTGATTACCTACAATTTTGACCTTTTGACCTCGATGTTTGCCTTATTTTTCAAAAAAAACCTTCGCCATATCTTTTCAGCTATTGGTGCTAGGGCTTTCATATTTCACAGTTATTATTTATTTCTATCTATCTTATATCAATTGAAGGAAGATTTTTTGCAACACTCTCCGTTATGGGAAGGAAAATCGAGAGTTTTACCACAATCTGATATTTGTCACACTGTGAAAGGATATCATTTTGATATCCTTTCACACTGTGACAGGATATCATTTTTATTCAATGGTACATTTCACTGGTAAAAATGTAATAAAAAGTATTATCTAAGCATGGATTTTGAAGTAAAAATTCAGATTTAAAGTGGCTGTGTCCATTGTTCTAATGGGTTAACCATCCATCCATGCAGCAACAACATCAACAACAATTGATCTGTGGAAGTAATATCTTTGTGATTTGATAACTAATTGTTCAGAAACAACATGAAAATGAAAAGTGAACCTCTGATAACATGATAAATGCTTGTTATTGCAGAATGAAACCTGAATAATTCCAAACCCTCCCACACAAAGACTCATGTCGAGAAGTTTATTATTGCTGTTATAAAATTGTCTTAGCATGCATGGTTGCATGGGTAAAAATTACACCTTTTTTGAAGGAATATTATCAACCAGTCGTATCATTTTTCATTTCTGAAAATATGAAAAAAAATCGACCTTATTTTATCAAGAGTGTCTGTAATTATGTGATTCTGCTAAAAATGCAACCTGTTGTAAAGTGTTGATAATTTCAATAATAATTTACCTGAAAGCTGATTTTCAATAGACATGTTATTAATCTGGTAGCCTCATTCTTGAACTTACAATGATGGTCGCATGATGTTTTACCGTGCAGGAGTCAGTGCCTAGTTGTTACTGATCCCCAATATCACTGAAACCTAACACCTGATTCCGATGAATTACCAAAGCACTTATATATCATTTCATAGATATACACGAAAAACATGAAACACTAATAAAAGTTGGCAACAAATATGAAAGGACAATTATCAAGAAGCAGTCCATCAATATAAAACAGAGATGGAACCAAAAATCCCAATGGAACAAATAGCAATCTTTGCATTGATTGCAAAGAGGAGGGTAGCTATAAATGACAATTTTTCTCATGTGGACAATTTCCAGACATTGCAATGGTTGTAAGTTTGAAATTCTGTTTTATCAAGACGGAATATTCATGATTACACACTGCCCTATATATGCACACTGGGATTGTAGGAGAAGTTCCCATCACAACTGCTCCAAACTAAATGCCATTCTTTGGCATATTTTAACAGACAAAAACATCAAAAGTTGCATTACATTATCTTTAAGTCCTCTGTATGAAAACAACTGAAGAATGCAGATGTTAAACCATAAAAATTGACCTCCTTAACCACCATGTTTTAATGGTATAACCATAATATAATATTTCATTGCTCACAAATAATCTACCAATTTTAAGAAGAATTTGATTAACATATGCAACAAGCAAGTCAATTTAAGAAATCTCTCTTTTGTGGACAAAAACGAATAAAATCTTGGACTCCCACATAGCACATTTTTATACCCCCCGCTTGAAAAGTGGGGGTATATAGTAATCGGTATTTCCGTCCGTCCGTCTGTTACGCTTTGGGGTACCCATCTCTTATCCGCAACTCCTCTCATACCACTGAATGAAATTTGATGAAACTTTCACAGAATCTTTATTACATATTGCCATTGTGCACCTCCTATTTTACTTTTTGATCCGACAGATATTTTGGGTTTCCCGGCCACAGGAAAAGATGGACTATTTCACCAGTTATAACCATATGGGAGGCGGGGGTATCATTTAGTGAGCTCATCGCTCACAGTACCTCATACCCCCCGCTTGAAAAGCGGGAGGGTTTATAGTAATCGTTAAATCCGTCCGTCTCTGTTACGCTTTGGGGTACCCATCTCTTATCCGCAACTCCTCTTATACCACTGAATGAAATTTGATGAAACTTTCACAGAATCTTTATTACATATTGCCATTGTGCACCTCCTATTTTACTTTTTGATCCGACACATATTTTGGGTTTCCCATAGGAAAACATGGACACTGCCATTTATACACATTTGGGAGGCGGGGGGTATCATTTAGTGAGCCCATTGCTCACAGTACCTCTAGTTTTTCTAATGTTTTCTTTCTAAATCAAATATCACTTAACATGATCAAATCATTTTCAAGAATATCACAAAATATGTTTACTAGCATGAACTTTATTCATTAAAAAATATTTTTCTGTAGAGGCTAGGAAAGAAAAAGATCATTTAACAAATAAAAAACATCTATTTATGTGTCAATAAATGTGACACCTGTTAACAGGTGATTTATTGATAAACTCCTAGCAAACACCTTTGGTGAAAAAATAAACTGTCCTTTAATACACAAAATTATATAGAGACTAAAGAATGGTACATAAGTACTCTTTTGCCTTATCAAATTTTAATGATTTAATTAAAATTCGTTTTTGAAATCCAAAAGTTTTGGCCATTTTGGAATAAATCATGAAGTCATTCTATATTCTAAGTAAATGAATTTTACTGGAAATGTGCCCCTAACATAACAAGTTTCTCAAACAAGTCAACATTTCATATACTCATACAAATTAAGCAACACAATGCACTTACACAACTGCAAAAAGAACACTTATTTATAACTTGCATTAAATTTTAAGTAATTAAAAGGGACAAAATTGGATGTATATATTCCAGTATGTGGAAACACTGATTTGTATACAGAATTTTTTTCTTCTGTTAATTAGTTTTTGAAAAAAAATATATATATGTACTTAGTTAGCCTGCCCTAATGCAGAAT